GTATGCCGCCTCACCTTTGGGTACCACAGTACCATCCAGGAGGCCAAAGAATGGGTCCACCCATATTCTGGCCAAAGGATGACGAGAGACGAGTTCATGCAGATTATCGGATATGACCCACTCAAGGGCAAAAATCCTGACAAGGATGGACCCACTGATGGCTCTTACCTCTCACCAAAGGCGTGCCTGACACTGTCGAACCTCGACCCCTCGCCGATTCTCTGTGAATGGAACGGCCATGTCGAGGGTGATGAGCCACCGGAGGAAGACTTTGAGTCATACGCAGAGATCTTCTCACAAGAAGCATCGAACGATCTTGACGAGATGTGGTGTACAAAAGGGCCTTACAAGGTCATCACCATCGCGATCGTCCATTTCAACTCATTCATGACTCATAAGGAAGAACAGAGACGCGAACTGGTGAACGCGTTCCTCAACGAGATTCTCCCTTTTAAACCGGATGTAATAGCGGGAGATCCCAATAATATTGCGTCGAGGCTCACCTTAAAAGGTGGAGACGTTCACCCGCGAAACAGTTTGTTTTCTCTATACCTGGAGAAGAAACTTGCAGCATTCAACAGAATAGCAGGAAGGCACTCACAAGTGCGACATCTTTGCTTGAACAACTCCGACCAGCACAGACTGGCCCGTGCAGATCGTCTACCGGCGGACCCGGCGAAGAAAGTTGCTGACCTTGACTGTATCAACAGTTATATCCTTGACTGGAGTAAAACGCCGCACACGGCGTCACCTAGTCCAAGAGATGTTACACCTGCCGCCGAAAGAACATACTGGGAGCGAATCTCAGATATGTGGCAGGACATGAACAATAACAGGGATAGTGATATCCGTCTGTTTGTCTCAGTCAAGCAGTACTATTCAACTTTTTCTAACCTTGACCTATGGTTGAGTCCTTCTGACAAAGATTGGCACAGCCCTTTGGGCTTCACGATACAACCAATCCTTACAAAAGGGAAACACAACCGGTCAGATGCCCAGGTTCAGAAGATCGCTAACAAGCGACAGGCTTACAAGCAGCGTAATGCTGAATACTGGGGTTACAAAGATTCATTCGTTTACTCATCCGGCAACAGCTGGTACGACAAATCGCAACCATCAGGTAGCCATCACAGATACGGAAGATTCTGGGAATGGCCACAGCCTGAACGTCCCAGCGAGCATGAAGGTCCTCCTCCAAGAAGGAACCAGGAATCATCGTCCTCTTCACAACAAGATCTACCAAGATCAAGGTCCAGGCCTCAAAGAACCAATATTGTTGACAAGCTCAACATGTCTTTGGAAGATCTGGATGGACTAGAAGAGGAACCGTCACCAACAAAAAGTGACATCGAAGAACACGAAAGAGAAACATCAAACTTGATGTCTGCTCAGAGAGATGAAGAGGAACAAGAGGACGAATCCGCCAGCCGGAGGAGAAGAAGGAAGGCATCGCGTCCACCGTCTGCTCCGAGCGGCAAGGCACTCAGAACAGCTGCTACAGCAGCGGGGTTGTCGGGCTGGTTCGGACACCGCAACCGAGGTGGAGCGAACGCAGAGTCTATCAAGCCTGATGAAACTTCACTTCCAAACTCACTAACCAGTGAGCAGGACTTCTCCGTCTTCAGCATCGCGTGGAATGTGTTTCTGCTGCTAATGGGCTTACACTGGATGTGGAAGCAGATTACCAGGCCTCCTATCAGATGTATGGAGCGCCAACAACCAAAATAAAAAGCAGCAGCGAACCAAAGAGTTCCATTCCTCGAACCCGAGGATGAACCGCAGACGCGTGAACCTTTAGGACCCAACAGGGTCAATTCCGGAGAAACAACCGATCTGCGACCTATCTGGCATACTTCCCGAAGCGAAGTCTACCATCTCTCAGACAGCTGTTACCAGCTCAAGCAAGCAAGAGATTTTTGCAGGAAGGTGCTGTGCAAAAACTGCCTCCATGCAGTACAAGTTGCGGAGATTCGCAGGAACGATCCTTTTCAAAGAGGTGATACACGTCCACGTGGCACCGAAAGAGACATTGAGCGCTTCCAGACCTACGATGATGCAAGCACCACTCCTCATATGACGCAATTATTCAAAGATGCCTTGCATGCACAAATGGCCGAAGAAGCCATGCAGGTTACCTATACATCGATCCCCAAGGGATCTTCGGCAAAAGCCAAGGGTACATCTGCACTTTCAAGTGCTGCATCGTCGTCAGCGCCCAAGGCAATGCCACCAGGGCCTAACAAGGCAAACGTGTCACCTCCACCTAAGAGTCCTCCGCCAAAGGCGAAAGGAACAGTACCTTCTGATCCTCCAAGACCAAAAGGTCCTACCAGAAGAGGAGGTCAAAATCGGCGCATTCAACGAAAGGCAGCTAGAGAAGCCCACAACAGTGGACTCTGCACCTATGCAGACGCTGCACTTAACGAAGCCAATCAAGGCCAGGCAATTAACGTTACGTGCCGAAACATGGCAGCAAGACACGTCAGCTCTATCGATGCAACGGTAGAAGCAGCCGGCCAGTTTACACAACGCGTGCTACAGCACGTAGAAACATATGATGAAGAGGAACCGTGGAGCACGGAGTTCCTACCAGTCGTGGAAGTCCTATTCAGGAACTTAAGCGGCGACGAAACAACTGTCATACATGACAATCAAACGGTAACTATGCCTCTTGCGAAATACACAGACCTCCTCAGAATCGCACAATCATTGCGAAGCTCTATCCAGAGAGACAAGGAGGAAAGGAAGGAACATCTTGACACCATCCAAGATACTCTATCCAGAGTGGAAATCCTTCTAACAGCACTGAAGGACTCAAGGACAGTCTTTAACCAATTGGTCCATTCCTCACTAGAGATAGAGCGAAGAAATAACAATCTCAAAAATGTCCTCGAGACACTCTTTGACGACCAAAGCTCTGAGGAAGACCAGTCAGAATCTGACAATGAAGAAGTCCTAACTCCTTCTGCAGCACAGTACTGGAATAGCCTTTATGCCCACGCCTTATCTCCTTCAGGAGATGAAAGTGAAAGATCATGGGCGTCCTCAGACGGACAGCTTGAAAGAAGAAGGGCTGAACGGGCAAAGGCTAAGCAGCCGCAACCGGCTAAAGCCAAGGCAACTCCAGTCAGCTCACAAGCTGCTCCAAAGGCCGAGCCAAAGGCGACAACATCCAACCATGGATATGATACTGCAGACGCCGCCTTCACCAGGGCTGAGAACAGATTACTCGGAATCTTTTCAAGTTCCGAAGAAGATCACTCAGACCCGGATGAGCCACATCCGAACGTCTATGCTCGAGCCTATGATCCAAACCTGGATCCGAATCTGAGATAAGAAAAATTCTCAGAGTTTCACAACAGTGAATCACAAAGCTCTAACAAGAGCACAATGAAGGGCTGCATAATTCGGTAGAAGAACATTACCAGACCTGATCCTGTACAGATGATCTCTCTGACCAACATGCATGAGTGTGTGCAAAAGGAGTGACCTCAACAGTGTACTTCAGTGCTATACCTAGCATAAACAATATGCTGTTTTTATCATGAGTCCAAACTCCGCAACTGTGACAGTGGGCATAATAGTATATGTGTGAATGTGCGGCCATGCTTCCGGTAAAAGAAAATTAGTGTCTGTTTGAAACCATAAACCTCTAAAGGGGTAGCTCTAACAGGTACCTACAGCAATGGCTGCATGCTCATACATATACATTCCGCTGCCCATTGGCTCACAGTGGTTTTACCATATTGAGACAAGACAAGCTCTCCTTGCGTAGCAAGACAAAACAACTACTGTCCGTGTGCAGGGCGCTGCCCTTTGATCCTTAGGGAATAACTGGTCATACACCTCCTCACAAGGAGTATCCCTTGGGGGGGTATCGGCACAGGGGAGGGGGGGAGGGGGGAGGGGGGGGGGAGGGGGGCAGGGGAGTGGGGGTGAAACCGCGGGGCGAGTGGGGGCAGTGGGGGGGAGGGGGGGGAGGGGGGGGGAGGAAGGGGCGGGGACGGGGGGGTGGAGGGAGGGGGGAGGAGGCCTGGGAGGGGGCGGGTAGGCCCGCAAATCAAAGAAAATGAGGGGAGGCCGGGCAAGGGGGTGGCAAACGAGCGCAAAAACAGGGTGTCACATTTGGGCTGCAGGGAGGAGGATTAGGTGGAGGGTACCTGATATAACCACCAAAACGCCTGGGCCTGTGGCCTCGGCGGATTTTGACAATCACCCATGTATATCTAAACCCTAGGCCCCAAGCAGCCTGGACTTTAATCCACCCACTTTGTGAACAAGAGGCTTTGTGCCAGGAGCTTACTACCCAGTTTCTCTGAAGGGTCCTCTTTTGTCTGACAGGCACTGGGGGATGTAACAGGCACCAGACTGACTAAACTCTAAACCCTAAATCTTGCAAGCCCAGGTACATGACACTTTTTAAACAACCCTACACCGTCAATCCCAAACCCGAAGTCTTTCCTCAGGACATCTTTTCGATGGGTGCTGTTTGAATGTCCTTGTTGCTGTGTCGCCCGGTCAAGATGTTCACAACTTCTCGCCGGCCATCAGGGCTACCACAACCCCCTAAGCCCTAAACCCCCAAGGCCTAACCTAAACCTAAACCTTGAGCCCTTTTTAGACCCTAGACCCCGTAAGCCCCGAAGCCTGAACCCCAAACCCTAAACTGCTAAAGGGGGGCATCGACAACTCGCCACCGTAGGCATCCTCAACTCGGCAGTCGAAAACGCCAAGCTACCGAGCCAAGAGCCCCCATCTCGAACCCTAAACCTCACCCTGGCCCTAAACCCCCTAAGCCCTAAACCTCACACACCCTGAACATAGGGGCTCAATTAATTATCCATATTATTCTACTCCTTACTGTAAGGGGTCCTGATTATCATCCGACTATCAACGAGCCCAAAACCCCGTTCTTATCATTAAGGCCCCTACATCAACCCCCTAAACCCTAAACCCTAACCCCAAACGCCGAAACAAGAGCCCCACAGCGTCGACCTGAGGAGCTTAAAGGAGTTCTCCTCCGAGTTGATCAAGGGCGAGACACGCCTTCTGCAGGCGCGACGCGGCGGTCTAGGTGTAGGGCATCGAAGTTCTAAAGATTATTAAGGCCAGTCTTTCTTCCCCTCTCTCTCTCTCTCTCTGTTTCTATATATATATATATATATACACATATATATATATATACATATTATGTAACCCCTAGATTTCGTTCCTGCGCCTTCTTGCCGAAAGACCAGACGAAGAGTCAGGTGCCCAGCGGCGAAATCCTCGTCATCACCGAGGCCTTCTTCGAGTTTGGGGCGCTTCGGGTTTTGAGTTGAGGGTTTAGGGGCTTAGGGTTTAGGGCTTTGAGTTTAAGGTTTAGGGGTTCAGTGTTTCGGGTTCATGGGTTCAATGTGTTGGGATTCGGGGTTCAGGCCGTGTAATAAGGTTCAGGGACTCTGAGTTCAGGGTTGGGGTTTCATGGGTTTATGGGGGCTTGCGATCTAAGTTCTGACCTTCGGGACTGAGCACGGGGTTTAGGTAGGCAGTTGAGGATCGTTTGAGGTTAGGCTCTGGTCCCGTGGTCTTTGCTTCCGGATCTTCGCGTTGATCGTTCCCATGTACAGGCCCTTGTTCCACTTCAGTCTAATACTCCCCACGGCCCTGGGAAGCTGTATTCCAGGATGCTATATAGGATCCGCATCGGAAGGATTCCGGGCCTTCAGACCATGCAGGTTTGGTTTGGGTTTCAGTTTTCTTATCTTTGGTAGTAGGGAATGGAAGAATGGTAGTAATAGTATTATAATTGCACCCCATTCCTCCATTCCCTATACTAGCCAAGGGTGAGTTTAGTGTTACCGTTGCAGGTCGTGATGATGATCCTCCAGAATCCGGAGACGAAAGAGACGCTGGTGCAGACGGGCCAGGCGCGGGCTTCGACCCTAACGGGAGCCCAGCAGCGGGTTTTCAGGGTTCCTTCGCACAATGATTTCCTGGAACATCGCCCTTCCCAGATTCATCCCTTACTACCGCACTGCTTGGCGATGGCTAAAGCCAGCTATGTCTGCATGTTGTGCTACATTCACACTGTTTGTTTTGGACTCGGCTGTTGGCGTTTCAGATCATAGCCTATCGGAATATAGGGCCAACCACTACAATCTACAGATATAAAGATATACATCTACACAGATATACAGATATGCAGACATGCATGTATACCGATATACGGATATACAGATATGCAGATATGCGGATATACAGACACACAGATGTACAGATATACAGGTATACATACAGACAGGTATGCAGGTATACGTGCAGGTATACAGATATACACATAGACAGACAGGCAAATAGGTAGGTATAGATACAGATAGATATAAGGTCTAGATAGATATAGACAAATGTAGGTAGATATGGATAGATGCAGATAGATATATTAGGTAGTTATCAATAGATGGCCTTCCACCAGTAGGAGCCTTTCTGCAACCCCCGTCAACACAGAGCATCAAGTCCTGTAGTTTCTGCCGGAACTTTAAGCGAACGATCCTGAAAACTAGGCCGTCAACCCTGAAACCGTAAACCCGCAGCTCTACACCCATGCGCCCTAAACCATCATAAACCCTAAACCCTGAACCCTAAGCCTAAACCCTTGAGCTCTTAGCCTGAACCCTTGAACCACAGACCCGAACAGGTCTGGCCGGATGGCAAGACGAGCAACCAGGCACGCATCCCGGGCGCCAAGCGCCGCCTGGGCCCTAGCTCCTGGTTGGTGGGTTTAGGGGTTTAGGGTTTAGGGTTCAGGGGTTTAGGGCTTTGGGATTGAGGGTTTAGGACGAAGTGCTGAGGGCTCATGGAGGGCAAAGAGAAATGGGATTTAGGTGGGGGGAAGGGTTGGGGGATTCGAGACATTCTAGAGTTGAGAGATATAGCAGACTGAAGTTACGTGGCGGCTCTAAATGGAATAAGATATTAGCCATTTAGACTATAGTATGTGCGGTTTCGGCTTTCGCGTTCTGGGCTTCTCCGTTCGCCGCATGAGCCTTCGTTCTGGTGCGTGCTGCTTTGGGCGTTTGAAGAGATGGGAATAGTATTTCTTAGTTTTTGCTATCGTAGCTATAGTACCACTTCTACACCAGAGCCTAGTTCGAATCATTTAGGACCTACATGAACTCAGGATCCTGTCGAAGGCTTCTTGACATATCAATGGGAAGTAGTTCCGGCAGGCAAGGACCACCCTGTACTAGTCGTCGGTTAAGTATTCTCTACCGTCCTTTACAGTTGCGCAGTGGTCATGCCTGCATGTGTGCAACTATGGTCGTACGCAGCCTTGTCCTCTTTCATGGTTCCCCCAAAGGAATAAACAGACCGGCTAGTAGACCTTCTTAAATAATTCCTACTAAGGGATATAGGTATAGGGCTCTGTCTAGTATTTCTAAAAGGACAAGGGTGGTCGTATGCTTGTTGTTACGTTTATGCCGCAGGAACTCTACGCATCGCATGTGACGTTAGTTTATCTTCTACTGTGACTCCAAAGCCACGAATCTCAATACCCCGAAGCCTAACTACTCCATCTGGGACCTCAGCATCTAACGCTGTGGCCCGATGCTGAAGCGCTTCACCCTCAAGCCGAGATGCAACTTCATGTTGCTTATTTGTGGTACCCTTCTGGTTGACTATTGGGCGCTACGTGCCAGCGCCTAAATCCTAAGCCCTATAAGCCCCTTCCACCTTACTTTGGAGATTTCTCTGAAGTTCTTTGCCCTGACTGAGGGCCGGACGAGAACCAATTCCTCTGTGCGCGGCGAATCCTCAAAAGGCAGGGGCTTGATCTGATCTGGCTTTCTCTCTCGTCTCCTTAGGATTTTTTTTTAGTTTTGTTCAATAAAAGCTATTATTATTATGGTTCTAAGGGGGTATACGCTCATGCCCGATGTATGTATACGAACATGGAGAACCGTGGAAGCACTGTTTCAGCATCGGCTCCCTGTATTTCAGTACCCTGAGCAATCAGGAAAAGCATTCCTTCGGGTTCCTTGTCAAGAGTTATATTGCAATACGCTCCGAAACCCTCTTCTAATTATGAAGGCTCTTGTACTAAACCCTCATAGCAGCCCCTATGAAACCCTTCAGGAACGCTTCTCAAGCGGTTCTGCTAATCACGGCCCCAATACTATAACCCTTATAGAGTAGCCCTTATAGACGCCTTGAAGGAGCCCCGTTCTGCCTGTTAAGGCCCCTTTTGTAAGCCACGAGTATCAGAAACCCTAAGCCCTAAACACGGGCGTAGTCTCTGCTTGGCCCATGCGAGGCAGTTGGAGATCGACGAGAATGCCGTCCGGCTGGCGTGTTCTTGCGGCCATGTGGTGGATACTAGTATATAAGTATCAATAGCATAAATAATATATGTATATATATATATATATGTATACGAATACAGGTACTCACGAATAGGAAACAGATAAAACTAATTACTGTAAGTAAATACACACAGAGAGATATGTATATATATATATATATATTTACACATACACATATGTATATGTGTGTATATACAGATCGATAGATAGATAGATAGAAATACATGCGCGCATGGTCGTACATAGAAAATTTGTATATACGTACATACATACATGCATGAGCTGCGTCTGTATCTAGATCTATATCCCTGTCGATATCTATCCACAGTATCGTTCTATCTGTGTGTATACATATGCATAGGTTGCGGGGCCTCAGTAGACCTTTGTGTGTCCAGAAAAGTATGCCGCAGATGGCGGTCCAACATGGCCCGAAGCCTTATTCCGATGTAACTTATCGTAGAGGGTCGTATCTGCACAGAGGCATGCCTTGGAGCTTTATCGAATCTTAGCTGCGGATCTCACAAGCCTCTCTGCGCACCGCCGTTAGGAGGAAGCATGGACCCGATGTGGTGCCCATGCTATGCTGTGCTGCACCCAAGCCTACAACAAATGAATCGAAAGGGTAAGGAGGAATGGAGTTGGGTGAAGCAGATTTAGGACACGTCGGCTTCCATCAGTTTGCAAATCTGCTACATCCAGTTGGACGGGGTTTATGAAATTCCTCATAGCTGAGAGCAGCATGCTGAGCTGTTCGCACACAGCCACCCTTTCACCGTGCAAATCAGCTATTCAGCGAGACAAGTTTCAGGCGCACGTCTACACGCTCTTGCAAGAAGAGTAACAGTAAGCTCTTCAGAGTACCGCCAGGTTTTAGAGATGTATGGGGCTTAGGGCTTAGCAGCGTTTCAAGTTCTCCTGGCTCTAAACCCTAAACCCTACTACTACAATAAGACTGCTCGAAAACCCTCAAATTCCGCCTCCATCGCCTCTTGAAAACAGGTGCGAATCTCTCAAGAGGTGGGCTACATCGAAGAGGATCGAAGCTCCAAGAGCCCTTTGAAAGCAGTGCTTCCTCATTTTCGGGGAGTAATGAGGGTAATTAATTGAGGCTTTAGGGTTTAGAGTTTGAGGGTGTTGGGGCAAGGGTACTTGGGGTTTTTAGGGATAATTAAGGAAGCTGAAAGCTTTAGGCTTTAGGCTTTGGGGTTAAGCAGGCAGGTACCTCAAGAAACGGCCTGTCCTGATGCAACATTGATTGCAAATCCCAATGACGGCCTCTGGACTCTAGACCAAACAAGACCGAGGGGCTTTGCACCAAAGCTGGGGCGGAGGATCCAATTTTTGTGTATAGCGGGAACCCTAAACCTAAACCCCGTAAAGTTGGAAACCTGATTAAGGCCAAATAGTGCTGGGATTCCCTATACATTACTCTGAAGGATTGAGGCTATTGGGTTTCCAACTTTTGGGCTTCTACTTTAAGACCTTGAAGCATTCATGGGTACAAGGTCTGGGGTTCCATTACATTGTTCCGGGTTTTGAGTACTGGTTTAAAAGTACCATCCCCACTAGTTCCAAACCAAATGTAGTATTATTACTACTACAGTATACCCCACAACCCCGCTTCAGCTGTTAAGGCCCCTATAGTAGATCTAGCCCCCCAGCCCAATTCCCCCGATGGAGTTCAGAAACGGAAGTTCGCTCCCGCGCTTTGGTAGCAGAGGTTACCCTGGCCTCAAGACGGTGCGGCCGCCAGCTTTACCTTGGGGTCAAGACTTGGAGATTTCGGGTTCGCCTTCGTTGCTTTGCTTCTTTCGAGCCCGATTGCAGGATTCAGGTGTAGGTTTAGGGCCGGTTTAGGGTGTAGGGTTTAGGGTTTAGGGTGCTTAGGCCCTATCTTCCAACCCCGACTGTGGGGTTTCGGACTTGGATAGCCTGGTCGCAGGGTGGGACTTCAAAGGATCTCCCCTGTCTACTCCCCCCCAGTCCGTGGTGCCGCAGATCCTCGAAGAGTGTTTTTCCAGGCACGACATCGCAGCTCTTGTCGGTTTGACAAGGCAGGAGAGTCGTACATTCATATTTACGATCCCTGCATCACAGACCCACCCAAAAAGAGCGCCTTGAGCGGCGAGCCCGGTAAGACACCGTGGGCAAGTTCCAAAGTCGCAGCAGTCCCAGGTTCATTGCTTGGGGGTCGAGGATTTCGGGTTCAAGGTTGAGGTTGCACAGAAGGGGGGGATCCTGTTGAGGTTTTCGGGTAGTGGGGTAAAGGGCTACTGAACTGTTCAGCCCCAAGCCCCACACTCGCACTCCAAGCCGAAAAGCTCCTCTGGAGCAGGATCAGGGGGCTTTTCCTGCGCTTAGCATTCGGTAAATGGCCACCGGTTCGGTTCTAAGACCTGCGTGACCTGCCCTTCAAGTACATAGACCAGGTTATCTCAAGCCCTAAACAGTCTTACGTATGCGTATGCCAGAAGCCGAAGCACCTGAAGCCAAGGTCTACCGAAAACGCATCATCAAGGGAGAGGTCATTCCAGGCCCATCTGCGAACTCGGAACCCTAAACGGGGCTCTATTCCCAGAGCCCTGTCAGCCCTAAACCCCAGAACTTGACAGAAGAGGCTTTCTGATTCTTTCCGCAGTCGCAGTCGCAAGGATCGGGAATAGAAACGGTGTAAACTCCTAAACCCAAACCCAAACTTAAGTAGTAGAGTAGGTAACCGTTAGTTTCCCCTCTAGGATACTGGACAGCCTTGCATCCTAAAGTGTCTGTCATATTCGGGCTTCGAAGGTCGCCTGAGCATCACCGTTTCGGGTTGTGGTGTCAAAGGGGAAAAGGAGGGACCCTTAATGGGGACCCCTACTCTATAATGGGCTATAGCATGGGTATATAATAGCTATATTATTAAGGGTATATACCTAGGGGTCCTTATTAAGGGTCCCTCCTTTTACCCTTGGATGGTGGCCATCTTGGATCATCGTTTCGGGGGCTTTGGGATTTACGGGTCTGGGGTCAAGGGGCCGCTTCACGAAGCCAGCTAAACTGGAAACCCTTAAACCTTAAGGCGCTAATGCCAGATTTTTTTCAGACCCCTCATAGCAACCCTTTCGAGTAAGATCTTTTTTTCGTGATCCTTGACAGAAGCACCAAGCCCTACAGTCCTTCTTCCCTAAACCACAGCCTCAAACGCCCAAGGCCCAATCTCCAGAAACACCCTTAAGGCGACACCGGCACGTGAGAAAAACCCACGAAGCTCAAGCAAACCCTCAAAGCCCTCAACCTAAAACCTGACACCCTAAGCTCATTCAAGCCGCAAGCCAAGACGCCCTCGAAGGTGCATGAGACGAGGTTCCTCGGCCTTCTCGGGTGTGGCGAAGTTCACAGTTCTGGTCGAGGCTCATATCCGTAAGCCGTAAACCGAAGGCCTCTAAGCCCTTAATCCCCCAGCCCCGAAACGCTGAGCCCTAATTAAACCCAAAGTACTACACCCCGACACCTTCAGTCGCAAAGCGCTAAGAGGTCACCAAGCTTGTTTGTGTTTAGGGTTGTTTCAGGGTTTCGGGATTTGGGCTTTCGAGGGGTGTCAGGGTTTCAGTTGTTTCCTTTCAAGCTCGCAACTCCCAATGCCGAGCCTCTAATCACCGCAGGTGCCTCCGCAGCAAAGGCCTTGCATTTCTGGAATGTTCTGATCTCCAGCAGTCCGCAAACGCAATGCTCAAGATTAGGTTTCGCAGTTTGCCCAGCTGGCACTTAGGCCTCATGTTTTCGTCCGAGGCCTTATAAAACTTTACGTACCTGCCTTTTTCTTCCTCGATGTCAAGACGGCCACATCGTTTCCGGGTTCATGAGGCTCTGGCGGTTAAGGGGGCTCAGAGCTCGGGGATCTTGAACCCTAAACCCCCAAAAAAGCCATTCAAACTCAAAAGCCTAAACCGTAACTCTTGAACCCTAAACCCTAAAAAGAAGCCATTCAAACTCAACAGTCTAAACCCTAAATTCGTCTCCCCAACGAGGATCTGACTTGTTGGGCCCCCAGAGCCGTTTAGTTTAGTATAGGGGGTCGGAGTAATCAGTTATAAAGATATCCCCGTCTACTCCCTAAGTGTAGCATACCCTGTAAGTAGTGGCTGAGGATGTAGTGCAATCGTAGCTTCCGTCTGCATGCTACAGCCATACTGCAGGTAAGTGTTCCTTGTATATAACACTGCTTCGAGTAACTATGTTCGAGCACTAGCCCAAGCGCGTTATGACTGAAGTCCGGCATATCGACGGGTCTGATTGTGCAGGGGTCATGATTGATGCTCTTGCTGTCTTTGTTGTGATTCCTTGTCATTGTCCTTCGTGCACTTACAATTTTTGCGGTGGCGCACATGATTTCCACAACTATACTTCATGTGGCTGCATGGGATTCTCAGTCCGTAGCCTAGACGGGCCTAGACACGAGCGGCAAAACATGTGGCATATCACTGATGTTACCTCAGAAACCCTACAGTAGTGGTTTGCCCAAAGACTGAAGGGTTCGCCTAACCTTGAGCAGTCTCAAATGAGAGCAGTCGCGCTGGAACAGGGAGGTTGATGGCCGGCTGGCCCGACGCAGTAAGGCCCGCCAGCCCGGCAAGAAATCCTCTACCCTAAAGCAGAACCCCTAAACCCCTAAACCCTAAGCCTTAAACCAAAACCTTGAACCCTAAACGCCGCAAGCGGAGAAAGGCCCGACAAACTAAAGAAAAAGCCCTAAACCCTAAACCATAAGCCCGATACTTAAACCAAAAACCAAATCCCAAGCCCTGCACAACATGCAGCCGTCGCCCCCGGCCTGCTAAACCTACGTCCTAAACCCTAATGGTGCTAAGTTGTACACTCGAAACCCTGAACCCCTAAGCCCTAAGCCCTAAACTCCTAAACCCTGAACCCCTAAACTGCAAACCCTAAACCCTAAACAAAGAGGCGCTTAAAGCAACAATACTGAAAGCCCTAAACCCCAGATCTTAAACTTCTCAACCCTAAACCCCAACTCCTTAAAGGCAGGGCCTCTACTCCGGCTCACAACCTCCTGTGCCCTGTCTCTGTTCTCCGCTTAGTTTCGGGAGGCCGCGAGAGAACAGCAGGACCACAAGAAGTTAGAGGTTTAGGGTTTGGTTTTTGTGGTTTTAGGGATGTTTAGGGTTTAGGGATGATTAGGGGTTAGGGCATAGCAGTCAAAGGCCTACGAGTTTGCGGTTGCTTGCTGCCCTGCCGTCTCCAGCCTCTCGATTAGCCTAGGCCTCGTTGGGGGCCTCTTTCCTAAGTCAGGAAAGCCAACCTGCTGCGCTTTCGGAACCTTGGGTGGGGTCCAGTAATGGGTGCAAAACCTCGAGTCCATGCGCAAAGCCCCTAAACCCCTTACCTCAGCCTGTTCAGAGGTTTACGATGGATGATCTGTGTAGCTGTGGAACCTGCGGTGTCGGTAGTCGAGGGTTTTGGCTGCAGGTCTGAGGGAGGTTTCGGTTTGTAGAAGGATCCAAAGTTGAGCGCTTGTATCCCCAACGTGCGAAGCGGATTCTTCTTGGTATTTTGGCTTCGTTACTTGATTGAAGCTATCATCTGAATGTGCTCCACGACCAAAAGACAACAACAGGAGGATTGGGAGGCTGTAGGGTTTAGGGTTTCGGCCAGCTTCGGTTTTCAGGGCTTGGTGCAGCTTGGGAGGGTTGCGACATGCAGAACGGTATGTGCTGATGGTGTCATTAGATTTAATAGATATCAACCTTGATTGCGGTGATTATCGATACTCAGAAGAAGTGTCAAGGCTAGGCGACAAAGCCAGCCCCAGCTAACCGAAAACGCAAAACCCCCAAATCTGTAGTGCTAACATATGCTAAGATCCTAACTCAGAGCCGCATTCCTCGGAGCCACAAACACCCCAGGCCTAAACCCGAATGCCCCCCTAACCCTAAACCCTAAACCCTACAACGCTTAGTGTTAAACCCTAACAAACCCCGGGTTCCGAGAGTTGCGAGCTCCTCAGGAAGCTCTTCACAGCTTGAAAAGCACGACGTTGGACTGCTCAAGCCTGGAGTTAGGGATACCCCAAAAGCTCAAACGCTCAAGCTGAGGGTTTAGGCCCGAAGCAGTAAATCCCCACATCCTAAACTTCCTAAAATTGGAATCATGCCAAAAACTCTAAACACTAAACCCTTCTGGACACATGAAGCTCGTGCTGAAGGAAAGGAGGCGACAAAAATACATTCAGCCCCCAGAGGTTTGAGGTCCTAGGCCCCGAGGCACCAAAGCTGAAATCCAGACTGTCGGGCGTGTTGGGGTTTATATAAATACTAAAAGGGCCCTGGAAATAATTACATATACTATTCCGGGGGGTTCCCTTCAACAAATACTGTATGATGGGCCCCAAAACCCTGTTCTAGCTATTAAGGCCCCTATAGTAACAACAAAGAAGCACAGCTTGCTTTAGGCAGTCTCGGCCGAGGCTGCCAAAAGCCCTGCAAAACCCACAATACGAAAAGCCGAAAGGTTCACCCGCTCCCTCGACCACTAAGTTCTACACCTGAAACCTACTTCTTAGTTCTGTACCGGAAGGCTCCGAATTCAGAGTTTAAGGTTCGCAGATTTCACGCCTCGAAGCACGTTTTGTTGGCGGGGCTCGCCCGGTGAGCAATCCAAGAAGGTTTCATGCACTTCCCTGCTGCTGCCTGGCAACAGGTCTGGCAACACTGCGGGTTCCTTTCAAAAGGAGGATCCTGGGGTTGGGCGCAGAGTTTCGAGAAAACCCTAAACCCTGAACCCTAAACCCTAAACCCTAAAGGGTGAGCCAGGCGCTCTCCATGCATCTGCTATGCAAGGCCCTTCACCCACCCAATCCGAGCATCCTACTATAGGGCCCAAAAAAATTACTTCTACTGTTGTGGGGTTCCTTATAATAACTACAGTGCACTACAGTAATCCTAAGCCCAACGAAGGCAGATCCGAACTTTGATCAACACCCGCCTAGCTGTTTTTTTCTCCTTGGGTGGACGCGACAACTTGGCCGTGGCCTGCCAGGGCTTCGGCTGTAAAGTCTGAAGAGCTTTGGGTTGATCCCTCAGGGCCTCGGAGTCAGGATTGAAGACTACTGGTCATTGAGATGGGAGTTTAATGATATACCATCATATATTGCAGTTAATTAGATACTATACTAGAATGTATTATCATCCCTAGACAAGAGCAGCCCGCATGATTCCGGCTGCGAAGCTTCCTAGATGACGGTTCGTCCATTTTTCCAAAAGACCGTCCATCCAAGCTGTGGTCGAGAGCAGCGCGAAGGTTGTAACACGTGTTGAAAATATGTTTGCGGAGGACAGAACCATGATCCCCGACCTCCAGTGGAAGTATTTCTCCTGTTTTGTTTTGCGTAGATTTTGTCCCACAGCCCGACGCCCAAAACCGTAAACCTGAGCACGAAAACCCCAGAAGCCCGGTTCTAGGTATCTAGGCCCCGATCTTAGCCACTCGTGTTCCGCAGGGTGGAGGCGTTGACCTGATCCTGCGGTGCATACATTCTGGGACTTAGGGTGGCTACCGCTCTGGAAGTAGTGTGTTGGCCGTAAACCTAAAGTGCGATTGATGATACAAATCCTGCATTAACTTATAATGACCCTAGCCTTATGGGAAGTATGGTATATTCCGTATTGTGGGTCGTGCAGGATTTCTATCATCAACCGTATCCCATGTCTCAAGCCACATGGATGTATATCTACCTGTAGACTGTAGACCCGCAATGCTGAACCGAAGCTCCCTCGACCTGTAGCCTCTACAAAAACTTAGACCTATAGCAGGCCCTGAAGCACCCTAAACCCTAAGCCCTAAACCCTAAACCCCAAACCCTATAGTCCTCATAGTCCCATAGCAGGCCCGCAAACCTCGAAGCCTCGCAGGACGAAGGTACTCACAGCTTTAATGCTGATTAAGGCTAGCGACGACCATGAACCTTTGAATCTTTATTTTGAGGTTTCGAAGGGTTAGTATAAGGGTCGACAAGTAAACCTTGAACCCTGAACTCTAGAGGTTCTACATGGTTCATGTGCTTCGCAAGCAAGAGACTCAGACGCAGAGAGTCGCCGCAAGGCGGGTTTTATGTTCATGGGGGCACGGACCGCGACACGGACACCCTACAGAGCACTCCAGGCTGGATCGAGTCCTTGAGTCTGTTTGAGCTGAATCTTCATCCTCAGCCCTCCGAATCCGGGACCAATGCCGGGACCCCGGCGAATACAGGAGTGTCAACCAGTCGTAGTACACGCGCTATGCAGCCTTTATGTACCCACGGATTCCTCTGCTCATCCACTTTCGATACCCGGCTATAGTTCTTGTGCTTTGCAAGCACGCCTGCGAAGCCCGAGTACGTCTCAGTTTCTGCCCTTGGCTCGTGCGAGCCCCCTAGAAATATCGGCGAATGGCCCGGGCCCTGTCGGGCCTTTGCGTATCACCACCGGCTGCAGCGATCAGCCTTTCCACCTTGGGGGAGGGGCACTTCTCAGAATCGAACATAACCGATAGTTTTAAGTATTCCTTGCTGGTCTACGGTAATATAGAACCCTAGCTGCAAACAGTTTTGAGGGTTATTGAACTCGACATCTCGTGAATTACAGCTTATATGCTTTGCGGGATCTTATTCTCATTATACCCAAAAAGCTCTGTTCTAATCTTGAGGACACCATTTTCCCCAAGGTTCTGCGCTACGTTTTCGGCGGGCGATTCATGTTCGGTTTAGGGTTTAGGGGATACACTGGTTTAGGGGTTTGGGTGGGCTACATTGTATCAAAAATAGCTTATACCCGGATGTACATAAGTTATAAGCAAGGTTAATCTACTTGCAACCTTGCCAGCCATGAGCTTTCCCTAAACCCTAAACCCCAACCCCCTGACCCTGGATGGGAGGGGCAAGCTAGCTTGAAATTTTGTCATCCGTAGTTCGGTTCTGTTTATAAGTTTATACCATGACCCAGAATCTGTTGAAAGTGTTGAGGCCTTCCAACTAGATTTTCCAGACCAACAGATCCGCACGAAACCCCATGCTCATGACTTAGTGGTACAGGGTTTCGGCGATGTCGTATTTTCGGGTTGAGTCGTTTCAGGGAATTACGTTACTATTACGGAGGTCGCGGATTTAAGACTGAAGCTTTCCTATACCGAAGCTTCGACTCTGACGCGGCCCCTCCTTCCCACAGACGGAACGCCGAAGGTGTCAACAAATGCTTGTCTGTGAGCTTCAGGATATCAGAACCTACCCGAAAACCTAGTCTACGTATTCAGGCCCCAATACCAGGTTATGGTGGCGGAGACCACTGTCCTGCCAGTATGCGACTCCAACTACGACTGCCGCCACGATGCTACTGCTGCTCCCCTGTTAGGTTAGTTGGGATCTCGGCGTTTCTTTTTCAGTCCGCTCAGCCTTAAACCCTATGCCCTAAAAAACAGCTTGGGGCTCAGCATACAGGCTACTGCGAGCTTGCAGACTTTCGCTTCAGGGAAGGACCCTGAAGGCACAGCTTCGGATCTGCGTGTGTTCGGTAATGTAGGGGCCTCAATAAATACCTATACCATGTGGGGGTTCCTTATTGTAACTATAGTATAATGGGCCCCAAAACCGTATCCTTGTTTTTTTAAAGGCGTCGGTATTTTGGATGCAGCTGCAGGGCTCGCAGCCCTAGAGCCTAAACCGCCAAAGCCCCGAAGCGGAATGATGAAGCCCAATCGCCAAGTGTGTAAGCCAGATTCCTTATATCTTCGAACTTAAAAACCCAGCCGCTTACCCCTAAGCCCTTGAACCCCTCCCCAAGCCCCAAACCTCGAAACCCTAAGCCCAAACTCCGAAACCCTAAACCCTAAACCCCTAAACTCAGAAAAGGCCGATGCACTAAAAAACAAAAGCCCCTAAACTCTGAACCCGAAGCGCTAAACCCCAAATCCCGACTCCCAGAGCCATTCCCTGAGCCCCCTTCCTCGGCGAAGCGAAGCCATGGCTCGGGTGGGCCAGCGCAGCCAGGGCCCCTGAAGGGCTGTTTTTTAGAGGGATCTATAGGGTTTCTGAGGGGTTCAGGGTTTAGGGGCGTGGGTTGCGGGATCCAGGGTCCAGGGTTTCTGGTTTTAGCGGTTTATCTATGTTCAAGGGCGATACGCCTTGGGTGGTTAAGGTCTCAGGGCGGGGCGGGCAATGAAAAGCTTCGAATTGTAGGGTAGTTGACCGCGGCGCCTTGCTTCGATTTCCATCACTTTAGTCCGGGATTTGGGTGTACGTCGGTTTAGAAGGACCTTTCAAAGACGCCTCGTAATCAATTCCTAAGCCCCAGGTTCTGGACCTGCAGAGGCCTCTAGTGGTTCATGTAAGACCCAAAAGCGCAAACAAGACAAGGCAGTTACAGCGCGGAAGACTGTAGCATCTTCGAGCTTAAGATTTGTGGATTCGGAGTTCTCGGTTTGGGTGATATGGCATTGGAATTGGTAGCCATGGTTTTAGGTGTTGCTTTCTGTTTTAGTTGTAAGAAGTGGGATTTAGGGTTGAGGGTTTAGGATCCAGAGCTTAGGCGGTGACTGTTGGGACTTCGAAGGTGGTAGTGGTACCGGGTTGGGGTCCAAGTCCCAAATCCCGACGTCGGAACACGAATCGCAAGGTGCGCTTGTGAGGGTGTTGTGCCTGCTGCTGGCAATCAGAGGCACGGTGGACGGGCCAGGGGTTCAAGTATGCTGCTGGTGTTACGAAGTTGTTGTTGACATGGGTGTTGATCATGATGTTGATGTAGATGAGGCACTGACGCTGCTGCATAGTGGTGATTAATGAGGCTTTTGACCTGCATTCTCATCAAGATGACCGTTTCGTGGTCGTGGCGTTTTGTTGTTATTGGTCATCTAATACTGCTACAAGTACGAGTACTAATGTTGGTACCGGTACTAGCACTACCACCACGACCTTTAATCACTACGTCTACGAGTACCACTGCCACCACCACCCTCAAAACCACTACGAGTACCACTACCACTGCTACTGCTGCTACTGCTACTGCTACTGCTACTGCTACTGCTACTGCTACTGCTACTGCTACTACTACTGCTAGTGCTGGTGCTGGTGCTGGTGCTAGTGCTAGTACTAGTACTCGTACTCGTACCCGACTCGTACTCGTACTCGTACTCGTACTCGTACTCGTACTCGTACTCGTACTACTACTACTACTACTACTACTACTACTACTACTACTACTACTACTACTACTACTGCTACTACTACTACTACTACTACTACTTCTACTTCTACTACTACTACTACTGCTACTACTACTACTACTACTACTACTACTACTACTACTACTACTACTACTACTACTACTGTTACTACGACTTACTACGACTACTACGACTACTACGACTCCTACCACGCTACTACAGTTGCTACTAATACAGCCAGTACTGGTACCGGCAATACCAGTACTACTAGTACCAGTTTGGTGGAACCATGAACCTTTTTGCGTGTGCCATTGAACCGAAGGTTCCGAGATCCACAAAGTCTCAAGGGGGTAGCTCTACTGCCTGAAACACAGGAGCCTTCGACGATCCTGAATTCCGCAAGCGTGCCTCCGTATACGCGCGTATACGCGCGTCAAAGTGGCGGGCGTGTGATGCGCCAACTGCGAAAGCACACAGTATTGGGTTGTCCTGAATTGGGCATCCGCTGCAGATGGCCCCGCGGCAGTGGGCCCTTAGCCGCAAACCGCAAACGCAAAACCCCAACCCTAAACCGTGAACTCCTAACCTCGACCCCGGAGCCAAAGCAGAATCATTCATGGAAGGCATTGGCTTCATAGCCTGGCCCACGCACCAGAAGAGGAGGGCAACGCCGAAACTCCGAAGTGTGTGGTCGGAACATTTTAGGACGTGTTTAGAATTTAGGCTTCAGGGTTGAGAACGTGTGGCTTTGGGTTTGTGGGGTTTTGGGTTTCGGGTGTGTGCAGGGGTGTTTGCACAGGCTCTTTAGGGGTGCTTGTAAGGGGTTTTGATAGGGGTCTTGATGGGTCTATGAGAGTTCTGAGGTTTGGGGGGAGTGCTTCAGGGTTTTACGGGTTCGGGGGCTGAGCCTTGCACTACCCGGATGCGGCTACCTGAGTCCCTAAACACGCACTGTACCGGTATACTTATCGCTGAACCTTAGCTAAAGCCCTAAAACCCTAAAGCCCTAACCCGCTGTGCTACCTGGCAACAACACAGGATTTGGCCCTGCCGACATAATAACTATAGTCTCCTTAAATTTTTTAAAATGTTTGTTCCTATAAAAACCCAGAAGACTATTAAGAATATTGTTTTTATTTTGCTTCTAAGGGGGGTATAGACAAGCCCCAAGACCCCAACTCCACCCCCCCACCAGAGTAATCATCAGGATCCCCAACCCAGCTTACACCCCGGAATCCCTGCCGTACCTACGTAATCCAGACCTCTAAACTTTAAACGGTTTCGTATTGTAAAATTTTATTTGCACACTTGACTTGGAAAGCCGTCCTGCAACCCTGATAAAGATTTTGAGAACAACCTTGTAACAGTCCGTTTCAATTCCTGACGCTCAGAAGACTCCTTTCTTGTTGCATTCAGTCTTGCCCTAAAGACCCCTAAACTCCTACGAAGCCCTCGAAACCCCTTTCAAAACCCTCATCTTAAGAACCCTATCAGGCATTCACAAAACCTACAGCCTTAAAGCACCCTTAAGCAGCTGCAAAGCCACTCGGCCGAAGGGGTCATGGCGCCCTTGTCCTTCTAGAACCCTTTCTACAGCAAACAGGGGGTGTAAAGTTAAACCACTTTCTTAAACTTTTAAACCCTCTCTGACTCCGGAAACCGCCTTTTTCCCACCTTGGAGGAGACCTGGGCTGCAGGGGCGACCTGCGCTACAGGAGCGATACGGGGGAGAAAGGGAGGTTTCGGTTTTTAAGGAACTTGATTTGAGTTACCATAATGGGGATTTATAAGGGTTCGTCCAAGGAAAGGGATGTTCTTTTGTTTCTGCGTGTGCTTTCTGTTTTGCAAAGGGGAGAGTATGAGTTCTTGTTCTTGCGGTTTCATGGTACCGAGGGCTGAGCTTTGCTTAGGTGTTTTAAATGCCTTTTTTCGGGATGGGGGGAGGGTTGAATTGCAATTTTCGGTTGTGAGCGGACATGTCTGGGTTTGCGGCCGTTGGGGCGTTGCAGCACTTCAGGGTTGTAGAGTGCCGGGTTTAAGGGTTAAGGACTTGTGCTTTTCACGGCGCTGCCGGTTTATAGCCTGGTCGATTTTGGGTTTGGGCTCGTGATTTGAGGGCTTGGGGTTTGGGAATTGGTTTTTGGGTTGCGGGATTTGATGGTTGGGTTTTTGGCATTGTCGGGTTAGTAAAGTGAGAAATTACGATGGGAATCCCCACGCAATAGGTGACTGGGCTATGCGAACAATCATCTTAACTCATATATAGGTTTGAGGAACATCAACCCACGAAACAGGCAGGTTGGACTTGTGGGATAGTTGAGGGTTGAACCCTAAAGCAACCCTAAATCCTGAACCCTTAACCACTAACCCTAAGCCTTAAATCCCAAAAGAGCCATTGCACCTTTAAAAAAAAAATCCCAAAACCCTAAACCTTAAATCAAAGACCTGCTCTGCGTGCGGAGTGGAGAAAGAGCCATTGCACTTCAAAAAAGCCCTTAAATCCTAGAACCCTAAACCCTAATCTCTAAACTCTAAAGCTCTAAACCCTAAACCCTAATCTCTACACCCTAAAGCCCTAGACCCTAAAGCTCTAAACACCACCCTAGAACGCAGGATCTCACCGTGGATGCAGTCTCTGAACTGAAGGCGCCGTCGTCTGTTAGAGGGCCCTTTGGGCTCAAGGCTTTAAGACTGTAGGGTTTAGGTTTAGGGGCATTGAGGGTTTCAGTACCTTAAGCTCTGAATCTAGGTGTAGGGTCTAGGTGCAGGGGCGTTGAGGGGTACAGGACTTTAAGATCTGACTCTAGGCTTAGGGCCGTTCATTTTTTCTATGGGAGCTGTAACATGTGACCCTCCCGATGGTGCATGATGTCCCAGACCGCCTTTTGTGCCATCATAGTTTCTTACAAGACTGTAACCCCGCGTAAATCCTTGAGCACTCTCTACAAACCGTCACTTTCCAAAGCCACAAACGCAAAACTCCTACTATAGGGGCTTAAATGATAACCGACCTCTTTCATTTGGCTTCCTGAATGTTCTTGCTCCAAAACCCTGTTCTAATGATTGAGACCCTTGTACTGTCATAGATCTAACGCGGGATTGTGCGCATCAGTGCGAGTCTGCCAAGGTTGGTCGGCTTCGGGAGGAGCTGCGGGCGGCTGGTGGTGAGCCAAGAAGTTGTTTTTAAAGACAAGCTTTAGGGTTTGTGTCTCTATGTGTGTCAGATTTGTGTGTGACTGAGCACGATTAGGGCTTCGGGGTTGAGGTTTTGGGTGGTTTCGGATTCCCGGGCTCGGAAGGCGTAGGGTTGAGCTCTTCAGTTGAAGTCGGAAGGCTTTGGGTTCCATGGCTCCGGGCTTTGAGGGCGTAGGCTTTGGCAAGGCAGCTCTATTCAGGCCCGTATATATATATATATATATAAATAAATATATATATATATATATATATATATATATATATATACACATTTTTTTTAGAACCCTGAACTCCTAACCCCCTGAACTCTGAACCCGAAACCCTAAACCCGAAAAGGTATTAGAGCACAGGGTTTCGGTTTGAGGGAGTTGGAGTCTTGTGGCCTGAGGTGGTGAGTTTCGTGCACAGGGTGAGGGATTCAGTATGTAAGGGCTTTGGGCTGCGTTTGTGGGTTTAGATTGTCGAAGTTCAAGATCCAGAGTTTTGAGTTGTCGGTGTAGGGTTTGGGGGCCTGCGAGGGTGGAGACTGTCTGTAGACGGTGTTCATCGACGGGGGCACTCAGGTTTTAGTAGTTCTTTATTGTTAGTGTCTTTTGGGGCTTTCTCGTACCGGCCCGTGAGGCTTAACGACCAACTGAAGTCCTGCAGGGTTCAACCCAGTTGCAGTGAAAAACAGGACCCTACCCATCCCTTCGTTGCTGTGGCCAAGCTTTTAAATCCAGGTTTCGTTTTGCTCCCAAAATTCTGTTTTGTTTGATCAATCTGCGTGTCTTGATCTTTTACTGATAGTGTTGCCGCATTGCTTTGCGAAACACAGCCCCGGATAGAGTCAGATTTGTTCCAACCAAGTTGCTGGTGTTGTGAATCTTGCAACATCTCTCAAGCAATGACCGACGCAGCTGTGAACATTCTCGCCAACATGACCGAAGCGGACGCACCTTTGACAGCAACGGAAAATGCAGCTGCTGCATTGCTTGGGTGTTGACGTCAACAGCCTTGATCTTTCTTTTTGATGACGGCAGAGGTAGGTTTTTTTTTGCAGGCCTGGTCCGCGACCGCAGCATTAGTAAAGAATTGCCAGGCAATGTAGTCTGCACGGACAAGCCACAGATGTTGGCAGAGCTGAAAGCTTTGTGGCAGGCTCATGCTATGCAGACGCCTTGTACTGTTGCAGTCGTCGTTCCGGAAAGTGGCCAGGGAGTCCGCACAGTGAGTGTATGGTGGCAACCGTCTCGAGTCCCCGAGCTGGTTCGAATCAAGGTTCACCAGCTTGCCACGAAGCCAGGCCCCATCCCTAAGGAGCCTATCAATGCCAAGATTTCCTCGATTAAGAGCCCGTCAAAGTGCACTGTTAGAGTACGTCCCCCCGAGCAGTATCGTTGCATGTACAGCGCTAACGGAGCCCAGGACAAGCCAGAGATGGTCATCAGCGAGCTGGCCAGCAAGGCCGGAGTTCAGGCTGCAATGCTTACAAGAGGGACTTGGGAGCGACTCACACAGAAGCACTCCTCGAAAAGATCAGCGGGCACAGAGGCTTGTTCGTTTGTCGATTGCAGAAGCCACCTCAGCAAGTGGTGGCATGGATAAAGAAAGAAAAACATGAGGATGATGAAACATAATTTAGAAGAGTGCAAGGCTTAGCCAGTGCACAGAAGAAGCCGATGTCATTTCGGCAAGGAGGTGGGTCGGATCTCGGTGTTTGTGGCGGAGCCCGCGAGGCCAAGACCAAGCCAAAAATCCGCACTTGGGCGCTGCACTGGGCACCCGATGCGTGGACGCAAGTTCAAGTGGAAGAGTTCTTGAAAGCCCAGCGCTGGACTGACGTCACAACCTTGACCAGACGTAAAGCTTGGAAACGCAGAGAGCCCCACCAGTGGGTGTTCAGAGCTGCGCCTGCAGATGTGACTTCAGATCTGAAGGTCACGTTCACCTATGCCGATGGTGACAAGACCTTGACAGTCACCATGGAAAACGTGCGTAAGCAGCGTGGGCGGGATGGCGTTCCTGTGTCGGGTCCTAAGAAGCAGTGGGTGGACAAAACCCCTGCGGTCGCAGAGGTCCTCCCAACGCAGTTGGATGCTGAATTTCAAGAAATGGACGTCGACTCCAAGACTGGCACCAAAAGGTGCACTGAAGATGCGGAGGCAGCCGATGCGGCCAAATGCAGAGGAAACTCAGAGACAGCCGGAACCGCGCCGGCCGGCTCCCCTGATATGCCTACTGCCAAGCTCGTGGGCAGCGATGTGGAAGAGACGGAGGAGCTGAGGTTGCTTCTCAATGAGGCCCCCGGCTGGAAAGTGCGGGAATGTGGAGGGAGTGTGCATTCCTGGCAGTGGCAAGTGCGATAGCCTGGTTGCAGGGCAAATCGCTGGACGAAGCTGCTTTGGGCAGGGAAGCCGCTACTTTGCGGTTACTCGCTGTAGCCCACATGAGCAAGCACAAGGAATTTTCCGAGAGCTGGGCACCGGATCCGGAAGAGAAAGAAACGATGACTGCAGGAGCCCCTGTGCCGCAAAGTTTCAAGCAGTACTTTGAGCGCTGCTTGCAAAGGCTACTGGGCAGACACGTTCCTGCTACGAGCCCTTGCAAGCCGCATCGGACACCCGCTGATAGTGTGGAAGTGGGTGCCTGGTTCGGGCACTTGGACCAGGGGAGTGGTAGCCCCATGGTTCAAAGACGGGTATGCACAAGGATCCAGGAAGGCCAAGCCGATCTTCTGCCTGGTCCTCTACAAACATCACTTTCAGGCTTGGGTGCACGAAGCCAAGGAAGAGCCCCCGCTAGCTTGGACTCGGGAGACAAAACTGCAAGAGCGTGCCAGTTGGAAAGGTGCCGGGCCCAAAAGTGTGCGAAGTGACCGGCTTTCTTTGCCTGGTGGGACACCTAGCAAAAGGAGCGTTTCTTCTTTGTCTCTGCCTGCCTCGACGCCGTGTCGTTCGAGCAAACCGGGCCGTTCCTTGCCTCCCGGTACTCCCCGTGCCGGCGATGCCGGTGTCAGCAGCACTGTGCGTGCGGCTACGGGCTCTGCGCGTAGTACAGTGCGAGCCGAAAGTCTGCCCAGCAGCAAGACCGCTGCAAGCAGTAAGGACCCCAAGAAGAATAGTTTCTGCCCGGATTGTGGTCAAGAAATCAAGGCGAGCTCCGCTGCTCAGCTGGTGTGGAGCATGTCCAATCACTACCGATACGTGCATCAGAAAACGAAAAGACCTCGTGGAGCGCATATTCGGCAGTATATTCAAAAGATTGAGCCCAGTGCCGCCATACCGGAAGCCGAGCGCTCATGGTCATGCGAGTTGTGCAAAGTTGGATTGCCTGGCATGCCTTACGCGCAGCAGAAGGCTTCAGCGAACGAGCACTTGCGTGTCTGCCACCCGGGTGTTTCCCTCAAGCAGCACTATGACATGAAGCGCAAACGGCTGAAGCGTGAGAAAGCAAGTGGCCAAATCAATACGGAACACTTGAGTCAGGCTTGGGATGCGCTTAAGAAAAAGCACCGTGCTCGCTGCTTAAAGCTTTTGCTGCAGAAGAAAGCAAAAGTGGGCAAGCGCAGGCTTGTGCCAGTGGAGTGGGACTGGAAGGAGGCGCGGGCTAGAACGAAAGGCTTCATGAAGACATGCGCCCGTTGTTTTCGCATGTGCTATAGGGTCACTAGCTTCAAGAGCATCGAGTGTGCTGGATTGCCTAAGACCCACGGTCGCGCCATTTTCCGCTATTTTATTTGGCATCAGATGACAACTGACTCGCCTGGCAATCCCGAAAAGCTGCTGCAAGCATGGGGCCTGACGCATGCAGAGTTCGTGCAGAAGCTTGGATTGACGCCTGACCAAGTCAAGAACAGAGTGGCCGCACTCGAGGGTCGGCCCTTCCACATGGGCCAAGCATGCGAAGCCTTCTGCCAAGAAGTAACCGCCCGCTGCCATGATTCGTGTCACTACTCTTAACGTGGGAGGCCAGATGGGCCTTTGGCGAGTCATGCATGGTGTGGTGACTCGGCAGCAAAGCGAAGTCTTCTGTCTGCAGGAAACCAGCGTCGATGCTAGCTAGCTAGACACTGGAAATCTTTTGAAGCTGCTGCAAAAAAGGCCGGGTATCGTGCTTACATGGTGCCGGCCTTTCCTTGCAATGATAGGTGGAATAGTGGGTGTAGGTTAAAGGGTGGTCTGATTTCCTTAGTCTCTGCCCATTTGCCCCAGCGGCGAGGGGATGAAACTCGAGAGCATGATGTGCAGCTCTTGACTATGTGGGTTTCGCAGATCGCAGTGGTGAATGTGTATGCTAAGCCCGAAGAAGAAAGCAGGAACCGCCTTGCGTGTCTCCTGCCCCAAGCAGTCTTGGGCCAAAGGGTTCAAGAGAAGTGGTTGGCTGCTGGTGACTTTAATGCCGAGGCAGACGATGAGGACATGGTTGCAGCCTGTCATCTGTTAGGTGGGCAGTTCCACCCGCAAGGTCGGCCGACCAGGTGGAATTCCGGCCGTGAAATAGACCTCTTCGCCAGTAATTGTCCGGATGCTGTGTCTTGCGTGCGATTGCTGGATGACGAATGGGTTAGTGACCACATTCCCGTTGCCTGTAAGGCAGCGCAGTGGACCCAGCTCCTTGCAAAGCATTGGCAGACTTCTCAGCTTCCTCAGATTGACCCTTCGTCCATTCAAGAGGCGTGGGATGAGTACATGCAGCAACTTGATGCTACGCTCCGTGCAGCTACGGCTGAAGTGGCGACAAAGCTTGAAGGTTCAGATGAAGCTGCAGAGCTACAGAAGCAATTTGCGGCGATGCGGGCCTAAGGGCGGTTTGCCTGAGTGGTCTTTGTGCAATCGGCCCTGCAAGCCTGCAAGACCCGGGGAGAGCAATATGCGCATTTGTAAGCTGCGGCGGAAGCTGGCTCGAGCTGTTGAAGCTAAGAGACTTTTGCGTGCAGCAGACCCGGCCTTGCGCGAGAACCCGTTGCACGGGCTGTTGCATAAGGTTTTAGGTTTTGTGCCCAGTAGTGTAGGTGAAGCGGTTCGCCTACTCCTGGCTGCGGTGCAAGACTTGCAAAGAAGCATTGCTGCTGCTGAGCTGCAGGACAAAAATGCCAGGCTGGAACAGTGGAAGGCTGATATGCACCACTTGCCGCAAGCCTCTCGTTGGATTAAGGGTAGGAGGCAGCCTTGCATGCCTACTATCATTAATGATGAAGGTGCTACAGAGATGCCGGAGCAAGCTGTCGATGCCATTGCTTCTCATTGGAGCGGCGTGTTTGCTGAAGGCCGCCGGCCGGTTCAAGAGGTAGCTGCTAACCTGTGTGCTTCCGCCCCGGCGTGCGAGCAGGCGCAATGGCATTGGCCTCAGTCGAAGCAGCGCCGCAGAGCCTTGACAGAGACCGCACCCGCGCCCACTGGCGGAGCGGACAATTGGCAACCGTGCGAATTGCGTTACCTTCCAAACGAGCCTCTGGAGCGGTGGCTCATTCTTGCTCGCCAGTGGGCCTTACAGGGTTTGGTCCCGAAACAGCTCAGCATTGGTGTGCAAAGCAACCTTGTTAAACCTAAGAAGGTGCAGCAAGGTCAGTTACATGCTAAGCTGCTAAGCATACTCGACCCATCACGGTGATGAGTGTGTTTTGGAGGGCATTGGCAAGTGCCAAACTGGCGAAAGTGCATTGTTGGCAGGCCTTAAGAGTATTAAGAGTCTGCTTCGACCCACTGTGACGCACGATGACGGCGACGAGCTGGATGCCTGGCTCCTTGCTGAGTTGTCATCGTTGATTGAACACCGTAAGCCTGGAACTCTGCAGGACAACTTACGAAGATTGGTTACCTGGCTGGATAAGTGGGAAAGCAGGCTGCAGCACACAGTGGCGATTGGGCTCAGGATCACGATTATCGCTTCTTGTGGACTGCGGACTCTTGGTGGCTCTCTACATGTCCCAGGTGGTCCTCGGAGATTGGTCAACATTGTTTGGACAAGTTGACGGACTCAAGGGCACGGTCTTTGTCGCAGGCCGAGCTCGAGCCAAGGGTGAGGATGATCCTCATCCTTGTTGGAGTCAGCGACTTGGGTACGAGCTGGCGGCAACAACATAGGAAAGAGAAGGCTCAAGTTCTCAAGTCAGAGGTGGTTGGGCATGCCACTTCGGGATAGCGCCTAAACAGCGATCTTGTAAAACGACAGAGGTGTGAAGATCGGGCGCACCTGGAGACGCGAGGACAGTGTGGTGGTACGGATGGTCATCGACGCTCGTTTCGCACAGCAGTGGAGACAAACGGTGGCCAAACCAGGCAATCCCGAAGGCGATGACTGAAGTTTACGACATGTGGGGATTTGAACTTCATACGGCAGCCGACGGAGCGCAGGCTCTATCAGAGGATTAGCTCGTGTTTCCCGGCCAGTTTCGCTAAGGAGCTCATGAATCATTCTGGCGCTCTACATGGGGGGATCGATGGTTCGTACAGCCCATGGGCATGGAACTTGAAGGCGCAGTACGCTGCATCGCGTGGGATGGCAAGGAGACGTGGAGCGACTACGCGGGCAGACTACACAAGGACATTTGCTTGGTAAGTATCAACTTGGAGTGCGAGTTTCAGCTACCGAGGCGGCGAAGCATCCCACAACCACCCATTGGACCATGCAAGGCGTGCAGCAGGGCGTGCGAGCAGACGTGATCTAGAGGAGTTGGTGCAAACTACGGCGGAGGACGGCGATGGCGCAACCTTGCACTTGGTTTTCACCAAGAGCAGCCGGAAGCGACGCAGGGAAGGGGGACACTCAGCAACATGGCAAATGCAAAGCCACCGACTCCGAGTCCACCAACAAGTCGGCGTTGAAGGGCTTTGATCATTGGGGCTACGGCGGCAGAAAACACCGCTAACGACAATAGCGGAAAGTGCTTGTTGCTAGCCGCCGCTCATCAGCTGGAGATTCTACGGCCCAAGGAACGCAAACGAAGTCATCGACAAATTCGGGAGTTCACTCATGCATATTTGCTCAAGGCCAAGGACAAGTTGAGTCACAAGTGGGACAACACGAACGCCAAGGGCAAAGCTACCACCGATTCGTTCGATGACTTCCTTACCGAGCTGCGCAAGATCGGTACTTGGGCCGGGGCCTTCGAGCTCAACGCACTGGCCGAGGCACCGAAAGTCAAGTTTCTCGTAGCCACGTCTTGTGGAGAGGTTCAGGGTTAAAGAATTCAGCCACGAAGCCAAGGAGGCGATCAGGCTCTACTACGACTACGGCGCGGCACTCTGGGAATCCGTATCCGAGGTCGACATGCAAGCCTGGTGCAAGATCAAGCAGCAGAACGAGATGACACCCGTGAACATTGACGATACGGAGGAGGAGATAGCCAACATCAAGCGAGTGAGAGGTGATTTTGCCTCGGTGACGTCTCGGGGCCGTGCTCATCGCAAGGCGCCGTCGTCATTGAAGTTGAGTGATTTTGCCTCCGATTCCTCCGACAAGGCCTCCCACAAGAAGTCAAGGAAAAAGGCACAATCCTCCAGTAGCAGAGCGGCAAAGCAATCCGAGGACAAAGCTGCAAGTTCAGACGACACTTCCGCCGTGCAACGCGGCGGGTCATCGTTTATAGGTCCAGGTGCTATGTGCTTGCGAGATGTGAAGGCGCCGATCGTGGAGGCCCGGAATCGCGGCTTGGACGCACCAAATCGGTCCCAACCATGTGCCATCTCATCAAGCAGTTGGGCCGGACACCCATGTGTTCGTCCCAGCATTGCGAGAAACATACGGCAGCATATAGCAACGAGCGACTGTTCTCTGGAGAAGTTGCAAATTTTCCAGTTTGTAGCTGACAACCGTGAGAAAACCATGTGCAGTTTGGCACCACTCCCTTTTTCCACGGGCGGCTCGAGATGGGGATGCACTACTTGCGGGAGATATTGGAGAAAGTTCAGCCTTCTCAAAACCTCCGTTCAGGAAAATATCGGCCAAGAATGCCAAGGGCCTTTAGGGGCAATAGCTTCAAGCAATCTTGGACTAAGGCATGCAAGGAGGATAAGGAAGTCCTCAAGTGCTGCTACAAGATGTCCCCCAAAGAGGTGGGGAGGGCCGATCAAGGCACAGCGGCTTTCACGAAAACCATTGGCCGTCCCAAGAACGGCAAATGCCTTGCCAAGGCTGTCTTGAAGGCCCACACAAGCGCGGAGAGAAAGCACGAACGCGCTGCCAAGCTTGTCGAACGGCCGCCCCAGGCCATCAAGGCAACGAAAGCCATGAAGACACTGCCACAGTCCCTTCATATGGACATGTGAGGAGTGCTACCTGACAATCGAGGCGGCTAATGATATGCGCGTAAAGGGGGGCAAGAAGGTGTGGGCGCACATGGGTAAGTACCATCCAGAGCTCCGCCAGCCGAAGTGCCGAAGGACACGAAGATCAGCAAGCGTAAGGGCCTACCGAGTTGGAAGTCCGACATATGTCACTTGTGGCCCAATGCAGAGAAACCCCGGCATCTGGAACACCAGCGGCGAGCGCACATGGCCACTATGCATCCAGGCGTTGACCCAGCCGAATTTGTCAGCACCATCAACGGCAAGCGGCGGAGGCGAGACTTGCGCGCGCCTTCGTTGCCGAGAGGCCAACCCCGTCTGCCAGTTGCACATCCAAGAAGTCACGAAAAGAGCACTGGGACCGTATCCGGCATGTGCCAGCTGGCCGTGTCGACACAAATGTCACGCTTGGGCCCAGTCCCTCACTCTTTTTTGAAACCACTTGTTCGATACTCTTGAAATCCTTAGCCTCAGTCCCCAGACCCTTACCCCCACGTTACGAAAAACTTTTTTGCCGATTTCGGCAGAAGTATAACTCTATTCAGCATATCTACAAGCGTAGGGCAACCGAGGCTTGGACGACACTGGGATCCGCTCCGCACTGGTGCAGCGCCGCGGCCTATGCCAAGGGTCTGGTTGGCTGTGGCTCTTCGGTGTTTTCTTTGTACCATTAGTTGAAGTAACAATAGTAAATTAGGGGCACTTTTCATACTAATAATTACGACAGGAATCACAATCATGATTTACAGCGATGGTTATGGTAATAGTGGTGGTGGTGGCAGTAGTAGCAGTAGTAGTAGTAGTAGTAGCAGCAGCAGCCCCTGCAGCAGCAGCGGCAAACTTGATTTTGGCAGACGTCTGTACATGCAATCCTCTGCTTCGCGCGAGATTGGCCCAGAAGTCGCTTCTCCCTATTCTAAGTCTTGCGACGACACTCGAGCTTCAAGCTTCGAATTCCTACGAGGCCCGAAGAAGGTAGCTGAGATTTCGCAAAGACTAAGCAAGCATTGCGGGGGAGTGGCAAAGAAACAAACCCCGAGCCCGGTTTGGGTATACGGGTTCTAGGTTTGGGGCTTAGGTGTTTAGGGTTTCCATAAGAACACGTAGATAGAAAGTTCAATCCACACGTATGTATATGTACATATGTATAAATATATATATATATATATTTATATTTATTTATTTATTTATATATATACATAAAATGTATATGAACATGGATATACATGAAAATGTAAATATAGATCCGCAAATATGTAAACAAGAAATCTATCTGTCTATCTATTCATCTAACTGTCTATCTCTCTATCTGTCTATCTGTATATATATATATACGACGTACATACATGCATGCACACACACAGACACATATATAATTATGCTTCCTAAAAAGCTTCGATATGTTGCGGCTCCCAGGCCTTGTTGCCGCCGTGGAGGCCGCAGCCAGCACCGTCGAGACTGCAGAGGAGCCTCGTCGGCACAAAGACGTTTGGCCCAAGCGGTTCAGAGTGTTTCGGGTCTGCCCGCTTCGACTCCGCACCGTAAACAGTCGCGTGGCCTTCGGCTTAAAGTTTGTTCGGTTCAGTCTTTGCACATCGGATCGTTGGGCTTAGAGTCTCGGCCATAGTTCGGCGTTCAGGCTCAAGGCGTCTCGGCAACACCGCATTCATGCTGAACCATCGCTGTGCCAGTGAACCATGATGATGCTAGCAACACCAAGAGCCATGGTAATCACACCACAGCCGTCGCTGTTGCTGAAGCATCTACAACTGCTGCTGCTGCTGCTACTGCTGCTGTCGCTGCCACCGCCACCAACACTGCTGCTGCTGCTGCCCATACCATGACGATTACGACCACCATGGCACCCCTAACAGATAACGCAATGAACGCGTGTGGGCTCTAATTAGTATTAGTATTAGTAGTGGTATCAGTATGTATGTTAGAGTATTAGTGTTTTTTAAAATATTTTAGTATATTTCAGTATATTTTAGTATAGTATATTTAGTATATTAGCATATTAGTACATAAGTACATTAGTATATTAGTATATTAGTGTATTAGTATATTAGTAGATTAGTAGATTAGTATATTAGTATATTGGTATACCACTATATTAGTATAGTAGTATACGAGTATATCAGTATAGTAGTACAGTAGTATAGTAGTATAGTAGTATAGTAGTATAGTAGTTTAGTAGTATAGTAGTATAGTAGTATATTAGTATATTAGTATATTAGTATAAGAGTTTTTAAGTTTATTAGTTTGTTAGTCTGTTAGTATATGAGTATATGAGTATATGAGTATATGAGTATATCAGTATATCAGTATAGTAGTATAGTAGTTTATTAGTAGATGAGTATATGAGTATATCAGTATAGCAGTATAGTAGTATATTAGTAGAATAGTACATTAGTATATTAGTATATGAGTATATGAGTATATTAGTATATTAGTATATTAGTATATTAGTATATTAGTATATTAGTATATTAGTATATTAGTATATTAGTAGTATATATTAGTATATTAGTATATAGATTATTATTAGTATATTAGTATATTTAGTATTTTAGTATATTAGTATATTAGTATATTAAGTATATCAGTATATTAGTAGTATATTAATATATTAGTAGTAAGTTTATTAGTAGATGAGTATATGGGTATATGAGTATCTATAAAGTATATTAGTATGTAGTATATTAGAGTAGTAGTATAGTAGTATAGTAGTATAGTATTATAGTAGTATAGTGTATAGTTAGTATATAGTAGAGTAATAGTAGTAGTATATTATGTAGTGTATTAGTGTATTAGTGTATTAATGTATTAGTGTATTAGTGTATTAGTGCATTAGTGCATTAGTATATTAGTATATTAGTATATTAGTATATTAGTATATTAGTTCATTAGTTTATTAGTATATTAGTATATTAGTATATTAGTATATTAGTATATTAGTATATAAGTATATAAGTATATTAGTATAATAGTATATTAGTATATTAGTATATTAGTATATTAGTATATTAGTATATTAGTATATTAGTATATTAGTATATTAGTATATTAGTATATTAGTATATTAGTACATTAGTACATTAGTATATTAGTATATTAGTATATTAGTATATTAGTATATTAGTAGATTAGTATATTAGTAGATTAGTATATTAGTATATTAGTATATTAGTATATTGGTATATTGGTATATTGGTATATTGGTATATTGGTACATCAGGATATGAGTATATAAGTATATCAGTATATGAGTATATGAGTATATGAGTATATGAGTATATGAGTATATGAGTATATGAGTATATGAGTATATGAGTATATTAGTATATGAGTATATGAGTATATGAGTACGTGAGTGCGTGAGTATATGAGTATATGAGTATATGAGCATATTAGCATTGGAGCATATGAGTATATAAGTATATGAGTATATATAAGTATATGAGTATATGAGTCTATGAGTATATGAGTATATGAGTATATCAGTATAGTAGTATAGTAGTATTTTAGTATATTAGTATAGTAGCAAATTAGTATATCAGTATATTAGTAAGAGCGGCGAGATCTGTCGGAGCCAGGAGAGAAGGCAGCAAAGCCCTGCGCCTTTTGCTCCAGGAGGCGACTTGGAGGCGCCCGGTGTCGTGTTTTTGAGCTTTGCACCGGGAGGTCATTCTGCAGTTCTGCCGATCTGATTCCGTGGTGTTGTTGCGGCTGTTCTTGTGATTGCTGTTGTTGTTGTTGCGGTTGCTGCTGAGTTGTCGGTGGCTGCTGCTTGCCTGTGAGTTTGTGCTCTTCTTGTTCTTCCTCTTCTGGAGCGTGCGGTGGTGTTGGTTGCGTGCAGGGACACACTTCCAGTGGTACCGGTCAGAGCTTGGGCTTCTTTGATTTTCGGGGGATTTCTTTTTGGGCTTGGAAGGGTAGGTGTTTGCCCCTGAACCCTATACTTCCCCGGTTTCTGCAGGCGTTTGCAAGCTCTTGGGGGTGGCCTAGCGTTCAGGATGTTCGCGGTTTCGTTTGAAGGGTCGGGCTTGAGGGGGTCAGGGCATCATGGCTGGGACCTGAAACCCGCAACACAAACGCCCCAGGCTTTGAAGTTTTCGGTCAGACCCCAGACCCCGCGCCCTAAACCCAAAACCTACAACCTACACCTAACCCTAAACTGGTGTAGGGAACCCGCTGAAGTTGTTGGGGCAGAAACCCGTGCATGGGTCACCATGAGCCGAGATACAACGTCTCTTGCAACCTGGGCGTGTCCTAGGGCCTAGGGCCTAGGGCGATCCCCACCATTTCGGGCATGGGGTTTGTCGGCTTGTATCTCCGGCCCTAGACATACCTTAAATCCAAATCCGACGCCCTGGACCCTAAACCCCAAGCCCAGGAACGCTGGAAGTAGGTCAATCACTACTAAGCCCCAAAACCCTATTGCACAGTCCCTCACTAACCCTTTTACTTTACCATCCGATCCCATAACCTTGCAGTAGCAAACATAATATGCTTCGTTTTGGCAGCCCCTTATGCTGGCACCAGGGGCCGTCGGTGCGGTTTCTGGTTAATGCCACCGTTGGCCGCATGGCGCCTCGGCTTCGAGTTTTGGGGTTTGGGGTTTAAGATTTGGTTTAGGGTTCGGGTATCATGCAAGATGCCATGTCCTAACCCAGTACTTGAAGGTTCGTGGGTTTGCACAAGCAGGTATGGAGTCTAGTAGCTACGGCTCCAATCAGACAATGGCCCGGGTCAAATGACAACACAGTTGGATGCAGCTGTTTGAGGGTTCCTTTAAGAGTCATTTAAGGAAGCCCTCAAGCCCTCAAGCGAGACTGCAATCGAATTCGTAAGCCTCACACCCCGAAGCCACAATTCCCCTCTTGATCTTCAAAGTCCTACATAACTTACATAACTATTATCCCAAAAAGAGTATCTGATTATTGGGTGCTTTGGACCCTTAGGGTGCTTCTCTGATCCCGGTGAGGGTCGAATTGACTGGAGCTGCTTGGGTTCGATCCCAGGGTTCTGTTCCTTTATATATAATTGGCCTTAACAATAAGAGTAGGGTTCCTTTAAAGGGTTCTCAAAAAGAGTCCTATTAGGGTTGCTATAGGGGGTATCATGGGGTGTAAATAAGGGCTTAAATAACTACCTTTACTAAATTTTGGGGGTTCCTTTTTGCGATGGTAATCTAATGGGCCCCAAAGCCCTATTCTGATTATTAAGGCCCCCATATTAGACCCAAAAGTTTACAATTCAAGGTCGAGCGTCCAGGGTGTTGGGCTTGCCGTTTCGTGTGGCAGACCTGCAGGACTAACTTAGAGAGACTCTAGATAGCCCTATAGGCTCTATAGGTTACTGTAGATCCCTGTTCTTTACAGAACAGGTGAGCTTTCCTGACAAGGCCCTAACTTTTTTTCCGGGCGTTGGGGGCCCATCACCGAACTTCATTTTACCCTTATAGCAACCATTTTAGTAAACTTTGGTATCAGAACCTTATTAGCAGAAACCTTAAACTTATAGCAATCGTTTCAGAACCATTAAAGTTTAGCAGCCGCGCTAGTAGCTTCGTTACCATAACCTTACATTACTTTGTTTGGGCATAAAAGCCTGGTGCCGATGCCTCCGAGGCACGCGTCGTGGAGGGCTCGACCTCCGATGCCCTCCTCGTGGTCGGGGACTTCACAGGCTGTTGACTAAACGCTCAACGATTCTATAGGGGTTCCTTGAAGGGTCTGTATGGGTTCTAAAAGGGCTCCTTTAAGGGATCCTTGAGGAGTTCCAAAAAGCCAAACTCTCAGCTGTAAATCCTACACCCGAGGCCACAAGCACGAAAATCCTTTATGCTTGAACCTCACACCCTAAACCCCAGACAGTGGTAGCTTTGGGCTTGTGCGCTGTAAACACATTAGGACATCCAAGGCTTCATGTTGAAAGGTGTGGTTGTGGGGTTTACTGGAGATTGTTGGTGGGTGCGCTGGGTGGGGATGTAACGCATTTTGGGGAGTTTGTTGTACGCGTGCACGTATGTGCGTATGTATGTATGTATGTATGCACGTGGATGTATGTAGTAAGAGTTTGTGCACCCTCGACGGCCCCACTGAAGAAGTCTGAAACACAATCTAGGAAATAGGACAGCAGGAAATAAGTATTCAACTAGTCTGTATCAAAGGTATGACCGCTGCAAACACTACAGACTTACGGTTCCTCACCGTGGGCCACAGCAAAGACAACCCTGAACCGAACCCAAACCCTCGTCCATGTATTACTACTTACAACGAATCCTGGCCGCGGGGTGCACCTCTCACGCGAATCCTCCAACAAAGAGTCGGACGTCAGCAAAAACTGCATAGCACGACGGCGGAAGACGTGCGACGGACGCACTTGGTGTACATAATACATAGGACATATAGGACGCAGGGACAACCAGATTCACACCACGTTTTGTAAATAAGGACATATCAATCAATTTTCTGGAAACTCACACAAAGCGTAAAGACCCGAGACTTGTAACACGCTGTTTGGGGAACAATGCTTGGTTGATACACCTGACGTGTTGTGTATCTTTGAGCCTACTACTACTACTACTACTACTACTACTACTACTACTACTACTACTACTACTACTACTACTACTACTACTACTGGATCCATGTGACCACTGACTTTGAAGCGAGAAACAGTGGGTCTCGAAGCTCGTATCTTTGCCAGGCAGGGCGGCGGGGCAAGCGGCTGAGCAACTGTGGGGCTCATTTTTGGTGGGTTCTTCGAATGTGGCGTCCCTTTCTTCACCGACTGGGCTGGGGGTGTCTAAGCTTTCTAACTACGGACTCTAAGGGTTTTACAGGGTTTCAGATGGATTCTACAGCAAAGGTTTCAATCGCGGGGTCCTTTTTTCATATCCTTTTGTGAAGGATTATACTGTTCAGGGCGGCATCGGGGATTCTCTGAGACTCTCATCCGGCGTTGTCGGTTTGGGGTCCGAGGTTGAGGGCTGAGAGGTTGGATTTTGGGGTTTGGAGTCTTAGGGTTTAGGGTTTAGGGTTTAGGGTTTGGAGTCTTCGGTTTTAAGCCTACTGGGCGGAGCTCAGACGATCTATGCAAGATGTTGCACTGAGTTTAGAGTTCAGGGCGCTTGGGCTACGGAAGGAAGACGTGACCAGAAAAGGGACACTAATGAAGGAACTACCTACTATAGGGGCCTTGATAATTGGAATAGGGTTTTGGGGCCGAGTATACCATAGTTGTAAAAAGGAACCACCAGGGTAGTATTGGTATTTAATCACGCCCCTTTATTACATGCCTCTTGGCAGCTGTGCTTGGCCCGACCGCGCTTAGTTAGGGCTTTAGGACTGGCAGTAGACCTTTCATGCACAAACCCCACTTCTGCTTTGAGGGCCCGTTTTTGACTATGAGGATCATGCTCGGCATTTAACTGGTTTTAAAGCTTCCTTTAGCTGTTTTTAGAGCTTCTAAGCCAGGGGGTTGAGATGAATCACGGGTCTAGAGGTCTCCAAGCCGCAACAGCAAACCATCTCTGAGGCTGGACAAGCAAAGCGGCGCCGTGCTCTGGACGTCCAGTACGGGCCTGGACCCCTCACCTGGGGCCTGAAGGGTTTGAGCGCAGGGCTCGGGGTTGCGGGAAGTGGGGGGTCTGGGGACCGAAAGCAGCCCCTTAACATAAACTGTTGAAGCCAACTCTCCTGCAGGGATCTTGCCTTTGTGAAAGCTCATCTTTTGGGCTCTTTTCGGCTGTCGGGTGGTGCAAGTTGGGATGTGGGCGGTTTTCGTGGCCAACTTCAGAGGGCCGCTGCCCCTCGTGGATCTACCAGGAGAGTAAAAAATGTCGAAGCCTATATTCTTCGAAATACGGATTATTCCTTAGGGTTCCTTGCTTTTGTTTTGCAAGTTTCTCATGATTAAGGCCCCTATATGATGCTGGTAGTGGGTTTCAAGCGGGGGCCGTCCGGTTGGGGTCCTATGGGCGGAAAGTGTTCTCGAGTTGAAAGCCTTACACCCCTAGGCCCTTCATCCGCAATCTGCTTGGATCCCGTTTTTCGCAACATAAGCAGTTACAGTCAGCTTGAAGTTAGATCGCGCTCCAGAAACCATCGGCTCCTTTAAAGCAGGACTCCGTGTCCCACGTGGCTGCAGTTGGGAGTGACCCTCCAGTTGTGTCGCCCGGCCGGTTGTGGATGTACCTTGGGTTCCGCTGCAGGTAGAGGGGGTCGCAGTAGAGGTAGGGTGGGGTAGGTGTGAGGCTGAAACGATTTCCGGGGCTCGTGGGTTGATTGTTCTGAGGTTGTGGGAGTAAACATCGCCAAGCGCAAGCCAATAATCCCGCGAGTTCCATAGACCATAGACGTACAGCACGTTGCTAAAGCACGAATTTGCACGACGTAGGCCTTCATCCTCAATAATTGTTGCAATGCTTCTGGAAGCTCACTTCAGATGGTTCGATTGAATGGATCCAGGGCTTTAATTGCGGTTCTATAGTGAAAAGAAATCAAAGGAACATTTCACCACTCATCCATCATTGCATGCCTTCTCCTCGCCTAAGGCTCTGCGCGAGCGGATGGACGGGAAACGCTGCAAGCTTAGAGCAAAAGTGAGCAAAAGTCTTCGGAAATAGGAAGGGCCAATTTCTCACGGTAGCGGCACTTTCAAAGACCCCCTTCCGCCAGAACCGCTACCGCACCATCAGCACCGTCAGCACCGCCACCCACCATGGCACCTATGCCACCCACACTACCCCTACCAGCTGCACCAGGGGCTTGATCAGTGTTTGCGCAGCGCAGGGGGTTTTGTGTTCTCGGATGGTTGCAAGACGGCAGAGCTGTTTTGTGTTATCATGGTAGGATAGGAGCTTGAACAGCGAAAGATACTACTCCTGTTTCGCGCCGGCCGCCAATTTCTAACTCGCCAATTTCTAACTGTCTGAGCTCATGTGGGCGGTTCGCAAGAAATCAAAGTCGCAATGCCGAAATTTACCCAGGTCTCGGCTTTTGCCTCAAACGTCCTGAAGTGGTCTCGTGCTGCGCGCCCAGTTCCGTGGTTTTAGGACTTCAGCCTACGGTTTGATGGCATATATTTACTTACCTTTGGTTAGTAGGGAATGGAGGAATGGGGTACCATGATATAATGATACTGTAACTACGACTACTACTACTACCACTACTACTACTACTACTACTACTACTACTACTACTACTACTACTACTACTACTACTACTACTACTACTACTACTACTACTACTACCATTCTTCCATTCCCTACTAAGCAAAGGTAAGTTTAGGACGATTGCTCGCGGGCGGCTCGACCTGCAAGCCGCACAATCCTCAATCGAATGCTCTTCTAAGCGCAGGCTACTTGGAGGATCATGGGACTTAGTAAGTAAGGTTATAAGTACCCTAATTGGGGTTATAAGTAATTATAAGTATAGTTACCCTAATTATAACCCTAGTTACTAAGCCCCATGACCCTTTAAGTAGCCTGCGAGAGCCAGTGAGCCGGTCCAAGTTTTCACAACGGAATATTCGCACTCGAAGTCAACAGAAGTTCGTAGAGTCGTAGAAGGCCGACACCCATCGATTCCAAGAGTCTCAAAAGGCCCAAAGCAAGAACCTCAGCAGGCAAAACCATTGGTTTGGGCAATGAAGAAATTAGACTCCTCGACTCTGCAGGGGTACATCGCAGTGCGTCTCATTCATGAGATTGCTTATGGTGATGTTGCTGCTGCTGCTGCCGATGACGGTGATGATGATGATGATGACGAGAGAAACCATCATCATAAACATGATGATGCTTATGATGGTGTTGTTTTTATCATGATGGTGATGACGATGGTGCCTCTGTCGCTGTCGCTGCTGCTGGTGTTGCCGCTGCTGGTCTTGTTGCTGTTGGTGTTGGTGCTTTTTTGTTGTCGTTGATGATGTTGATGTCAGTGTTGATGTTGATGTTGATGTTGTTGATGATGGTGATGATGATGATGCTTCTGCCTGCTGCTGCTGCTGCTACTACTGCTGCCGGCGCTCGTGCCGGTCATGATTGCCGGTCTGGTGCTGACCCCCTGTTCAAGAATAGAAAACAAAAACAACAACAACGCCATCGCTAAATTATTGATTGAGGCTTGGCCAGAACCCCTCAACCAACTCGATTTGCTGTCCAGGACGCGAGCGTCGGCGAGTGCGCTTGCCGCAAAGGTTTGGAGTTTAGGCATTTTCCGCATGTTACTGTAGTAGTTGTCTCAACAATCGCAACATCAGCCACAACGAATCACAACGGTCATAATTGCAACAGTAGTGACCTTACCCACTGACTTACATAGCAGACATGGTTTTCGCCCTTCAGACAGGCTGGAATTCATGGTATGGAATGCGTCACGCATGGAGTTCCGAGTTCCGCACGCTGGTGCAAGTTTGAGTGTCCTTTGCACTTGCAAGGTCGGGGCTCGATAGGGTTTCGAGTTTAGGGTTGTGGTTCGAGCCTTCAGTAAGATTTGCAGGTACGCACGCGTGGCTCAGTCGACTCCCCACCAGCTGGCCTTGTTTGCGGGTGGTGGAAGTGCCAGAGACCTGGGACTCCACAGTGGGTTGGGTCGCTTGTTTGTGAGGACCAAGCAATGCGAAGACTTGAAGGAGGCTCGAAGGTACTCAGAATGATACCACCCACCCCTAGAAGAAAAGTCGTGCTGCTTCTTGATATTGATGCTGTGTCAGTTCTTTAGCCCCACTTTAGGCATCTTTTCGGAAGCAGGCAGAACAGCAGACCGTGTCAGTTGTCGTGCGAAGAGCCCATAAGCCTGGATCACTCATAGACGCTTCAGTGCCCCAGAGCCTTCAACCCATAAGCCTCGCACTTGAAAGCTCAGCTGATGCAGGTATGTTAGTATGTACTTTGCCATTACCCCCCATAGTAATTTCACAAGTATACATTCACCATCATTCACCCAAATTCCTGAGGCGCCCTGGATGGGTTCACCCAAGCCCTAGTGCAGCCGCCTAGTACAGCCACCACACTTCAGACCCTAGATACCCGAAGCCGCAAAACCCAGAGACTCCAAAACCCCTTAACTAAGGAATATACCTTACGTAAATCATATTAGGGATCCTCATATAATTTAAGGTATATTCCTTAATTAAGGGGTTTGGAGTCCCTGGGAACCTCAACTCCAAGTCTTGACAAAGCCCAGGTCACGAACTTGGTAGGCCGGCCCTCACGTTGTTCGGGCTCCTTCATTGGACTAGTCCCGGATGTCTAGACATGCTTGTTGGTTCAAGAGGGCCACGGTCCCGGGTTTAGGATACAGGGTGAGTCAGGTTCCCAGACCGGGTTCAGTAGCGGGCGTATCGGGGTCAGCTTTGAGCCTAAGTCAAATCCTGAACACGCAGCCCCGAAATCCGTTATGTAGATCCTTAAAAGGGTGGTTGTCAAGATTGAGGTCCCTCTTTGGGTCTTTAATATAATGCGGCACCGAATATTTTAAGGTCCCCAAAAAGGGACCATCATTTTGACAACTACACAAATCTCAACCTCTGGGATCATCTTCCTAGTATTCAGGGTTTGGGGCTCAGGGTTTAGGTTTCAGGGTGTAGGGTTCAGGGTTTAGGGTTTAGGGTTGAGGCCCTGTGACTGGAAAGGGATAAGCGAATCAGGGTCAACTGGTCAATGTTGATCCCAAACCTCCGACAGCCGCAGATCCTCGAGCCCCACTAAGCTTAGGAACAACCAGATAGATAGGGTTTAGGGTTCAGGGTTTAGGGCTTAAGGTTTAGGGTTTACGGTTTAGGTTTAGGGTTTAGCATTTTTGTACCTACTTGTATTCCCAAATAGCGAATGTCATGATCTCTTGCTGCCCGAGCCCTGGCAGAGGAGTCGATGTGGCAAGTGGCGATATACGCCGACTGCTTAGTTGAGGCTAGGTTTTGCGGGGGCTTAAGACAGATTAGGTGCTTGCGGGATTAGAGGTTTGGGGCTGTGGGTTAGCCGCGGAGTTAAAGGATGTTTCACCAAGGTTCTGTCAGCGCATCATGTTCTGTAAAGAAAGCTGTTGGGCCTTTACAGTGGTTTCTACGGGATGTTCAGGTGACTTGATCGCCTGCTATTTGTTTTATGGGGTTCTCCGACCACCGCCCCGTGTCCGTTGTAACCACCGTGCTGGCAGTGCTGGCATCCTCAACAGCAGCATCACCATCGTCGTCACCACCAAAATCATTCCCGTCCCCGTCGCCACCGTCGTGATCATTCTCATGGTGCCATCACTGTCTTCATCGCCATCACCGCCATCCCACAATTACCATCACCAACACCATCACCATCACCATCACCATCGCCATCACCATCATCATCTCATTTTTTCTTCCCCATCCCCATCCCTATCCCCATCCCCATGCCCATCCCCATCCTCCTCTTTCTCCTGCTTCTCCTCCCGATGCGATCCGGATCCTGATCCTGATCCGGATCCTGCTCTGCTCCGCCTCCTGCTCCTCCTCCGCCGGCTCCTCCTCATCAATCGCTTTCACCGGCATGACTGGCACATAATCCAAGAAGACGAATTTTCGCTAACTTAACCCGGACACCTCTTCGAGGCTACTGTGTTGACACCGGCATCGGCGCAGCCCGGGCCTTGCCCGGGTAAGGGCTACTTGGAGGCTCCGGGGGACTCGGTAATACTTATAAGTAGAGTTGTAGGTACCCTAGAAGGGATCCTAATTTAGGGTTACGGCCCTCAAGCTCTTTGTATTCTGATGATATCACCAGAATTCAGTGTTGTCCAAAGCCCCGAAAGCCCAAACGCCCTCAAAGCCTCCCCAAACTCTAATATCCCAGGTCTGGAGCCTTGGTGCCTCCGGGGAGCCTTTGCGTGTCCTCTGCGGAGGGAGTTGGACGAGGCGGGCCTGCTGCTATGCTTCTGAACACCACTACGGTTGATGATATAAATCCTGCATTACCTTGAGGACCCTAAACTATGGGAGTTAGGGTATATTCCTTATTATGGGTAATGCAGGGTTTATATCATCAATCGTAGTATACAACCTACATATATTTTGTACAAGCGAAAGACAAGAAGAAGATGATGGTGATGATGATAAATGATATCGACGGTGGTGGCCATGTTGCTGACACCATTGGTCCGGACCCGAACACCGACACTTCAGCTCGTCTCGTTCTCGGAGTGCCAGGCCGGAGCATACGGCAGAAGTCGCAGGCGCCAACTCGTCTGTCCGGCTGTATAAGACTGGTGGAGCGGGGTTCCAGGTTCAGTGGGATTGAAGTCCTGCTTTGATTTGAGGCCCAAGTGTTTAGGCTTCAGGGCTCAAGGTGAGGGTTTCGGCCAGAGACCTTTCAGTCCGAAATCGGTTTGATGGGTTCCTCAAGCGTTTATCTCCGCTGCGCAGCTACTGCAATCCTAAGCCCGTAAATTCCCTGAACCCTACGCCCGTAAACCCCTACACCCTACACCCTGATCAAAGCCTAAACCCCTCGAAGGCAGAAGGCACGCCAGGCGAAAAAGCCCCATAGGAGAGGACAGCATCATCTGATACGAAGTCGGGCTGAAATCATGTAGGGATCTTGGTCAGTGTATGCGTGCTCCCTTGGAAAAAAGATGTGTGTTAAGGTTTGTTTTGGGAACACAATGATCGAGCGCCTCTACGCAAAGCACCACGATGCGGGTGCAGCCTCTAAAGCCCGCACCTTCAGAGGTTTCGATGCAATGCAGGGCAGCCCAGGACACGTGAGTGCTTGCACCGGACGGCTCAAGTGTCAGTGTTGATGAGTTTAAACTGACATTGTTGTTTGGAGATTTCAAGTATTGGCTTTTAACGTCGAGGTCTTGGGACTGACAGCTGGATGGTCAGAGGTCAAGTTGGCAAGTATGTGGTACTATGATCGCGTGAGCCACCGGCTTCTGGGGCTTGGGAGGGCGGATTTGGCCTTCAGAGTTTTTGAGTTTAGGATGTGGGGTTTAGGGTTTAGGGTTTAGGGGTGGTTCCCTAGATCAGGGTCCCGATTTGGATTCGGCAAAAATGCGACCTTCTAAGGTGCCGTCCGGTAAAGAACGCTTCATGTGTGGGGCAGGATCCCGTACTTGGAGGGTCGGTAAACTTAGTAAATAGGTAATAAGTAGACTTATAAGTACCTAAAAGGGATCTTTACTGGGGTTATGGTACTTATAAGTATATTTATTATTCACTTACTAAGTCCCCTGACCCTCCAAGTACTGAAACCACGAAAGCCAAGGCACCACGCTCCGTGAAGTTCCAACATTCTGACCCACACCGCTGCACCTAAACCCTACAAACCCTGAAACCCAAGCCCTAAACGCTGCCTTCTGCAACCCTTAACCCTAAATCCTAAACCCTAAACCAGAAAGACGCCACTGCACTTTAAAACAAGCCTAAATCCTAAACCCTAAATCCTAAACCCTACGCCCTAATGCCATCTAATGCCCATTTCAGGGCTTTCTGGGATTCGTTGGGCTCCGATCTGACAGGGGTTGCGAGCCTAAGGCGGCTCAGGGTTCCGGGCTTTGGGCACGGTGCATAGGGTTTTGGCTTGCCCAGGCGGGCCTTGATAATTAGAGTAGGGTTTCTGGGGCCCACTATACTATAATTATAATAAGGAGCCCCCCAAAACAGTATAGGCCTCTACATTACCGCCATACTTATGCCTACCTTCACGTCCGACTGGTCCTACTAGCCTTAGAAGTGCGAGCCGACGCCTCGAAGTCCCGAAACCTTCCTGAGCATGCGTGAAGGACATGTATGTACCAAGGAGAGATGATGACGCCAAGCTTCTGTTGTTGGGTAGTGGAAATTTGCGGGAGCACAGCACCCCACCCCCCTAAACCCGCAAGCCGTAAACCGTCAACTTTAGGCCCTAATTAAGCGCATTAACCTTAAAGCTAACCCCAACCAGAAATCAACGATCCCAAGCCCGAAGACACCCTCCACGTTGGGTACTGCCTCCACTCAATAACAGTTGAAGATATGATAAGATATGCATAATATAGATATTAGGACCTGGGGGGCAGTACCCAACCTCCACGTGAGGTCCGGGGAGAAGCTGTTTGCCTTAGACCCGGGCGTCGGAAGATACGCGGATGTCCCAGTTCTTTCCAGCGGAGGGTCGGGGATGAGGTTTCAGGATTTAGGGTTTCAGGGAACATATATATATATATATATACATATATATGTATATCTGTATATATCTATATATCGATTAAAGGGTTGAGGGTCTTGGGTTGTATAGTTCAGGGTTGAAGTTTGATGCTGTTCAGGCCGCCAGGCTTTCGAGGGTTGTGGGGTGCTGGCATTCAGGGTCGTAGGGCGAGCCTGCTCATAACCTCCTATTTATTGTTCCAGATCGCGCAGCCGGAACTTCAATTCGATGTCCATGTCCTCGGCAGTAAACCAGCAAAATCCTAAGCTCGAAATCTCAAGTTGAGCCAACGCCCGATTGCGGCCTGCAGATTGTCTCCACGGCGTTGCGGGACGGAGGCTGGTGGTTGGGGGTCGTTTCGAAAGAGGGGTCCCTAAACCAATAAACCCCTAAACCCCGTCTGCAGGGCGGAAAAGAGCCCTCAAAAAAAGAAAAAGAACCTGGGTGCCTTCACTCTGCATGGTGGTTCCCTTAATGGGGACCCCTACCCTATAATGGGCTATATAATGGGCATATAATAGCTATATTAAGGGTATATACCTAAGGGTTTAGCGGGACCCAGGGCCTGGACTGAGATCTTCGAGCCCCGAAGCCGAAGTGCGAAGATAGAAATCCCGAAGCCTTGAACGGCTGCGGGTTTAGGGCTTAGAATTCAGGGCCAAGTTCAGGGGAGGAATGGGGGTACTATTTTTAACTACTATTACTACCATTCTTCCATTCCCTACGAACCAAAGGTATGTTTAGGGTTCAGGGTTTAGTTTTTTGGGTTCGGCCTCCATCCCGAACCCTGAGACGAAGTCCGGAGCTCTAAACCCTCAGCCTTGAACCTTTTACTACAGGGGCTTAAATAATTACCTGTACGGGGTACCTATAATAAGGATCCTACTATTTAAGGTAGTATATTAGGGTCCCCAATTTTCGGAAACCCCCAACTCTTACTAACGAGAGCCTGGAAGACATCTCTGCACACCACAGGGACCGCCTTTGTCAGTGGGGAGAACGGAAACGCCAGATTCTGAGTTCCAAAGACCGGCCCGGCACACTCCACCGCTTAGCGTTTTTAGGCTTGCGGTGTACACTTCAAGGTTTCAGCTGAAGGCTTGGGCTTACCGGTGGGCTTCGGGGCTGTTTGGAGGGGTTGAGAGGCTTAAACACCGCATGTCCCGAGGTGGTGGCTCTTGACACTGCCACAGGCTCGGACTTGACATTGCGAGAATTTCGGCTTTTCGGACATGCACAAGCCCGCAACCCTGGTCCTAAACACTAATAGCTTTTGAGCTCTTGAAGCGCTAAAGTCGCTAAAGACCGCACGATCGCCCGAAGCCGGCAGGAGAGGTCAAGTTCCGATCGGATTCCATGGTGGAGGAGGTCCGGCGATCGGCACTCCATGCTTAGGTCCCGGTCGCGGTAACGCCGGTGATAGTGATGCTTGATGATAGTGATGATGTTCGTGATGCTGTCCGATGGCGGTGATGGTGATGCTTGATGATAGTGATGAGGAGGATGATAGTGATGATGTTCGTGATGCTGTCCGATGGTGATGGTGATGATCATTGACATCAATGTTTGGTGGATTTTTTTTTATGCGGCCGGTGATCCCAGGTTTGGGGGTACCGGGTGTTGCATCGATCCCATAACTCACACGCCCAGAATCCTACACCCGAAGTAGGTCCACGACAGCCGCAAGCGAGGCTTTAGAAGCCCAGAGAAAGCCCTACGAGTACGGGACTCCTCGAAACCTTCGGAGTCCCTTGTCCTTGCACTTACAGAAACCTTGTCAATGCACGCATAGTGCCCTGACAGTCGTAGTAATCCTTAAAGAATCCCTACACATGAAACCCTCAACCCTAAACCCTGAACCCTCAACCTTAAACCAACCCTAAACCCCTAAACCCTAAACCCTTAAACCCGTAAACCCTCAAACCCTCAACCCTCAACCCTAAATGCCCAACCCTAAACCAACGCTAAAAGCCCTAAAAGCCTCAACCCTGAGCCAGTCAGGTTTGGAGCCTTGAGGTCGCTGCAGACTTGGGCCTGATCCTTTGCCCGAACGCCCGGAACAAATCAGGTTTTTTTTATTCTTGTTAGGGAAGTTCATGACAAGGAGGCATTTTTTTTACAAATCAGGTTTTTTTATTCTTGTTAGGGAAGTTCATGACAAGGAGGTTTTTTTTTCAAATCAGGTTTTTTTTTTTTATATTCTTGTTAGGGAAGTTCATGACAAGGAGGCATTTTTTTACAAATCAGGTCTTTTTTTTATTCTTGTTAGGGAAGTTCATGACAAGGAGGCATTTTTTTACAAATCAGTTTTTTTTATTCTTGTTAGGGAAGTTCATGACAAGGAGGCATTTTTTTACACATCAGGGCTTTTTTGATTCTTGTCAGGGAAGTTCATGACAAGGAGGCATTAATTGAAAATCAGGGCTTTTCGATTCTTGTCAGGGAAGTTCATGACAAGGAGGCATTTTTTGAAAATCAGGGCTTTTTTGATTCTTGTCAGGGAAGTTCATGACAAGGAGGCATTATTTGAAAATCAGGGCTTTTTTGATTCTTGTCAGGGAAGTTCATGACAAGGAGGCATTATTTGAAAATCAGGGCTTTTTTGATTCTTGTCAGGGAAGTTCATGACAAGGAGGCATTATTTGAAAATCAGGGCTTTTTTTATTCTTGTTAGGGAAGTTACAAATCAGTTTTTTTTATTCTTGTTAGGGAAGTTCATGACAAGGAGGCATTTTTTTTACAAATCAGTTTTTTTTTTAATTCTTGTTAGGGAAGTTCATGACAAGGAGGCATTTTTTTACAAATCAGTTTTTTTTTATTCTTGTTAGGGAAGTTCATGACAAGGAGGTTTTTTTTTACAAATCAGGTTTTTTTTTATATTCTTGTTAGGGAAGTTCATGACAAGGAGGCATTTTTTTACAAATCAGGTTTTTTTTATTCTTGTTAGGGAAGTTCATGACAAGGAGGCATTTTTTTTACAAATCAGGTTTTTTTTATTCTTGTTAGGGAAGTTCATGACAAGGATGCATTTTTTTTACAAATCAGTTCTTTTTCTTGTTAGGGAAGTTCATGACAAGGAGGCATTTTTTTACAAATCATGGTTTTTTTTTTTTTTAATTCTTGTTAGGGAAGTTCATGACAAGGAGGCATTTGTTTTACAAATCATTTTTTTTTTATTCTTGTTAGGGAAGTTCATGACAAGGAGGCATTTTTTTACAAATCAGGTTTTTTTTTTAATTCTTGTTAGGGAAGTTCATGACAAGGAGGCATTTTTTTACAAATCAGGTTTTTTTTTATTCTTGTTAGGGAAGTTCATGACAAGGAGGCATTTTTTTTACAAATCAGGTTTTTTTTATTCTTGTTAGGGAAGTTCATGACAAGGAGGCATTTTTTAAAAATCAGGTTTTTTTTTATTCTTGTTAGGGAAGTTCATGACAAGGAAGCTTTTTTTTACAAATCAGGTTTTTTTTTATTCTTGTTAGGGAAGTTCATGACAAGGAGGCATTTTTTTACAAATCAGTTTTTTTTTATTCTTGTCAGGGAAGTTCATGACAAGGAGGCATTTTTTTACAAATCAGGTTTTTTTGATTCTTGTCAGGGAAGTTCATGACAAGGAGGCATTTTTTTTCAAATCAGTTTTTTTTTTTAAATTCTTGTTAGGGAAGTTCATGACAAGGAGGCATTATTTGAAAATCAGGGCTTTTTTGATTCTTGCCAGGGAAGTTCATGACAAGGAGGCATTATTTGAAAATCAGTGCTTTTTGATTCTTGTCAGGGAAGTTCATGACAAGGAGGCATTATTTGAAAATCAGGGCTTTTTTGATTCTTGTCAGGGAAGTTCATGACAAGGAGGCATTATTTGAAAATCAGGGCTTTTTTGATTCTTGTCAGGGAAGTTCATGACAAGGAGGCATTATTTGAAAATCAGGGCTTTTTTGATTCTTGTCAGGGAAGTTCATGACAAGGAGGCATTATTTGAAAATCAGGGCTTTTTTGATTCTTGTCAGGGAAGTTCATGACAAGGAGGCATTATTTGAAAATCAGGGCTTTTTGATTCTTGTCAGGGAAGTTCATGACAAGGAGGCATTATTTGAAAATCAGGGCTTTTTTGATTCTTGTCAGGGAAGTTCATGACAAGGAGGCATTATTTGAAAATCAGGGCTTTTTTGATTCTTGTCAGGGAAGTTCATGACAAGGAGGCATTATTTGAAAGTCAGGGCTTTTTGATTCTTGTCAGGGAAGTTCATGACAAGGAGGCATTATTTGAAAATCAGGGCTTTTTTGATTCTTGTCAGGGAAGTTCATGACAAGGAGGCATTATTTGAAAATCAGGCTTTTTGATTCTTGTCAGGGAAGTTCATGACAAGGAGGCATTATTTGAAAATCAGGGCTTTTTGATTCTTGTCAGGGAAGTTCATGACAAGGAGGCATTATTTGAAAATCAGGGCTTTTTTGATTCTTGTCAGGGAAGTTCATGACAAGGAGGCATTATTTGAAAATCAGGGCTTTTTTGATTCTTGTCAGGGAAGTTCATGGCAAGGAGGCATTATTTGAAAATCAGGGCTTTTTTGATTCTTGTCAGGGAAGTTCATGACAAGGAGGCATTTGAAAATCAGGGCTTTTTTGATTCTTGTCAGGGAAGTTCATGACAAGGAGGCATTATTTGAAAATCAGGGCTTTTTTGATTCTTGTCAGGGAAGTTCATGACAAGGAGGCATTAATTGAAAATCAGGGCTTTTCGATTCTTGTCAGGGAAGTTCATGACAAGGAGGCATTATTTGAAAATCAGGGCTTTTTTGATTCTTGTCAGGGAAGTTCATGACAAGGAGGCATTATTTGAAAATCAGGGCTTTTTTAATTCTTGTCAGGGAAGTTCATGACAAGGAGGCATTATTTGAAAATCAGGGCTTTTTGATTCTTGTCAGGGAAGTTCATGACAAGGAGGCATTATTTGAAAATCAGGGCTTTTTTGATTCTTGTCAGGGAAGTTCATGACAAGGAGGCATTATTTGAAAATCAGGGCTTTTTGATTCTTGTCAGGGAAGTTCATGACAAGGAGGCATTATTTACTGTATGTGATCCTTATTGTCCTAGTATAGCAATTTCACGCGAAATTGCTTGAAAAGAACCCTGGTGAGGGAAAATCTCTAGACGTTTGGTGGTTTTGGAGTTTAGGGGGTTTCGGGTTTGGGTGTCTTGATTTGAAGCGGGGGGAGGGGGTTTTGAGGGTTTTGGGTGGCGCACAGGTCTAGGGTTTTAGGACTTCAGAGGTTTAGTGCACGGGCCACGACAGTCTCAGTGACGACAGTGATGATGACAAGCTGATGCGCCCGAAAGCCCTCAGCCACGCACCGTGGAGCCTAAACCATATCCTACAGCCCTACACCCCAGGCCCTAAGCCCTAGACCCTAGACTCCTAGACCTTAACCCCTCAACCCCTCAACCCCTCAACCCCTCAACCCCTAAACCCCTAAACCCTAAACCCTAAACCCCTAAACCCTAAACCCCTAAACCCTCAACCCCTAAACCCCTAAACTCGAAACCCTGATCTGCAAGGCTCAGGCGGTTGGTCTGAGAAGGTGTGCGCCACCCCAGGGGGAAGCTGTCTCGTTTCTTGGGGTGCCTTATTTGGGGGTCCTTACAATAAGGATCCTACTGTGTAGGTACTATGTAGCGTATTATATTAGGGTCCCCTATTTTCGGAAACTCTCCGAGGGACCCGACCCTAGCTGTGGGCCGTAGGATGTTTTTTTGGCGGTTAAGTTGTACTGTCGTATAAACCCAATCTAGGAAGGGTTTTTCGATTCAAGGTGTACCTTAAACCCTAAGCCCCTAAGCTCCTAGTTTCAAGCCAAGGGGTCATCCACAGTCCTGAGGGGCTTACATCTCTAGGAGGCCCAGTGGACCCTAAGCCATAAAACTCTACCTGGGCCCCAACTAGCCCACCTTTCTAGGGCTCCTTATCATGATTAAAGTTCTGCAATTTTTCAGTCGGTAAAAAGGTAGGTATTTTGTGGTTTGGCGTGAGGAAAACCTGAGGTCCTAAGCTGAGGTGGGAGTTTGGGTCCATCGCTGGTCTTCGAGCTTGGATGAGATAAACCCTAAGCCCTAAACCCTAAGGGTTATGGGGTTTGGGGTTTAAGGACTCAGCGATCGGGGTATGGTCTTCAGGGCTTGGGTTTTTTGGTGTAGGGCTGTGGGCTTCATGTGTGTGTGTGTGTGTGTCTGCCTACTCTGGGGGTCTGAATAATTACCTATACTATTGTGGGGGGCTCCTTGATATTATGATTACAGTATGATGGGCCCCAATACCCTATTCTAATGATTAAGGCCTTTATATTAGCTCCTTATGATGAATACAGTATGATGGGCCCCAATACCCTATTCTAATCATTGAGGCCTCTTTTTCTAGGGGTTTTCCCTGCTTTTTTGGCGGCTCCTGGAGTTCTCTCCAAGGGTAAAAGGAGGGACCCTTAATAAGGACACCTAGGTATATACCCCTAATATAGCTATTATATACCCATTCTATAGCCCCATTATAGGAGTTCTCTGACTTGAAACTTCCGGGCTGAAACGGGGGTTTTGGCGGACATCGAGTGTTGAAGCCCCGGGGCTTTGGAAATATAGACCCTTAGGTTAGGGGCCCTAGACAATTACCTGTACAATTTTTGGGGGTTCTTTATTATAAATATAGAATAGTGGGCCTCAAAACCCTGTTCTAATTATTAAGGCCTGTATATTCAGCATCTCCAGAGCATCGGCTTTGCTGTGGGGAAGGTTTCCGGGGCAGTTGTTATACATAGTTGAGTCAAGTAGAACTTTGATTGCAGAAGATGGACACCCGAATTAACTCTAGGGAGTTTCGAGCTTGTTTACAGCAAGAATTCAATATGCGCCCGAAAGTTTCGAGATGTTTTGTAGTCAGAACCTTCGAGTAGCACGATCCTAATGTGACTGTACAGATCGCCCTACTGTAGGGGCCTTAATCATTACCTATACTGTTTTGGGGTTCCTTCATCTAATGGTTGTCTAATGGGCCCCGAAACCCTTATCTACTCTAGTTGTGCATGCCCCTATATTAGACAACCGGGCCTGGAGCTCTGAAGATCCATGCGGAGACCGACTGGAGCTCCGAGGATCGTAGGAATGAACTTACCAGACACGCAGACTTCCATGGGAGAGGTTTTGGAAGGCTCGTTTCGATAGCCTTCCGCGTTCGGAAGAAAGACCCTGAAATGAAGGATACGTTTGGTGTGAGTACCTTAACTGTAAACCCGAAACTACCAAACCCTAAGCCCCTAAACCTTAAAGCCTAAACTGTTGCGGAAACCCTCAACGAAGACTCCGAGCTTCAGGTCAGCGCTAGATATGCACACGGGCGAGCTCCGATGGGGCCCGGTTAATGCCACGATTGGGAAGGCTTGCCTGGTAGCGTATACTATGATCTAACGGAGTATGACATACATTAATGATACTACTACTACTACTACTACTACTACTGCTACTACTACTGCTACTACTACTGCTACTACTACTGCTACTACTACTACTACTACTACTACTACTACTACTACTACTACCACTACCACTACCACTACCACTACCACTACCACTACCACTACCACTACCACTACGACTACGACTACAAATAAGAATAATGTTGGACAGAGGAGCAATCATATAGTGTAGTATGAATAGACAGCATAGAGTTTGTTTTCTTGCCGCTAGGGGTTTGACACAGAGTCGCAGGCCAAGTTTGCTCGTGCGCACTTTCAATTTACAAGAAGACCCGAAAAGACAGAGAGAAGGATAACAACATCCTTCCCACATCTCCCTAAGCCTTAAGCCCTAAACCCTAAACCCTGAAACCCTAAACCCTAAAGTCTTCGCAGAGGGCTCGACAACCGCCACCGCGGAGCCCGAAGCGGCCCGAGCTTCGCGAGCGGCAGAAAACACGTACGTGGGAGCCTAGGTAAAGCTAGGCGACTGGCACCATGCATGCCGGCCCCTCGGGCACCTCCCACGGAGTGGTAAAGGTATAAACCCTATTCCCGGGGTTTTTGCTGGCACGTCCTTTCGACAAGGGTTCGACCCCCGAACCCTTCACGACTTGGAGCGGCTCCCAAATGGACAGGAGTTTGACCCCCAAACCCTTCACGACTTGGAGCGGCTCCCAAATGGACAAGGGTTGGACCCCCCAACCCTTCACGGTTTGGACAAATGGACTAGGGTTTGACCCTCCAACCCTTCACGACTTGGAACGGCTCCCAAATGGACAAGGGTTTGACCCCCCAACCCTTCATGAAAGGCTCCCAAATGGACAAAGATTGGACCCCCCAAACCCTTCAAGACTTTGCGGGCGTTTTTCCAAGAAGCTGGCAGCTGATTTTCTGTTACCAAATTCTGCTTATAAAATGTGCCATTTACATTAAGGCCCAAATGGACAAGGGTTTGACCCCCCCAACCTTTCACGACTTGGAACGGCTCCCAAAGGGACAATTGTTTGACCCCCCAACCTTTCATGAACGGCTCCCACATGGACAAGGGTTTGACCACCCAACCCTTCATGAACGGCTCCCAAATGGACAAGGGTTTGAGCCCCCAACCCTTCGTGACTTGGAACGGCTCCCAAATGGACAAGGGTTTGACCCCCAACCCTTCACGACTTGCAGCGAGTCCCAAATGGACAAGGATTGGAGCCTCACAGAAAGCCAATTGCTTCTTCCAGCACCCGCCAGGACAGCCTCACAGAAAGCCCACATGAGAACCCGCCAACACAGCCTAACAGAAAGCCCAATCCAGACAAAAACAGATTCGCAGAAAGCCCACATGCAGTGCTGCTTCTTTCTTCACAGTTCCCGCCTCACAGAAAGCCCACTGCTTTTTCCGGCACTTGCCAGAACAGCCTCACAGAAAGCCCATTGCTTGTTCCGGCACTCGCCAGGACAGCTTCACAGAAAGCCCACATGAGAACCCGCCAACACAGCCTCACAGAAAGCTCAATCCAGACAGGGACAGACTCACAGAACGCCGACATCCGTCAGGACAGTCTCACAGAAAGCCCACATGAGAGCCGGCCAACACAGCCACACAGAAAGCCCGATCCAGACAGGGACAGACTCACAGAAAGCCGACACCCACCACGACAGCCTCACAGAAAACACACATGAGAACCTGCCACCACAGCCTCACAGAAAGTCCAATCCAGACAGGGACAGACTCACAAAAAGCCCACATGCAGTGCTGCTTGTTTCCGCACATTTCCCGCCAGCACAGCCTCACAGAAAGTCCACTGTCCTTCCGGCACCTGCCAGGACAGCCTTACAGAAAGTCTGCATAAGAACCCGCCGGCACAGCCTCACCGAAAGATTAATCCGGAGAGGGGGACAGATTCACAGAAAACCCACATGCAGTGCTGCTTTCGATCCTGCCTGGGCACCGTTGAAAGTAACGGCCCCCGTCGGTGATGTCCAAGCCCCCGCTGCTTTAGAACTAAACACTAAAATGCTTGAGCTCAGGGTGGTCTTGGGGTGGGCTGTCTGCTACGCACCCATGGCGTTACCACACCCTTAAACCGTAAACCCTTGCACCCCAAAACCTATATGCGGAAACCCTAAACCCTCAAAACCCTAAACCCTAAACCCCCCGACAGCTTCGAACTGGGGCTTTGAGTCCAAAAGCTCAGCTCCGCTATTCCTGCATGCGATGCCAGGCTGTTTGTTGTTTTGGTAACATGTGCACGTCCTTCATTGGTATATTACCAGTATTATTTTTATTACTATTCTTATATATATATATATGTTATATCATATGACATACTATATCGTATTATATATTAGTATATTATACCATGTATTATATTCTAATACATAGTAGTATATTTCGTATATATTTTTTTGATATATGCGTGTTTGGCGGCTTGCGAAAAAAAAAAGGGATTGGGGCAGACATAGACATTTTGGGGTTTCCGAAAATAATTATAAGGACCCCAGAATGAGGTACCCCTAATTTTCGGAATCTCCCAATACACGCCAGAAGTGTCCACACGGACATCAAGGCTTTACAGGTCAGGTCTACATGTATCCCCTAAGTCGTCACAGACTGCTGCAAATTTCATCAGTCCAGCGTCGCATTGGGGAACCGCGACTCAAGCCCACAAGACAGGAATAAATTGTGTGTTTGTTTATTCACACAAACCACCACTGCCACTTACTGAGTCGAGCCAAGCCAAGCCAAACCCTACCAATTTTTGATTGCCCCCAATTGTGCTCTGCACCATCGCTGCTCTGCACCCTATATGCCAAGATGGTGCTTGGTTTTGCCATCCGGAGCAGACAGTCGTGAGGCCGAAACCGGCAGGGGGGATGAGTGTGTGTGGCTGGGGGGAAGAGGGCAAGGCGCCTGCCTCCCAACCGCCCACCCTTGTTTCCGCCGAACAATAAGCCAAACCTAGCCCAACCAAGCCCAGCCATTTTCAGATTGCCCCCTTTTTCGCTTTTGCACCTTCGGTGCTGGACAAAATCACATGCCGAGAAGGTGCAAACTGTTTTATCTATCCAGAGCAGACAATGAGACAGGTACCGCCAGGCGTGATGACACCATGCGAGAACACGAACAGTGAAAGAAAATGATGAGAGCAGGAAGCCCGCTTTTTTTTAAATGCGGCTATTTGACTTTTTAAGCGGGGAGGGCCCCCCACACGAGCTTGAACCGAGCCAAGCCCAGCCAGGCCATGGGTTTCCCTGAATCTGCAGTACACCGCAACTTGCTGCGAGATACCGCCGCAACTTCGAAAGCTTGTAGCAAAACACAGCTTTCGAAAATGCAGTTGCCCAACAGCTTGCCGCAACGGGATCCAAGAAATGAGAGTCTCCCACAAGCTTTCCGCATACAGCAGCTTCAGACATTGCAATTTCCGAAAAGTGGTTGGCAAGACAGAGACCTCTACGAAGTGGAAAGTCCAATAGTTTGCCGTGAAACACGACTCTACCCCACCTTTTGTTGCTGTAGTTCCTGTTTTCGTTCCGTTTCGGTTTGATTGCTTCCAAATTGGTGTTTGGTACATTTCTTGATTGATGCTCTTACAACCGTAGGCATGTTTGAGCCTGCTACTACTTGGTTCCCCTTGATCACCGACTGTCTGTAACATTTTGGAGGATAGCTTCAATCATGTGCCCTCGTGGTGCACAGCGCCCTAAACCCTAAAACCCTACAAACCCTAAACCCAAAAAAACCCTAAGCCCAAAACTCCTACCGCATGAACCCTGCTTGAATTCTGTGACAGGTCTTCAGCTTCCAGCTGGCCGACTCCCTGCTGCTATGTGGTGGCGCAGCCGCTGGCGCTGCGAGTTGAGAGAGTTCTGTTAAACCTTTGGGGCCTTAATAATTACCTATGCTATTTTGGGGGTTCCGTATTATACTTATACTTATACTTGTAGTATAAGTGGCCCCCAAACCCTACTCGAATTATTAAGGATCTTATAATTTGGTGGCAGCGATGGTGTGATATTGTGCAGACAGCTTCAAAATCCTGAAAAATCGTGATCATCCAAAGCCAGACACTAGACACGAAACTCTATACACCCCTAAACTCTAGACGTAGAGCGTTTAGGCAGCGGTTACGGTTAAACGCTATACACCAAACTCTATACATCTATACAACAGCTTTTAGGCGAAACTGTATACGATCCCGAAATGCTGCAGGCCCGGTAGTCATGGCCTGGACAAGCTGTTCATGGGCGACTGTTTTGTGTTCAGTTAAGCTGAGCCGCTGTACCACTCATTTCAATTAAGAAGATACGGATGCCAGCATTAGTTCTCCTCAGTCACCAGAATTGCAAGGATTCTGTGGTCGAGAGTTCGTGCAAACTATCAAATACGTCTATCTGTTTTGTGGACTTCCAGTTTCCTCGACCGTCGTAAGCAACAACCATGTGCACGACGACTTCGTCTTGGCGAGTTTTTGCCACATTCTTTTTGACCATGAACCGTGAAGTGAACTTGCTGATTGGATTGCTGACGGATTCTTGGGTTATCTGGTTGATCACATGATTGTTTTGTGAACTGGCTGCGACGTTGCTGTATTGGGCTCAAATTCGTAGTTTCTCGTGAGAGCTTGGGCTAATCGACTCACGCAAGCGGGCAACTACCGTGCGCATTTCACAGTATCACAGATGCACTTGCACACACATGTGGGGCGACCTGGCCGAGCGGAAGCCTTATCGCTGCAGTCTTGCCAGGGCTGCTATGTTGGACTTGTTCCTTTTGATCGTACCCCGTGGAGTGGGAAGCAACTCTATCGGTGCGATCCTACCTCGAACTGAATCCTGAGGCTGGCAAAGCGGTATGGAGGCGCACGAAGGCCATTTGTACGTGGATCTGTTAGTCAGCCGGAATGATGTGCTCGTCTGGGACCATGTATGCGCCTTGTGTTCGTATTGAACCTTGAGGCTGCCGAGAAGTGCAGGTGACCCGGAAGGCCGTTCGTGTGCGTTTCTCTTGATTCGTTACGATGATGTCCAGCCTGGGACCATGGATCAGGCTCGACGGCCCGAATGCTGCCTCGGTTTCCCGGCGCGGTGCCTTGAAGCGGGTTGTTGGTTGCTCCCCTGCTTGTTGTGTTTACCTTTGAGGTTGCGCGACAGTGGCGACTGGAAGTTGCGGACTCGGTTCGGCTGTCGGTTTTGATTCATGTGCCGATGTCTGTGTGTGTATGCGTGCATGCTTCCGTGTAGTCGGCCTGCTCTAGGTGCTGAGCGACTTTGCTTCAGCAAAATACCAGGCGAGGACCTGCCTCTAGCATCAGCGGACGCACCGGTTCAGTTTGAGGTCATTGCCGAGTTGGCAAGTTTGCGCAGCAGCAGTATGGCGGACATTTTTGAAGCCGCTTGCATTCCAGGCAGGCTTGCAGTGCAATTTATTCCCAGAACGTTTTCACGAAGCTGATGGTCGGAATACTATTCTGACGGATGTCATCTCAATGAGCGTGGCATCCGAACCCTAGTGCTTCAGCACTTGCTGAGCTTCGTGAAGGCCTCGAGGGACCGATCGTGAGGTTAGCGTTCCACTAGGCAGCATTCAGAGCTCAAGAGGTGGACTTGGTCATCTCCGACTCGGCACTTTGTGCTGTGGCCACCGCGAAGGTTCGGGCTAAGGATTTTTTAGGAAGGAATGATGCTGGTGAGGATAGGGGAGGAGAAGATGGCAGAGTTTGGCGCGGACGGGACGAGGTGCAGGAGTAGGATGAGGTCGGTCTACTCACGACAGCCACGCATGCTGATCTAGATGCTGCTGATGAATGTTCATGTGTTGACGAATGTTGGTGAAGAACCTGAAGCAGACAATGACGGTGATGCAATGTGAAAAATATGCATTGCTTGGCGTCGCCACATACGAACAACAGCACAAAACATACTCCTTAAACCTTTACCCCCTCCCCCCCCTCCAAGCCCCCGCACAAAGCAGTCCTTGAGGCTTGGATCAAGGTCGAAACCAACACCTTTCAAGCGCCCTTCAGCCCCAACCCTAAGCCCCAAACCATGCGCCCCCTAAACCCTGAGCCCCGGACCTTGCACTGTAATATGGGGGCCTTAATAATTAATTACGTGTGCTATTTTGGGTGTTCCTTGTTGATTATAGTAGAAGACACCCCAAAACCGTGTTCTAATTATTAAGGCCCCCATAGTCGATGCTGGGATTCGTGTGGATGCTTCCGTCCCGCCGACAACTCGCAGCCCCAGGCGAGTCTTTTCAACCCAAATCCGCAGAACCCCAAACCTCCAAACCATACATCCTAAACATCGGATTTTGTGAATTTCCAAAAACTAGAGGTGGGGTCCTTATAATAAGGATCCTACCATCGCCGGAAACTCCCAGCTGAGGATGGGCTTCTCGCCGGGATTGACCCAGGCTCTGGAGACCTGCGCCCCTTGGCCTTTGGTATTCCACCAGATGGTTTAGGGTTGCGAGTTTTTCCTTTTGGGCTCCAGAGTTTTGCTTCCAAAGCTTTTTGGGCTTCGAAGTTCGTTTTAGGCTTCAGAAGTTGGGGGTTTATGTCAATCACATGGCTGTAGTGCTTCAAACGTCAAGTACCAGGGAACAGGGGCGTTCTGGATCGGGAGTTTCCCGTGTTCTTTTCTGAGTAGCACGACGTCAGATGGTGCCGGGACCCCGTTCCAAACAACAGACGGCCCTTAGATTCTTCTACGACCCTCCTGCAGTTCGGTCACATGTAGTTCAACCCCATAGTTTCCTTTGCTGCTTTGGGATCTCACCAGTGTCAGAGGCTTCACTTTGGACGTCAGCATCGGTGAGATCTGGAGCTTGGCCTACGATCCCGAGTCCAGGCGTCGACGACTGAAGTAGAGAGCAGATTGAAGGCATCAGGCTGCCGGGGACCATGAAGAAACCCGTGGGCAACCTTTCCTAGAATCCTAGCTCTTTTAGAGGCCATGATGAGAATGCCTATGAACATGGCATTTAGAACCTTCCCGAAGGCAGGAGACTACCCCAAACACATGGAGATTAGCACGAAGATGTCGGGGCTTGCTTCTAGTCCTTGTCACAGTCTTTGAGTGCAGGGCTTTGGCTTGATTTGGGAGCCGAGTCTGCGAAGTAGGACTCATGGCTATTGTCGGGCTTTCCTTGAATTTACTATCTGGAAAGAAAACCATGCTGCTGCGACTGCCGCAGGGTAATGAATCGGGCGTGGGGAGCGGGTCGGCAGTTTTTACCACACTGAATAAGTTGAACTCATCCTGTTGACTCCATATCATGCTGTCGCAGCCCACGCCCGGCAAACTACTGCACGAAGTCTTCGACGAGGCCCTAGACGATGGCCACAGCCTCCACGCGGAGCTTGAGTACCCCCTGAACCCGGAGTCTCTTTCCTTACTCGTGCTGTGAAACCCCCGAAAAGGACGCTCTTCTGCGGCGGAAACAACGAATCGGAAGCCCGGCTGCGATTGGGAGTGAATCGATGATGCTATGAGGCCCGTAGTGTTCGGGCACTGAAGGCTTGAAAGGAGTTTGTTCATAAGCAAATGTAGGAGCAAGAGTCGCGCCAGGGGCAAAGCATGCTGCCGCACTGATGCCCTAAAGCCGGACTTATCTCCGAAAGCCTTATGTGTAGTTGTCAAAATTACGGTCCCTTTTGGGGCATATTATCGTACGGCACCTAATATTTAGGGTACCCAAAAAAAGGACCATCATTTTGACAACCACCCTTATCTCTGATACTTGCATCCTCAACCCTGCAACTAAACCATTCCGAGACCTTGAACCATTTCTCAGCCCACACTTCTTGGGTCCAAAGGGGTCTTGTGGCATAAAGCTGCACAAATTTGAGGCTTAAGGGTTTGTGGAAAGGTTTTAGGTTTAGGATTCAGAGTGCTGAGCGTGTGCGGTTGCGGGCTCCGTGTTCAAACGGGCTGCTGAGGTTTGTTGAAGGTCAACAAAGAAGTGTACTAAGACTGTCACTGAGTCACCAAAGTCTTCTCTTGTGTTCAAGATAACTACAAGTATACCGCAGGAATCGGGTAGAGCCACGGAAGTATGGAAAGCACAGTCCTTCAGCTGTAAAAGCACGTTCGATGCCAGAAGCAACACACCATGCGCAAGCTGCATTCAAGGTTGCAGCCGTCCAGCTGTGAGGACGCCAGGAGGGGAATGACAAAAGGAGCGCGAAGGGACTAAGTCCTTACAGTCTTGCAGGCTTGCGGGTCGAGAGCCCAGCCCCTCAATCACAGGGCGGACAGGCCGCTACAAGGTGAGCTCTTAGACCCGCATTACGATCCCTAGATGTGCTGGAGTTTCATCACGGTGCGCGTCGGGAATTAATGTGGAAGCTTGCTGTATGTCGACCAAGACGCACACACACACACACAGAGACACAGACACAGACACAGACACACACACACACACAGAACCCAACAAACTGGATGAAGTGCATGTTGCCAAGTCTCAGTGACGAAGACGGAAACCCAGAGCAGCAGAAGAAGGGAGCCTCGCACGAAGCTTCACGTTGGATCTCTGAAAGCACCTGCACATGAACATGTAGTCTCTTGATGCCCGAAGCATTTCGGTTCTGTTTCGGCCGGATCATCCGCTTCTTCAACGAAGAGTCCCGGCCCCGGCATGCAGGGCTTTCGTTTCAAGCTTCCGCGGCTTAATTTAAGCTGAACCGCCTCGGCTTGTCTTGCTCTGAAGAATCAAAGGTACATATTCTCGAGCCGTCAGCCCTACATATCTTAGTCCATCAATATGGTCAGTTAAGTTGGGCTGAACCCTAAAGCTCCGGGCCGCACACCCGGAAAAAAAAAAATTCTCAGAAAAAGCCATCAGAACAAACGAGTTCCAGGCACCATGCCATAGCGAAGCCAGGCACATCCGGCTTGAGATCTTCGGTAATTTCACTTGGTTTGTAAACACGAGAGCACGTCCATTGAGCCCTTCCAGCCCTCCACTGCAAGCGTTTACGATCCTAGACCTCGCGGAAATGCCGCAAAGGTCCCAAGGGCTTTGCTTCTGCCGCTGCTGCTGCTGTTCCTGCCCCCCCGCCCCCGCTCCTCCTGCTCCTTCTCCTTTTCCTGCTGCTCCTCCTCCTCGACCCCGTCCTCAAAACGGCCACAACCACAACCTGTTACTGGTACCACAGCTGCGATTCTTACTGTCGTGATTGCTGTTACTACTGCTGCTGCTACTACGTATTCTACTACTACCACCACCACCACTTCCATTACTGCTGCCACTACTTCTACTCGTCTACACATCTACCACGAACACCTCTACTGCTGCTGGGTCCCCGCCGCCACCACGATCACCACCTTTATCGCCACCACTACCGCCAGCTGACGACCATGACTTTCGGTTTTGCATTTCCTAAACCCTAAACCCCCAAGCCCGTAAGCCCAACCCCCAAACCCCTAAACCCCTAAAACCCTAAACCCCAAACCCCTAAACCCTAAACCCCTAAACCCTAAACCCCTAAACCCTAAACCCTAAACCCCGAAACCCTAAACCCATAACAGGCCCCTGAAGAGAAAACCCGAGGATGTCGTTCTTGCGCCCGTTGATCCTCGTCTTTGCCGCGGCGCCCTGCCTCGAGGCTGGGAGCAGAGGGCTTTAGATTTAATACGGGGGCCTGCATCATAGGAGGCCAAAAGGGGTTTTAGCCTATGGGGGTTTAGTAGGGATTAGGGCTCCCATAATAGGGTTCATATTCAGGAATCCCTACCCCAAGAATCTTAAACCCCCCTTTTGGCCTCCCATCAACATAGGGACCCATCCGAACACATTGTATAGAGATGCACACCTGCATAATTCACTGCCTGAATCAGTACCCATACTACTTTTGGGGGCTCCTTAGTATAAATATAGTATAATGGGCCTCAACATCCTATTCTAACTATGCAGTCCCCTATAGTAGGCTTCAAATCTTCGGACATTGGGCTCTAGGGCTCCGCCGGATCCGGATGTGGTTAGGGCTGTGAGCTCAGAGAACTTGTTCCATGCGAGCAGTAAGAGATATATAATATGTTGCTGGTGGAAACGATATGGCCCGAATGTCCTTATGTACCGAACCGTTGCGCATCTCTGCCCTGCATGATTTCATGGATGCAGCCATGTTGTTCGGGGAGGCGATCGTGTGGAGCGGCAAGGATGGCAGTGACTCGAATGTGGTGGCGGCCATCGACCTCAGTAGCCTTCCGGAGTGTACTGGCGACCTGATTCCAGGTGGGGCATTTGTGTGCAGAAACCGTAAGTTCCAAGCCCGCTGTACCCTGAGCCCGAACCCGCAAACCCTAAACCCTGGGACGATGCAGGTGGCGAGGCGCAGTGCGACAAATTCAACGATGAACTGGGCAAGTGCGAGGGCAAATACACTCAGTGGGGTGATTCAGGAGAGCTCTTCCTCCAGTGCGGGGTGTCTGGACCCAACTGTCTTGGAGGACCAGACAAACACAAAAAGCAGCAATGCAAGCAGCCTCCGAAGAAGAATCACTGGGTCCTTCCCAAAAAAGGGGTAGTGTGCAGCAAGGCTTGCAAGGACAACGGTTTCTCAAAATGCAACAAAGAGGAGATGGCAAAGATCGACAGTAAGGAGAAGATCAAAACGGCGATGAAAGAGGCCGGCTACAACTGCCGGAGCGTGGGCGGCCACCGAGCCTACGCCGGAATTCCCTTCACTACATTTCGAGCAGGAGACGAGTGCTACTATGTCACCCCCGGAACCAAGGCGGACAAAATCGATTGCAACAACAACAAGTACGGTTCGCATGGCCCCCTTTGCTACTGCGACTAGAGCAGCATAGAATCCGGAGGAGGCGCAAAGCCCGCAGTCTTGTCGCTCGGACTTGAAGGAAAAGAGGCGAGGGCACAGGCCAAGCCGGGGGTCTGTACAAGGCAGCCAGGTAGCATAACGCGAATTCCTCCGTTTGTCCCCGTTCCTCCAAGGATCTTCGTGGGTTAGTTTTTTACAGTACTATAAGGGTTTCTTATGATAATGGGCCCCCAAAGCCCTATTCTGATTATTAACGCCCCCATATTCGGGTTCAGTTTAGTGTTCCTACCTGCCGTGGAACTTGGCTCACAGCGGTACCGAACATTTCCACGTCCCCGAACCCGACTCGAAGTTCTAAAGCAACCCAGGCCAAAACCCCCCCAGTTTGACCCCTTCTATGCTAGAAAGCACGTACTTCCTGGCCATACACCGCCCAGGCCTGGAACGTGCCACACCCAACAACCTTGAGCCTGAAGCTCCACCCCCCAAGTCCAGCTTGAAACGAGCCGCCACTCGATTCCTGTACCGCAGCCATGGCCCCATCCATGCGATGGGTTGTTGCAATCGTGGCCTTAGCGGTCGGCGCCGACTCCTTCCAGGCTTAACCCGGAAGCCTTCGAGGTTTGTTATTTGTTGTTGTTGTTGTTGCTGTTGCCGTTGCTGTTATCGTTAGTGTCATTCTTGCTGTTACTGTCAGTGCTACCGTCATTGTTGTTGTTATTGTTACTGATATTGTTATTGCTACTGTTACTTTTATTGTTGTGCTTGTCCCAGTGTTGTTAGTTTTCACGTCTTGGGTGTTTGACGTTTTGGGTTTAGTGCGTTTTGATGAGGGCGGGCTTAGCGACTGAGTGCTAAAGAGTGTAGACTTTTTCCATACCGAAGCAAGGAACGCAATCCAGGGGCCTAAATATTCACAAATACATTTTGTATTTTGGTGTTCCTTATTGTCAGTATGGTATAACATACCGCTAAACCACCCAAGCCCTGGGCATTGGATCCTGAATCCTAAAACCCTAAACCCCTGTATACTCCCCCAAACCCGAAATCCTCAATCCCCGTACCTGGAAACTTCAGCCCCAATCTCCCTGGTGCTTAGTAGGGAATGGGGGAATGGATCCTCTGGTAGCCCCCATATGGGAGTTTCCGAAAATAGGGGACCCTAATCTAGTACCCTAAATAGTAGGATCCTTATAATAAGGACCCCAAAATAAGGTACCCCTAATTTTCGAAAACTCCCATATAATCCCAATAACAGTCAAAAACAACCCATTGCACCTATTCCCCACTAGGAACCAGACAGCAAAGCCCTCAGCCCACCTGCCTCCTCCCTGCCAAGAGGTCAGCGCTGACCACGAGGTCGGCTCCAGGAAAGTAAGTCGGGGGCAGCAAATGGCAGGACGAAGGTTGGTAGCATTTACATATATATATATATATATATATCATATATATATATGTATATATATATATATATATATATGCACACACATTTCCACATATAGGGGCTCAAAGTTTGAGGATTATCCACCTACCGTCATCCCACCTTTGGAGTCCTTTGAGTACATTAGGGCAGCCATGTCGGCCTGGGGGTGGGTGTACTTAAAGGGTCATGGTTATAATTAGGGTAACTATACTTATAATTACTTGTAACCCAAATTAGGGTACCTATAGCACTGCTTACTAAGTCCCATGGTCCTCCAAGTACAGGGTGGAGGATCGAGGATGGCTTGGGGCTTTGTGGGCCCAAAGCGAGCAAGAGAAGGATAGGTTTTTTTTACCCGAAAATTAGGGGCTACCTTATCTTGGGGACCTTATAATAAGGATCCTACTATTTAGAGTGCTAGATGAAGGTCCGCTATTTTCGGAAACTCCCATATCAGAATGGTTGGACACAGGTATACCGCAACACATCGCAATGCTGTGCTGCTAGCTGCCACAGATTGACAAACTCCTGCATTACCTTCCGTACTCTAAACTACGGGACTTAGTTTTATGGGACATGATTTCTTTTATGGACACTGCGGGTGTGTGTATGCCAGCACTGGGGCCACAACCCCAAGCCTGAGACCCGTGTAAAAGACTTAGTAACCTGCATAGAAACCTTTTACAGGAACCCTCAAGGGAAGTTTTTAATTTCATTAAGCCATAGACATTCATCTAGAATACTTGAGTATCCAGCGGGAGCCATTTTTTAAATGAGCCCTGTAAAGATCCCTAAACGGATCCGTCAGAGACTCCCTCAAAGGAACCGTTAGAGAATCCCTTGCAGGGATCCCGTAAAGGATCCCTTAAAGCCTTAAAGGATCCCGTTTCTCCGTATTCGAGCTTCCAGCAGAGTTTGGCTGAGGCAGGCCTCGCGGCCGACTACTCGTCGCAGCTCGCCGAATGGTAGCGGTCCCAGCGGCTCCATTTAAGGGTTGCTCTAAGACTATAAGGTTACTTTAGGGCCTTAGGGGCTACAATAGAGGTTGAGTCTAGGCACATTTATCGGAAGGGCTGTGGTTGATGATGTTGGGCAGAGTGTAGGAGCCTGGATAGTTTTGGCGCAAAGTTCCCGGATGACCCTAAACCTAAAATGCGACACCCTAAACCCTAAACCCACTTGTAGTGTTTTGCTGTGCAGGGGCGTTGGTGGTCGTTGAGTTCAGGCCCGGTTTAGGGTTTGGCCCAGATGATTTTAGCACTTGCGAACCCTAAACCCTAAACAATTCCTAAGCCCTAAACCCCAAGGCCCTAAACCCCGAACCCTAAGCCCTCAACCCCAAAGCCCTAAACCCCGAACCCTAAGCCCTCAACCCTAAGCCCTAAACCCCGAACCCTAAGCCCTAAACCCCAAAGCCCTAAACCCCGAACCCTAAGCCCTCAACCCTAAGCCCTAAACCCCGAACCCTAAGCCCTAAACCCCAAAGCCCTAAACCCCGAACCCTAAGCCCTAGCACCCAAAGCCCTAAATCTTCAACCCTGCGAAGCTTCGGAGGAAGCTGCACCTGGCGAAAGCCAGACTCCGTACTCTGAAGACCGCGATCAAGTGGACTCAGCCGGCTGAGGCTCGCCACTGTCGCATCTTTCCACTAATGGACATATGCATGTAATTATGTAAGTACATATATATATATATATATAATATGTATGTATGTATACATATACATATATATATATATATATATATACACATGTGTTTGTACATGCACATGTTTCTGGACGGATACATAAGAAGATAGACACGCACGCACACATACACAGACTCCTACACTTAGATCTACACCTGCATCTACATGCACAGATACATATGACCCTACATACACATTATACACATGCATCTGTGAATATTGCATATGCATGTGCAGACGTACTGACATGCACACGTACATACATACGTGCAGCAGGCGTTACAATGATTACATCAGGTCTACATACATACATGTACATACACATCTGCAGCTGGTCATGTGCCACTGCATCTTTCCTGTGGGTCTGTATACCTCACCGGTCTATCCAATTTCCTATCTGTCCCATCTATGGAATCTATGTATCCGTCCATCCATCCGTCCGTCCGTCCATCCATCCATGCAAGGATCCATTTACCCAGCTGGCCATCCATCTACCTTCATGCGTGTACACACACACACACATTCAGTATACACACCTTGTATGTGAAAACTGCCCACACCTACGAACAACTCTGAAACACAAACAAGCTACCCGAAAAGCCACCAACGATGAAAAGAAAGCCCTAAACCCTACCCTAACCCCTAAACCCTAAACCTCTAAACCCTAAACCCCTGAACCCCTCAACCCCTAAACCCCTAAACCCTAAACCCCCTGCGCAGGCCGAAGATTCAGACAACTCGGTGCTCCTGCAGTCACCGTCCGATTTCTCCGCACCCATGGAGCCGGAAACCGAGACATCTTTGTTAGGTTTTTCCGGTTTAGGGTCCAGGGTTTAGGGATTCGGGTTTAGGGTGTAAGGTGTGGGTGTAAGGGTTCACAACTTCAGGAGTTAGGGTTGGGATTTTCGGTTCTTCTGGTTTCGGGTTCCGGGGTTTGGAGTTCAGAGCCAGGCTTCTCGGGATTTCTAGTTTAGGGTGGACGGCATTTACTTTGACGCTTACTATGTCGGTTTCCATCACCATTACGAGTACCATTTCCAGTACCTATTACGAGTACGAGTAACATTATCACTACCATTAGTATTGCAACTCCTGTTGCAAGTGCTCTTGCTATTTCTATAGCTATTGCTACCACTACTGCACATACTACGACGACGACTCCTACTGCTACTGCAACAACGACAGCAACAACTGCTTAGACTTCTTCTTCTTCTACTGTTACTGGTGTTGGTGCTGGGCACTTGCACCGGTATTGGTACTACTACTGCTACTACTACTATTACTACTCCTGCTGCTGCTGCTCCTGCTCCTGCTCCTGCTCCTACTCCTACTCCTACTACTGCTACTGCCACTGCCACTGCCACTGCCACTGCCACTGCGACTGCTACTGCTACTGCTACTGCTACTAGTACAACAACAACAACAACAACTACTACTACTACTACTACTACTACTACTACTACTACTACTACTACTACTACCACAAATAGTAGTAGTAGTAGTAGTAGTAGTAGTAGTAGTAGTAGTAGTAGTAGTAGTAGTAGTAGTAGTAGTAGTAGTAGTAGTAGTAGTAGTAGTAGTAGTAGTAGTAGTAGTACTACTACTACTACTGCTACTGCTACTTCTACTGCTACTGCTACTGCTACTGCTACTGCTACTGCTACTACTACTGCTACTACTACTGCTGCTACTACTAGTACTACTAGTACTACTAGTACTACTAGTACTACTAGTACTACTAGTACTACTAGTACTACTAGTACTACTAGTACTACTAGTACTAGTACCACTACCACTACCACTACTACTACTACTACTACTACTACTACTACTACTACTACTACTACTACTACTGCTACTACTGTGACCACCGTGACAACGGCGACGACGACCGCCACACAGGAGCAAAACCAGGATGCTTACCGAGACCACGACGATGACGACGACCCACAACGTCGAGGAGGACGACGATCGACGACGACTTCTTCTACACGAATGACGACAACGACAACCAGCGATCGCGATGGCGGCTAGAGCTCCTACTCGTACTCACAAAGAGGACGAGAGCATCTGAGTTTTGTTTGGTTTCAAGTTTGTACAAGTAACTCGCACTGTTTTCTTACCACCTGTGATGGGCTGTCGTTGGTGGTGATACTGTGAAGAGCACAACTGCGCTGGCCATGAGTACTATGAGACCCCGAAGACGGCTAAGTCTTCGCTCCTTCGGCCGAAGAACGACCCTAAACGCAAAATTGACCCTAAACCCTAAATGCGAAACCGACCCTAAACTCCCCTATACGCGAAATTGGCCCTAAACCCTAAACCCTAATCGCAAAATTAAGGCAGGCGGAGACCGTCCTCGTTCAGACCGAGGCACCCGGGCTCATGCCTGGTATCCGAAAGCTTCGGAGACAGACACCAGACTTATAGGTGCCCTAAGGGCTAAAGGGGGTTTAGGGTTTAGGGTTTGGGGCTTAGGGTTTAGGGTTTGGGGCTTAGGGTTTAGGGGGGGGGGATCCTAATTGGGGCTATAAGTATGGGCTTCGAACGGTTTAGGCTTCTCGGCTGCAAAGCCCAGGGTATAGTCTAGAGCTTGCATTCTGGGCTGATGCAGCAGGTCAATGTTCAGAGCTAAGGGGTTGGGTAGAAGAATAAGAGTCTAAGAGCGTGTCAGAGAAAATAATCCGCACCTTTGGCGACAAAAAGTAGCTAAAAGCACCTTAAACCGAAGACCCTTGCAGCCCTATCCAGGACCCAAAACCCTTAAGACAAGTCTTCACGTAAACCCTAACCCCTAAGGCCTGAAATCTAGGAAGCCCTTTCTTCACGTAAACCCTAAACCCTGAAATCTAGGAACCCTTTTTAAACCCCAAACCCCTAAACCCCAAACCCTAGAATCAAGGAGCCCTTCCTTGAAGCGCCTTAGAGGGAACCCCTCATTGAAGCCCTTAAAGGAACCTTCAAAAGGAACCCTAAACCCAGAAGTTTCAAAATCCCTTGATTGGGGAATATACGTTAAACCATATTAGGGTCCCTATCATAATTTAAGGTATATTCTTTAATTCAGGGATTTGGGAGTTTCTGGGATTTTCCTATCATAGTTTAAGGTATATTGCATGATTCAGGGATTTTGAAGCCCTTCCTGGTCCTTGGAGCCCTTAGAGTGCCAGGCCCCGAGCACTTCCTCGGACCTCACCTTCTTCCAGCAGCTCTCCCAAGACATCCGGAGCGAAGGCTGGGGTTCAGGGGTTATAGGGTTTAGGGGTTTGGGGTTTAGGGTTTAGGGGCTGGGGTTTAGGGGTTTGGGGTTAGGGTTTTGGGTTTAGGGGTTAGGGTTTAGGGTTTAGGGGCTAGGGGATAGGGTTTAGGGGCTGGGGTTTAGGGTTTACAGGGATCAGGGTTTACAGGGTTTAGGGTTAGGGTTTAGAGGTGGGATCTTGGGGAATCTTGGAGGGGTTTCAGGGGATTTAGGGCTGAGGGGATTCAGGGCTTCAAGAGCACGGGATCAGGGGATTTAGGGTGGCCCTAGGGGCTTTAGGAATTTCTGGTTTCGGCCATGGGATCCGGGGATCTCATTTTCGGGTGCTCCAGGAAGGGTGCTCTTCATCACTCGGAACTCCGAGGGTTTGTTGATCCCAAGCCCTAAACCCACACAGTGGGGTTGTAGACCCTGACTCCGAGCATGTCCCGCAAAAACTGTGGTGACGACTGTAGGAAGCCCCGGACAAGAGATCCTGAACCCCGGTGTAATAGGAATAGGCCCCAACCCCTGAAACCTAAAACCCGAAAGCCCTAATGTAAACCCTTATAAACCCCTTAACCCTAAACCCGCAAACCCTAAAACCCTTAGCCCCTAAACCCTAAAACCCTAAACCCTAAACCCTTCGCTTTTGACCGGCTGTAAGGTTGTTTGGTCCTCCTGGCCCCCACGGCCTTCTTGGAAGCTGGGTTTGCGTCTGGGAAAAAGGAGCTTAAACAAAAAAACCTAAAACCCTAGAGCCCTAAACCCCTAAACCCTAAAATCCTAAACCCTCAAACCCTAAGCCCTAAAACCCTAGACCTTAATCCTCAAACTTTAAAGAGATCCTGGCGCCAGGTGTCTTCCACTACTTCGTCTCTCGCTCGGCCTTCTGGAGCTTGCGCGGGGGCGTGGGGCGGAGACGGGGGGAGGGAGGAGAAGGGGGGACTTTCATGGGAGTTTCAGAAAATTAGGGGTACCTTATTTGGGGGTCCTTATAATAAGGATCCTACTATATAGGGTACCATATTAGGGTCCCCTATTTTCGGAAACTCCCATAGATTTAGGAAGTGATACTGTTCAGATGTTTCCGGGGCTTTTGGTAGTAGTGGTGGATTCATGATTCAGGGTATGGAATTGGGGAACCTCGGTTCTGGGAGTTGAACAAGCGGGATTTCGATTCTGAGGCCCGTAGGAATTTAGGAGTTTCCAAAAATAGGGGACCCTAATATAGGACCCTAGATAGTAGGACCCTTATTATAAGGAGCCCCAAAATAAGGTACCCTAATATCCGGAAACTCCCATTTAGGATACAAGGTCTCGGTTCCGAAGACAAGGCTCGAGGCGGAAGCCAGAGCAGCACATTGAAACATACAGAAACACATGGGAGTTTCTGAAAATAGGGGACCCCAATAGAGTATTTAGGGCAAATAGTAGGAACCTTATTATGGGAACCCAAACTAAGGTACCCGAAATTTTCGGAAACTCCCACATCACAGTCAGACATACGCACTACAACCTCGAAAGCGCCCCAACAGCAGCAGGAGGAAAAAGCGAAAGGACCCTGAGAGGAAGGAGACTAAACCACTGCACTCAGGCATGCCACATCCTTGCAAAGCACTTGAGACGTCCGCACCCAGAGCCGACGCAAACATCGGATGGATGACGGAAGGCATTCAACGAGGGCACCTTCCTACTCCCCTCGTCCTCCTCCTCCTCCTCCTCCTCCTCCTCCTCCTCCTCCCTCCTTCTCCTCCTCGTCATGCTCATCCCCACCTTTTATGCCATCGCAACGGTCTTCTTCATCACGGAGATATTCCTTGCAACCTCCAACAGAACCCCAAGCCTCGTCGTCGTTTTCGACCTTCGTGGCCTGTGCCACTCTGGGGGAGGATCGGCGTCTCTTCCGCCTGCATGGTAATGTGCACGGGGCCTCGGGTTCAGGACGGGGCTGTGTCAGGGTTTCTTGGTGCAGGGTAGAAGTGAGGGAGGCATAGTATGAGAGGTGCGAACTGCTTGACATCTGAAGTTTGGGTCAAACATTGCTTGCAATCTTAATCCCCTCATCCCTGACCCGACGATCCCCATGTCCTGAACCTAAACTGCGATTCCAAAACCCTGTACGCCGGATTCCCAAACGTACAATGAGGCGAAAATGCCCAGAAAAGTTTATCTGGGCCTCCCCACCCAAGCGTTATATTGCCGTGAGCAGGTGCTACCCCCTAAACCTCGAAGTCCCCGTTCTGGTAGGTCGTGATCCCTCCAGGCCGTAAACCCTGTAGTCCCTAATGCATCCCGAAACCCGAACCCCTGAACCTTAACCCTGGACACTAACCGCTTACCGATTTCTTCCGTTTTTGCTGTGACTCAGGCCTACTCCAGCTCGCCTGCTGCACCCCCTACGCCGACGAGGCCCGGGTTTGGGTGGTTCCAGGGTCTCCTACAGCGCACAGTCGCAGGCAACCAAACCTTTAGGTAATCATGATCACAACAAGAATATCATCACAATTGGTTCGCAATCCTGGAGAAGACTTTTTTAGCGTGTCAGCCAGAAGTTCCTATTCACTGTTCCATCATGCCAGCAGCAGTCTGTTGCAGCATACGGTTTACGGAGGCCCAGTGGGACTGCATCGTTTCGATACTCGCGGCAGGGAGAGTTTGCCCTCGAGGACGATGATGCAGAGGCCGAGCAGGGGTGGTCGGCTGGTCGAGCCATGGTGCTTAGGTTTCAGGGTGTTAGAGTTTCTATTTGGCAGATGCAAGGCTAAGGGTTTTAAGGGGCTCTTTGCTCAGGGTTCAGGGCATAGTGTTCCTCAGCAGCTATGGTGGCCTCTATGGTCACCGTCATGGTGCATGACTCGTGAAGATGATAAAGACAGTTAGGTCAGGTTCCCTTGACCTTCGACCAGAGCACTGTAGTTTCCCACGCAGCTGCGAGCCGGCTAGTCCACTCTCGAAGTGCCGCCGCGACATGCCGAAAGATATCAGATCTCGCATACTGAAATTCACAACAACGTGTCCAGATAGGCAGAGCATGTTGCAACGCACTGTAACTGTAAACACGTGCCTTCCGCACGAGATATCAGAGCATACTTCAGACACATGTTCCATGAGGTTCATGTAACGTACTGCAATGTGGCGTAATGCAATGTAATGCAATGCAGTGTGATTGTAATGTAATGTAATGCAATGTAGTGTACGGTCTGCATGTATGCACGAATGCATGCATGGAAGTATGGATGTACGTGTGAAGGTATCTAGGCATGTAGGCAATGCATGTCTGTATGTATGTCTGCACCGATACCTGTCATGATTATTCCTGTCCTCAGTATACATTTGCTCATTCTCTCATGTCCTGAGAGTTCGTAGCCTCGCTCCTCGCCTGAGAGGTCTGGAAACCAAGCAAGGCTGTCCTGGCATGGCTTAGGGCGAGCATGCTGCAAGGGTGCGAGGCTTCGGGGTCCAGCGTTCAGGGCTTCCGAAAGCGGGAGTCCATACCCAGATGCGCCTACCCATGATTCGGTATCTCATCCCAGACTCGAAGTAAAGACGCCATGAAACGGATGCCCATCACCGGCTTCGGACACCTGGGCCATTTTCGCAGACATGCCAGCCCAGCACCGTCTTCAAGGTTCATGGTTGCAATCTATGGCCCGAAATCCTCGACCGTTTTGGCCCCAAGCCCCTAGCAATAACTTCAAGCCCCAAGCCCAGCATGGTCTTTTCGCTACTGAAACCATGAGAGAGCCAAATCGCACTCTCGAAACCTTGATAAACGTCCTGTATGCAATCTACGCAACCACATGAACCGGAAAACGGGGAGTTCCTGAAACATTGGAGGTTCTTGTAAAAGGGGAGAAGGAGGGACCCTTAATGGGGACCCCTACCCTAAAATGGGCTATATTATGGGTTAGCTATATTAAGGGTATATACCTGGTGGGCATCTTGAGCTGTGATGCTTGCAGTCAGTGTTCTCAGGCATGCACTCCGGGAATCTCAAGGTCCCTGAAGCCAACCTTATTTTGGGGTCCTTCTAATAAGGATCCTACTATTTAGGGTACTGCATCAGGGTCCCCCATGTTCGGAAACTCCCGGCTGAAGGCTTCTAAGAACTCCCGAGCCGCAGCCCCCAAGAGAAATCCCGGAACTCAGATCCCCTAAACCCTCCCCTCGCAACCCTCGTCTCTATACCCTGAAGCCTAATACTTAAAAAATTCTTTAATAACCTAGTATCCTAATACCCTGATAGTAAGCCCTAAACTCTATCTCTCTAAGGGCTTAGGGGTTTAGGGTTTAGGGCACCGAACATCCACTTGCTTGTCGATGGCCTGAAGGCCAGGGGTTTGGCTGAGCATCTCAGGGTCGACTAGCTGGGATTCGCAGGGTGTCCCTCCCGCCCCACACCCTGTACCCTAAACTCAAACCCCGACCTTCTGCCCTAAGACCCCAAACACTAAAACATCTGACATCTACCCTGTAACCCAGACAAGAATCCCGAAGCCGAGTACCTCATGCTCCAGAGTCCAAGCCTTCTTCGGGACTCTGGGCAGTTTGTGAATTTGGCTTAGGTGTTGGAGTCTTGGGTGTAATACGGATACTGCCCCCACCCTGCAACGGATGGATTTTGTCTATGATGCGAGTCTATATAGCCGTTGATATGACCCCGATAATATGGACTGGTAGCAGTATCCGAGGTTTAAGGTCTAAGCCAGTGTGAGAACCGAGCCTTACAAGCCATGCAGCTCTGATGTGTGCTTGGATGGACAGCCACATCCCTAATCCCCGGAGAACTGAGGCCGGACCCAAACCCGGACAGCCTGCAACCCAAACCTCTGATCATCCTCTAAACCTCCATACCCTAAACCCTAGACTCCTAAACAGCCCCAGACTCTGAAGCCCTCGAACCTCATGGTGGCGCCAGCGACATCTCGTGCGCTCACCGGTCGCGAGCGATGCCGGGCGATTTCGGCGCTGCGGCCGCAAGGACTGAAGAGCTGGCTTGGGTTATCATGGGCGTCGGCATATTGTTGTTCATTGGGGGTCATTAATCTCAGTACTGTGGGTATACGTCGTACAATGACTCCCAAGCCCTGCTCTAATCATTTAGCCCCCTACGTTAGGGTTCTTTCGAGTTTAGGGTTATGGGTATAGTCAGCAGTAAAGGGGATTGGGAGTTAGGAATAACGGTTTAGGGTTCCGGATGTTGGGGCGCACGTCCAGGGTTGAGCGGTGTTGCGTCCTCATGGTTCTACAGTTGCTTTCAAGTTGCTCGAGGCTTGTCATCGCAAAGTGGTGTATGTTCAATCCTCGTCTTACTTCTGCCTATGTCCAATTTTGCCTCTTAAGAGTTGATTTCTTAATTACCCTAAATCCTAAATCCTGTTGTGCTAATGTTGCCAAAGGTTGTTGTGATGACCCTCTGCGGATTGGGAAGGTCGATTCGTCCAGGCCTTGGGTTTCGTTTTGGTATTGGTGTAGAGCTGGACTCGACTTGCGGGATCGGAGATCTTCGTAGGTGATTGATAAGCAGACCTATAAGCACCTCAAAAAAAGGATTCTAATTGGGGTTACGAAGGAGGGGCCCCAGGGAACAGGATGCTTAACTGCTCCGGCTGACATAATACAGCCCTCCTACTTGCAAGTGCCAGGCTGTCAGTATGCCAGCAGCCCTGCACCCAAAACCGGAAGCCCTGAACGCTAAGCCTTCTACCCTAAACCGTAAGCCCCAAACCCATCCTTAAACCTTGAAATTCCTACATCCCTAATTCCCTAAGCCAGAGCCCCGGTTTCGGGCTTCGGGTGTAGGCTTTAGAGCTTTGTATAGAGGCCCCAACAATTACCTACACTATTGCGGGGGGTCCTTATTACAAGTATTATACCCCAAACCCTATTGTAACTATTAAGGCCCCTATATTATGACGGGGGGTTCCTTATTACAGGTATTATACCCCAAACCCTATTCTAGCTATTAAGGCCCCCATATTATGACAAACCCCGCCATCCAACAGATCTTGGGAGGAAAATGGCGCGAGGCCCTCGACCTCTTAGCATCAGCCGAGGCGCGGTGCGTCCACGGTTTGACGGAAAGGGGGGGTTCGCCGGGTTTAGAGTTTGAGGTTTGGGGTGTAGCGTTTGGGGTGTAGGAGGGAAAAGGGGCCGGTCGGACCTTTGTCAGTCAGTGTCAGGAATTTTCGCTGAGGGGTTTAGGTTTTGGTCTGGGGCTTGGGGGTTTTCTGCAACTTCCATCTTTCAGTTAGTCAGACCGAGGCACGCAAGGATTCGTAGAGCCACTTTGGTCATTGAGCAGCGACAAAATCGGTTCAATAGCAATACATATCTTGGCCACGGCTTCGATTCAATGACCCGTTTGCGTCGAAGTTTCGAAGGCGAAAACGTGAGAGTTTGGCGTGCACTGCTTTGGCCTGTTTGCGTGTGTGTGTGTGTGTGTGTGTGCACACGACGGTTTTCATGAATCGTCAAGCCATGTTTTAGCGAAGCTCGACGTGTTCCTGCATTGCATTTTCCGGCACAATTTGCCAAAAAGCACGGTGGCTCCCACTGCTAGTGCGCCAAAGCCAAAATCCACAGCCGTAAGAAAAGCGCACACCTTACGCCCAGAACCATGATATCCTGAAAGCTTGATAGTTCCCAAAGCCGCACAACTTTTACCCTCGAGCCCTAACCCTATATTGAACACTAAACCTTGAACCCCTAAACCCCTAAACCATACTAAGCCCTAAACCCTAAACCCCTACACCCCCAAACCCTAAACCCCTAAACCCTCAGCCCCTGAACCCTAAACCCTAAACCCCCAAACCCTACTAAGCCCTACAGCCGAAAAGGTGGTGGACCTGATCTGCTGGAGTTGCGCCATCTCCGTTTGCGCTTCGGCGGGCCGCTGGCCCTGGTCCATCCACTTGCTCCAGGTGGGAGGGGCTCCCTTATAGTACTCCGCATAGTATACATAAATACCACACATAATGTCATATATATATATATACACACATAATATACATATATGCATGTACATGTACATATATATATACATATATATATATATATGTATAAAATACCTATTTAGCTGCATATGTGTATATATGATGCATCTCTCTCTCTCTCTCTAGCCCCGAGCCCCAAAAGCTGAACCGTAGACCTGGAACGCGAAAGCCTGAACCTCAAACCCGAAACACACCCTGGACCGCTAACCCCCTAAACCTCGAGCCTAAACCCCTCAGCCGCAAACCCGCAAAGAGCTTCAAACCAGGATCTCGAAGATCGCTCCGTGGCGCCAGACGTCCGCGCCTGGACCGCGGGAATCAGCGCGTGCGATCGCGACGGGGAGCCACCTGCCTTCCAGGGTCTTGTAAGGTCTTCAGAAGGGTTTCAGAGTGGGGGCTTGAAGCGTGTTTATACGGTCGATCGGTATCATAAGGGGATCGTATGTTTAAGGCCACTTTCTGATTCGGTGTGGGGCTTTGGGGCATTTTGGTTGGGAATATTCCGGCACCCAAGAAGCGGAGTCCCAAAATCCTAAACGGCCCCAATGAGGCCTTAAACTTTAAACCGCAAGCCCTTAACCGGAAGCCTCGATACTACAAGGGCCTTAAGAGTTACCTATACTATTTTTGGGGGGTTCCTTCTCATAACTATACCATAATGGGCCCCAAAATCCTATTCTAATTATTCAGGCCCCTTTGTAACCCCCAAAGCCGAAAGCCAGTGTTATCCGGAGCTGACAGGTGGCAGCGGGCTCTGGACCTGCTCCGCGCGATGCCAGCAGCCCGGCGATTCCTGGTAGATGATGGAGGTTTGAGTAGGGTTTAGGGTTTAGGGTAGTTCGTAATAGCATTCTCTTATCATACCCCAAGACACTCTTCCTATTCGATCCCCTATATCAGATGATTCTGACAAGTGAGGGTCCGGGTGCTGGGGCCGCCATCGCGGTCGTCGCCCTCATCATGAAGGTCATCATGTCGTCATAGTCATCCCAGCAAGAAGCCCAGTAGCCCCGAGAGGGCGCGAGGCTAGGTTCACTTGCTGTGCAGCTGTCAGCTACGATGTTCTGGAGATTTCTGGAGTTTGCTGTTCAAGACTTCGAGTTCGGGGTTCGGCGCTTGGGATTGCTCCGGGTTTTGCGGGTTGAGGCTTTAGGAGCTTATCGGTGGTAGCAACGTCTTGAGGCCTGAGGTGGAATGGTTCAAAGTGCTCCTGAACCCTAACCGAATCATACGCCCTCGACCCTGGATCCTTCCAACTTCGCGCAGTACTCCGTTACGATGGAAACCCTCTGAAACCTCATCAGCCAAGGAAGCAGATGCTGTGGCATACAATGCCGCTATCAGTGCCTTTGTGATGTTTTAAGCAATGGTTGCTAGCACCAGCTTACTGTAGCGAGGGCCCCTCATAGGAACCACAGTTTACAACCCGTGCAAAAAGTCCGGACGAGAGTTCGCAACGGTTCCGGGTTCAGGGCATGAGGGCTTCTCGGAGCTTTCTTCCATTGAGGCCATGTCGTCGTCGTAGTAGTAGTAGTAGTTGTTGTTGTTGTGGTCGTCGTCGTTTCTAGCAGTAGTTGCTGCTGCGCTGCGGCTGCTGCTGCTGCTGCTGCTGCTGCTGCGCTGCTGCTGCTGCTGCTGCGGCTGCTGCTGCTGCTGCTGCTGCTACGGCTGCTGCTGCTGCTGCTGCTGCTGCTGCTGCTGCGGCTGCTGCTGCTGCTGCTGCTGCGGCTGCTGCTGCTGCTGCTGCTGTTGCTGCTCCTTCTCTGCTGTCGCAGACACTACCACCTGCAACACCCACTACGATTGCCGCACCTGTGATTACGATTGTGATCCCGCCGAGTTTCTGTGTTCCCCTTGCTGCCGCTACGCTTGTCGGAACAAACGAAATTAATCAGTACATGACTGCCCCAAGGACCCTAAACCCTAAACCCCTAAGCCCCAAGGCGTTTGTGGTCATGCATCGCAGCTGGCCGCTGCAGAAGAGCTTTTTCGGGAGTCGCCCGGCCACCTCTTCAGCCCCAGGATCTTCTTCCCACCCCGCAGCATGCATGACCGGAAGCCCTTCATGACCGAAAGCCCTATATACTATAGGAGCCTAAACAATTACCAAGTTTGGGGGTTCCTTATGGTAACTATAGTAGACTATCCCCCGAAACCCTGTTCTAATCATTAAGGCCCCTGTATTACGGTACCAGCTGCATGAGCTCCCAAGCAAAGCATAGCAGAAAAAGAAAGCAGCACTGTCTAGGGTTTAGGGTTTAGGGTTTAGAGTACTGTCTGCAGAGGGTCGCAGTGTTTTCTTGAGTGTGACCATCCGCCAAGGATGACCCAACGGGGTCTGAAGCCCAGCGTCGTGACCTACACAACAGACGCTCGCCGGAATAGGACTGGGCTAAGGCTAGAGTTCACGACCGTGCACCCAACCAATTGGTGGAGACCGTTGCTTGCTACAAGCTTTAAGAGACCCCTAACTCCTAGGTCCTAACCCAATCCTGCGCCCTTCTGCCAATGGGGTTTTGAGATGCAGGATGTTCCCTGTCCAGGGCAAAAACGGGAAATACCAGAAGTTCCTTTGAAAGGAGCAGGTAGGGATGTCGCAGCCCAGTTCTTCCCGATTGCAGGTACATATGACTGTACACCAGGTCCTGCAGACGCACCCTTACATAGAATCCGGAAATCCCACAACCTCCCAAACTAATACAAATCTTTCACCTGGCCCCTCAAGCCCAAAGAAGCTGATGTTCGATAAGAAGAGTAGGGCTTTAGATTCAGATCGGCAAAATGACAAGGTCAGATGGGCTTGCAGTTCTTGGGCTTGTCGCAAGTATATAGTTTGCCTGCAGGGCCCTTCAGAATGCGGGTGCCCATTTTCTCTAGTAGTCAGCTTGTTTTGGTGCCGCAATGTTGAGGTTTCCTTGTCTGGTCGGGAGGTGTGGGAATTAGGGGTTTGCGGCTTTAGGGTTTCAGGGTCTTCAGGGTTTTGAGTTCAGAGGTTCAGGGCGAAAGGGCTTCATTAGCGCCCGAAGGCTTCCCAAAACCCCAAACCCTAAACCCCAAATCCCATCGACAAGGAGCCCTTAAGAAATACAAAAAAACCAAACCCCAAACCCAAAACCATAAATCCTACACCCTAAACCCTAAACCCTGAAACCTAAACCCTGAATCCGTTGAAGGCTCAGGGTTAGGAGGTCTCCCCACTGCCCCTCCTGGCCGGAAGCCTCGGGGAGGTCCTGGCTGCTCGCAGCGCCGTGGGACACTGGGCCGATGCCCTGGCCCTGCTGGGAGCTATGAAAGCAGAGGTTCGGGGCTCAAGTACGACAGAGGCCTCAATAGTTAGAAGAAGGTATTTGGGGCGCGAGATACTACAGACAGAATTGGAACCCCGAAATAGGATTGGGAATTTTTTAGTCCCCTATAGCACTATAGCCGATAGCATGCTTCGTTTAGGGGTCGGAAGACTTGGTAACTGTTTTCCTGAGGGTAGCCTAAATGGTTTGCCGTTTGCTTTTCCGTTTTGGTTGAGGATCGCGTTAACGGTCGAATCGCAGTCTAAAGCCTGCAGCCCCACCATCATGGCGCCATCATCGTCACCCTAGTCGTCACCACCGGGTACCATCATCATCACCCTAAACCCTAAACCGTCAGTAGTGGTATGGTGGGAATCCCTCCTAACGGCTCCCGAAACACCCCTCAGCCAGACTTGGCCTTTCGACTAACCTTTGGGCAGTTGGAAAAGAGGGCTTAAGCAAAAAAACCGTCAGTATAATGATGTCAGGAAGTCGAACCGAGCCTCGTCACCTATGGGGCGGCGCTGGGCGCCTGTGCGAGCCGGGGGCCTCAAAGCCCTTAAAGGTACCCTTAAAGCTACCCTTGGGGGTGAGTTGCCGATGTAGGGGTTGAGGCCGTTTTAGGGGTCTATAATATTGGAGTTCAGGGCTTCCGAGTTTCGGATTTGCGGTTTCGGAGTTCATGGACTAGGGTTTGTTTGGAGATCGGTGACTCAGGGTCCAGAAGTTTCGGTTTTTATTGTGGTTTCAAGGTTGTTTCAGGGTTCGAGGTTAAGAGTCGGTCTCGCTTTTAAGCTTCAATTAGGAGTTTCGGAATTAAGTTCTTTGGTTGAAGGCCCCTACTTCGCGGGCCTGTGGTCTTCGGGTGATCGCGGCGCTTTTTTTGTTGGGGATCGTAGAAACGGGGAACACTTGGGGTCCCGGGGTTTGGGGTTCAGGAACTTTAGGGTTCAAGGTTTGAGACGGAAATGGCTCGAGTGGAGAGCCCAGAAGAGCGTATGTCAGGGGGCCGTTTGACATCGGGGCGGCTTGCGTTCTACGATCATGCTGCAATTGCACAAACGGGCCCAACAATAACTCGAGCTAGACCGGACACCACTAACGTTTTCTTGAGTTGGGGATTTGGGTTCGAGAGATAATAGGGGAGTAGGAAATCGCAAGACACATGACAACCCGGACTAAGGTGGTGAGCAGTGGCAAAGCGCCCTGGAGCTCTTCTCCCAGCCCATTGCCCTTGCTTTGGGGGTTTCGGGTTCAGGGAACAGGGTTTCGGGTGTCGGGGCATTGGGGTTTGGGGGTTAGGATTTGTGGGGGTTTTGTGTTTAGAGCTTCGGGGCCTAAGCCACAAAGAATCCCGAAAACCCCACAGTTCTACATGGAACCCCGAAGAGGACGTCTCCAAACCCCAGACTTCAGATTCTGGCTCCCCGTGCCCGCAAGCCTTCGTACATATGATGGACTGTCTGGTTCTCCGCGAGCCTAGCCGTAAGGCTTCAGTATTGCAGGGTTGAGGATTAAGGAGGACGAGTTTTCTGTCTCGTGGCCCCCAAAGCCCCAAAGCATAACATCTACATCATAATCACAGTGGGGGGGGGAGCGGTCAATGTACGTGCAATGGGACATTCTTAGCCTTTCTATGGAACTCAATGGAGATCCCATGTCAAGGGACCGCATACTTAAAGGGCCATGGGACTTAGTAACTAGGGATATTCTTAGGGTAACTATACTTATAATTTCTTGTAACCCTAAACCCTAAACCCTAAACCCACCAATTAGTGTACTCAACCCCCATGATCCTCCAAGCAAGGAGATCCCACAGTCCAAAGTGTTCCGACGGGAAGCCGAGGATCTGTGGCAAGCCGAACGGCGTAGCAGCCTGCCTCCTTATGAAAGGGCGGAGGGGCCCTAAACCCTAAACCCTAAGAGAGGGGCGGGGAAGGCCAAGCTGGCGTTTGGCTATGGGTTTACAATGTAGCAAGTCACAGTATGTGAGCTTCAGGGCTTCGTGGTCCGGAGTTTGACATATCTGTTAAAGGAGTAGCCCTTCAGTGGACTGTGTGACGGCTTCACTAGTCAGAAGTTCGGTCCGAGGTTCAGACGGTCGTTAACCATCACTTTGTTTCTGTTGCTGCCCTTTCAAGAGGGACCCTTAAAGGAACCCGAGTCTGTTTATTAAGGCCCCTATATTATCTTTCGTAAGGGACCCCAACATAGTACCCTAAATAGTAGGATCCTTCTTATAAGGACCCCCCAAATAAGGTGACACCTTATTTACGGAAACTCCCAGATCTTAAGCTACTATCTTCAGGTCTACAAACACCCCTTATGGTAATCTTTATAGGCACTTTTAACAGAAACCCTTAAAGGAACCCTATAGATAGTTTGCTTAGTAAGGCCCCTATAGTATCTTCAGGTCTACAACGCGGCCATCACAGCCTGTGCTCGCGCAGGGCAGTGGGAGCCAGCGGCCGCCCTGGTTTCTCGTGCTGGGCTGGACAGGTGCGGCCCCGTTCATATCGGGGCCTGAAGAATTGCTTATCCTATTTTGAGGGTTCCTTATTATAGCTATAGTATAATGGGCCCTGAAACCCTATCCTCAGTGTGAAGGCCCCTGTACTAGTGTTTGTGGGTCCAAGGTTCAAGGCAGTTTAAAGCTTCGGGGTTAAGGGGACAGGGGTTGACGCGGGGGGGTGATGTAGCGGGTTGGAGATTGGGGTGTTTGGCGTTTAGGATGCTGCTTTTTGGGCGTGGGCCTACGCGGGAATACACTGCAGGTGAGGTGTGGAGAGGGGTTGCGTCTTTCCTGCTCGCGGTCCACTGTCGTGATTTCAGACCGCGCAGCCTTTCAGGGTCTGTAGGATTTTGAGGTTGATGGTTTAGAAGCTGCCCCCACCCTGTAATGTTGACCTAGGATTAATAATCCCCCTACGATTAAAGGCGGCCTGCGGGCGGCTCCGGCCCCAATCTGTACTACTTGAAAGGCAGCACCCAAATAAGGATCGTCTTTTGCAGAAAACCACCACGATTAAAGGCAACACCGTCTGGGGATCTAAAATTTCAAAAAGTGCTTCGAAGACTACTTTTAAAGGGGGCAAGACTACATTTAAAGGGCGTCTTGTCCTCTTTCAAGCGGTTCTTTCAAGGGCTACTGCTACTGCTACTGCCACTGCTACTACTGCTGCTACTACGACTACTACTACTAGCACCACTGTTTACTGCAATTTGGCTTCACGGGATTATTTGGGGGTCTGTGATCCTGTGGGGGGCCTGCGACCTTGACAACCTTGAGGGGGGGGGGCGGGGGGGGTTTATTAATCAGGGGTCAACATTAATAGTGACTATAAGGATTATATAGGATTATATTAGGGCCCTATTATATTCCTATTATACCACTATTACAGGGTGAGGGCAGCTTCTAATTGATGGTTGATTTAGGTTTAGCATTCCGAGGTTTGCCAAAGTTGTCTGTTCGGACAGGCATGGTCCGGATTTGCTGCTCTACACCTCCGCCATCAGCGCCTGTGAGAAGGCCTTCTCTTTTGTAGCAGAAGGCCTGCCTCCAGGTCGAGCTTGGGGCTCTTTTTTGGGGGTTTAAGGTTTAGGGTTTAGGGTTTTGGATTCCCTTGCGTTTGCCTGTGTCATAACTGCGACTGGAAGTGCGTTTAGGGCCTAGAATTCAGAACACACCCATGTCGTCGTTGTTGGCCTTTCAAGATCTGCCTTGTCAATTTGTGCGAGAGACGTGCGGAGAAGAGTCGTCAACTTACAAAGCACTCATTCCTTCCCTCTTGCCCTGCATTCCTTACAAAAGAAGGTATCTCTGTGCAGGAATTGAAGTGTTCATGCTCATACCTGGCCCTGAGCATCCCTACTTGGAGGTTCGGGGGACTTAGTAAGTCGGTAATAAGTAGGCTTATAAGTACCCTAAAAGGGATCTTAATTGGGGTTATAGTACTTATAAGTATATCTATTATCTACTTACTAAGTCCCCCGACCTTCCAAGTAACAAAGCCGCATAGCCCTGAACTTTCAACCCTGAAGTCCATGAGCCCAAGAGACCCCAACCAAGCCTTCAACACCCGAACATGAGGGTGGTTGTCAAAGTTATGGTCCCTTTTTGGGTACCCTAAATAATAGGTGCCGTACTTAATAGGGACCCGAAAAGGGACCATCATTTTGACAACCACCCATGAGGGGTAAGTTGGTCTTTCTGGGTGCCATAGCTATTGGTATGTTATTCCTCGGGGCTCCGAACATGAGTATAGTCTGTAATGACATGCCCCCAAACCCTGTTCCTCATGATTATCTCTACGGTCCCTGTACCAAGAACCATCATGGCCATCCTAGTACTACAAATACTTAAATATGCGAACTGAAAAAACAAGAACAGGACGAGGAAGAAGAATAAGAAACAAGAGTTGGGGCAAGCGCGAGGCCTCACAGTGGCACCAGGCTTTGGTGCTCTTACGCCAGCTCCCGGGCCGCCAGTCCTTGAGGTCTATGGGTTGTTTTGTAGTCGGTTTTGGGGCTTGTAAGTGTATAACATACAATTCATAAGGGATTGAGGGGACGGGGTAAGGTCTCAGACCTAGACTGTTACCATCCGTAGCTTTCATTCGCGGTTCTGTTCTTTGCAAGGCTGCCGCGCCCCGACGTCGCAGCCTTCGGCGCAGCAATCAGCGCCTGTGCCAGTGGAGCCAGGTCTTCTGTTGTGCTCCTTGCGGTGAAGCTCATGTGCATGACAAAGTTAATCCTGTATATGTAGCTGCAGCTGCATGACCCGTCCGTCCGTCCGTCCGTCCCTCCCTCCCTCCCTCCCTCCCTCCCTCCCTCCCTCCATCCATCCATCCATCCATCCATCCATCCATCCATCCATCCACACATATAATTACTCAAACTGCTGCTTCTCAGGTTGATTGACTTGGTGTGGCTCGACGAAGCTCTGGCTCCTGCTTGCTCTTTACACAACACATACAGAAGATATCAGAAGATCATGTTTACACCTGCGGTTGCATATGAACAGGCAAGGATAGGTATACACACACACACATACAAACACACGTACGCACATCCATCTCTCTCTCTCTCTCTCTCCTCCCTCTCTCTCTCTCTCTCTCTCTCTCTCTCTCTCTGTCTCTCTCTCTCTCTCTCCCCAACTCTCTTTCGCTGCATCTGTGTGGATGCTTGGATCCGTTTACCCCTACGGGCTTAGAGGCGTGTGCTGACAGGTGGGAGCAGGCGTTGCAGCTTCTGGATGAGGCAGAAGGGCCGAAGCAGGGAGGGTTTAGGGTTTAGGGTTTAGGGTTAACAGGATCAATGGTTCGGGAAATTAGCAATTTTTCGATGTTTTTCGATCATGTCGGATCTTGGCTTCAGATTCAAGTCTCCGGGTGCCTCTTCGTAAAATTCAATGGGTCCCGACCCCAAGCCAACCACAAATCAAAGAATAACCCACAAACCCGAAGGTTCAGGGTTAGGGTGTAGGGCTCACTTCAGGGTTTGTTTTTCTGAATCCAAACACTTGCAGACAGATCACGAAAGCCGTCGTGACATAACGATTGAGTGTGCTGCCCAAGATCTTCAGCCGTGCTTGGAATATCGGGGCCATTGTGAAACAGCCCGTGCAAAAACTTTCGCTAATCCTGACCCCAAACCCTTACGCGACGCTCTTCGAAAATACGCTGAACAGCCAGCACAACCCCAACTCCAAAGCTTAAGCGAGCAAAATCCAGAAAGACTATATAGCTCCTGAAAACCGTTTCTGAAGATCGTATCCGGAAGGTGGATGCGGCTGGTCTGACCGTCACCCTGGCGGCAGTGAATGCGGGCATTGCAGCCTGCGAGAAGGTTCCGGGATCTTGAGCAAGGGGTTTGGAGGATCAGCTGACGTAACTAACAATTCTATTTTCGGGGGCTCCTCATTACAATTGTAGCATAATGGGCCCCAAAACCCTGTTCCAATTATTGAGGCCCTTTGTTTGTGGCCGCTGCACGGCTGATTCGGGCGAAGGGCTTCGGGCTCCACGTTTCATTGCCTACGGTTGATGACCTTAAGGACCCTACTGTAAACTATGGGGCATTATGGTATATTCCTTATTATGGGTCGGAATATACCATAATTCCCATAGTTTAGGGTCCTTAAGGTACTGCAGGATTTATATCATCAACCGTATGTCGAATTGAAACACCGTTGGTCTGTCGAGCAGCCCCCAAAGGACCGACCCAGCAAATACAGGGGCCTTCTATTACCGTATACGATAATTGCCTACACTATTTTGGGAGCTCCTTTTAAAGGGGTTTATAAGGGCTACTATAAGGGGGGTATTATGGGGGTTTAGCATAGGGGCCTTAATAATTACCCAGACTATCTTGGGGGCTCCTTAGTAGAATTAGAATCTTAGAATATAGTGGGCCCCAAGACCCTATTTTATATTATTGTCAGCAGGTTCCGATTGAACGCCAGGAGATACGCAGAAATGAAGCCCCCCTTCGAGGTTCGTATTGTGACCCCTGAAACCTGATTGAGCATAGTTTTAAGGATTGGGCGGCTGGGGGCGAGCGCCCGACAATGCCAGACTCCAGAAATCCTCGAAGCAGAAAGACCGAGCCCCTAAACCCCACACCATATTATATTAACCCTTGTAGTACTCTTATTGCCTTGATAGAAACCCTGATATTAGCGCTTGCAGTCCAACTTGCCCTAAGCCCTCAACCCTACGACAGCACCTGTATTGTAGTAACTCCTACGGCAGTAGCAGCCCTGAAAGTAAGCGAGTCTTTAAGCCTGGAAGCTGTGTAGACGCCAGGGCCTGCAATGGGAGATGGCGCTGTCGCTCCTGGGCCCCCTGGGCTCTGAGGTTAAGGTTGATGAGACCCCAGCACTTTTAGGATTTGAGGGTGGAGACGGAGAGCTTGGTGGGGAGCCGTTCGAGGAAATTTGTTACAGGCTTTGCGGCCCTTCTCGCCCATTTCACCCAAGCTGCGGGGCCTCATGTCAAACAGTCTAAAGCAGAGGCCTAGCTTCCTGAAGTACAGCTCCTGCGCAACGGGGCTCTTTCAGGCACAGGCTTCGGATTCCTTCCATTTCATCCTCCGGAGCACCGTACATGGATGCCAGATGATTCCATGCCCTAGGCATTCAACCCGGAACCCCAGTCACACAGACACACAAAGACACATCTTGCGTGCAAGTGTGAGCAGGTAGACAGGACAAACAGGGGGACAGACACGCCCAGGATCGCTGACTTCGCGGCAGCTGGCTGCCGACGTGGTCACGTACAGCCCCTCGGCCCCTACAAGGTGGCGCTGATTCAGGGCGAGGGCCCTTCAGGAAGTCAGGGTTTGCGGCAAATCCGGTCTTAGGGAGTTGGGCAAGACTGTGGGGGCTTCGGCTTCAAGGGCTCTCGCCTCCCTGCCTGTCTCAGCTGTGGCCTTCCTTCGCGAAGAATGAAGCAACCCTAAACCTAAACCCTAAGCCCAGAACCTTTTTTTATTTAAAAAAAACAAAACCCTAAACCCTAAGCCCTCAACCTGACCAAGCAGAACTCCCCCTGTACTACCTTCGATCACAAACAGCCTTTCAACGTTGTAAGAAAGCCCCAACAACTCAGCGACTAGATTGCACGAGACTCAAAGCGCCAAAGGACGCCCCAAAAGCGCTGCACACCCTCCTAGGTAGTATTAGGGAGACCCCTTAAAGGGGACCCTTCTGAACCCTACTTCTTGCTCTTCGAAAGAAGAGGTCTAGATCCCCCAAGAGTCCCCCTAATCCTAACTCCTACACGAAGCTGGGAGAGAGGGTTTGGGAGAGAGGCTCGGTCATGAGTGCTTGTGCACCGAGCGGAAACTGGCAGGCGACGGGGCAAGGTCTCGTCAAGGGTTGTCTTAAGGCCTCGAAGGGAAAGCCGCTTGTGGTTCTCTAAGGGTTCTACAAGGGATCCAAAGGAAAGGCATTTTTCTAGGGTTCTAGAAGGGATCTTTAATTTAAGGGTTTGGGGTTTTGTGTTTAGGGTTTTCGGATTAAAGAACTACGGAGTTTTCGGGTCTGGGATTTTTTTGTTCATGGGTGTCAAGGTTGGTTATTGTTCCGTGCTCGGGCACCATACTATAGAGATGTATTTGGATGTCGGGTTAGGGCTTGAGGGTTGCTCTCTGATTCAGAGTTGAGGGTTCGGGGTTCAGTGTTTGGGCTACACCGGGAGACGGCAAAGAATCCTAAACCCTGTTATTCCAGGAATGGACCTTGGCTTCTGAATCAGCCCGTGAGATTATTCAGGGTTTCCCCTTAACCGTACGCCCGGAACCTAAACCCCGAACCCTCATTGAAACCCCAAACCCGACACTCTAAAACCCCTGAGGGACGTGCCGAGCACAGAGCCAGAGTTAAAACTCGATCGTCTTAGATCCTACAAACCTACCACGATGCTGTAAGGTGTGATGCCAGAGTTGCTTTGTCATGAGCCGTAGCAGCCACGCATTGAAACCTGGCAGCCTCAACCCTCAAACTCTAGACCCCTGAAAGCACGAGAGTGTAGGTGGTGCTTGACGTCCTGGCGGCGATGCGCATGGCTACCCTGGAGCTGGACCTCCGTCGTGGCAAGCAGCACTTGCAAATTGAAGAGAAATTGGTCAAAAGAGTATAAGTACGAGCATTCGTGCCGCCCTCGATGATGCAGCCCAGACCTGGAAGGCTTACATCGCTTCTACACCCTATACTTCTTGGAACATCTCATCCTTCAAGTTCTTGTACTTGGTGGGGCCTGTTCTGGTGGCACCTGGCAAAGCTCATGAAACAGAATGACGACGACGAAGCCTTGCCCTATCACCAACAGCAACAGGAATGGTGTAACACTTGAATCATAGGGACCCTTAGAGGGGTAGGGGGAGGGGTGTTTTTTAAGCAGGTATAGTCCTCTACCCCCTCCCCCCCCTACCCCCTAAGGGTCCCCATGATTGAATGTGCAAGTTGGCCTATCCAGTCCTGCATCGAGGGTCAAGGGACAGCTTTGTAACTTAGGGTAACGGATAGAAGTCTTACTTAAGTCGCCTGCTTTAAAGCACGTCTTTCTGTTCTCTACCAGGCCGCCTATCACTACATTCAGTTCCCATGCACAAGGACCCCAAAGATTATGCGGGAGATCAAACAAAGATAGATGCTTCGATGCCACGAAGCCTAGACACCGTTAAGCCCAGACCCCCCAAAACCACAGCCAAAAGCCCAAAGCAAACCAACACCAGAACTCTCCCCCCAAAGAGAGAGCCTTAACCGCAAGAATCTAGACACCAAGACCCTACTTCTCCCCAACTAGATATGGGTGGTTGTCAAAATTAGGGTCCCTTTTTGGGTCCTCAATATAATACGGCACCTATTATTTAGGGTACCCAAAAAGGGACCATATTTTTGACAACCACCCATATCCCCAGATTCAAAGCTTGCAGGCGAAAACCAAAAGCTTCCCCAACTGGAAAACCAACGCCCCCAACCCGCAAACCCTACACAAATTGAATCTAAAGCCCTTTACCCCAGACCCTGAGCCCTCCACCCTGAACCGCAGCTCTCCTGCAGTAAACGGCCCGGCCCTGGCATGGCCGAAGGATGGCATCGCCCACGACGCATCGCAGAGGGCGTTTGAAGCCGCAGAGATCCAGCTTCGGCGCTTTGTCTTAAACCCACAGACCGCTAATCATGTAGATAAATGAATGCAGGTGCCTCTGTATGCGTGTGTGGGTGCTTGCTTGAAATATGGGTATTTGTATATATACGTTTATACTTTTCAATGAACGTATATCTATCTATCTCTCTCTCTATATATGTACATATATATCATAGATGTGTATAAACATGTAAACATAAATACGTAAAACATCTATCTATATATATATATATGTACATGTGTATACACATGCATGCAACTACAGATAATTACTAAGGGAGCGAATAATGGGCTTCTTGATTTAGGGTCTCAGGGCTTAAGGGCTTCGGGGGGTGTGTTAAGAAAGCTGAAGCTTTAACCTAAAAGCTCCTAAACCCTAAACCCGAAAAGCAGACAGGGGCTCAGAGGGGGTTGGCACCTCCGTGGGGGATGACACTGATGACCCTCCTTATAGAGCCCTTAAAGGAACCGCTCTCATAGAACCCTGAAAGGAACAACCACTGTTATAGAACCCTGAAAGGAACCACTGTTATAGAACCCTTAAAGGAACCACTGCATGAGGGTTTTCTGTGGCTGGCGGAAGTCTGGCCATCTCCTCCCTGGCGTATAACGGGGTTTAGGGTTTAGGGTTTAGGGTTCTGACCTAGGGGCAAGAGCAAAAAGGAGCTCAAAAGAAAAAGAATCCCTACAAACCCTAAGCCCCGACCCGTAGACCAGGCACAAGAGGCTTCGACTCGCCAGTCGGCCTCTTCTGGCCGCGAAGTCAAGGCTCCTCGAAGGCACCGGTACCAGGGCTCTCTCTTTCCTATGAGTGGCCTCTAGTCCGTGCACGACTGCAGGCCTACTACTACCACAACAACTACTACTACGACGACTACTGGTGTCGTATTGTGATTATTGCGAGTGTTGCGATTAGTGTGGTTTTGAAAGCTGCAACCAATATGATAGGGTTCACACGATCGGCGCGTTGTCTCTGGCTTTACACGACCTGATGTTCTTCACAGGTGCCACAGTTCAATATGCTTCACAGGTCTCGTTGCTCATTCTGCATGACCCTTGTTGGATTCGATGTGTGTGCTGTCGCAGCAGCAGCAGCAGCTGCCAAACCGTTACAAGAGATGCCTCTGGTCACGCCCTAGGCGACTACGAGAACTTGGAGCTGAACTTAAACATGAAGTCCTCAAGCGCAGACTCCCAGACCTGAATACCCAAACCAAACTCTCTAATAAGGATTCTTGAACACTCTCATTCCCCAGCATCAACTTCATGGCTACCATTGCTACAGCTGCTCTCTGCTGTTGCTAAACCTCCTACCTTTACGCACCAGCGGCAGCACCAATGACAGTCTACTACTGCAGCCGCTGCTGTTCGGCGGCTACTGAGCACAGCCGGCCTTCACAGAGTATTCTTCTTCCGAAACATGAGCTGCAAACCCTGACCCACTCAAAAGGATGGTTCAGGATAACTTATGTTGCTACTGTTTACTTGATTGTTTACGTGTATAATTACGTGCAGGCATCCGCCTGCACTTCTGCATCTTCCAAGCGGAGGAGTTGGGCAGAGTATGGGGGCCCACGCTTCTCCCGTAGCAGGGCTCCAAGTTAAAACGATGGTCCCCGAAGTAAATCCGGGCATTTGCTTGAGGCTGTGCAGAGTTCAGAGTGTGCTGCATGGTGATGTTCCATGGCCTATTCGATCACCTGTTCATTTCATCAAATGCTGAGAGCCTAAAGCCCCAAGGCCCTAAACCCTAAACCCTAAACCCTTCCGTTTTCCAGGAGCAGGGCCTCAGCGGCTGGACCCTGGAGCAAGGTCGGAGAGATTTTGGTGGGTTGGGCTTTGACTGGGTATATGGGGCTGTACGAGTTTGTGTGGGGTTATGCAGTCAAGGCGTAGGTGGCTTTATGGGCATTTAGACAGGAATTTTGTATGCTTTCCGTGTCGAGGCTTCAGAAAACTGCGGGTCTTTCTTACGCTCGCTTTATAGTCTTCCCTCTCTGACTACTTTTTCCTGCCCCGATCTCATTGTCTCTTTGCCTATATCCCTTTTTGGCCTGCCGCTAAACTCTAGACTCTAAGCTCCGGGCATTTCGTCCTCGCCATGTCTCTCTTGGTGAGTCGGTTCGTGCCAACTCCGATCTGTAGCAGCCGACGTGGAAGGCAGCCTCCAGAACCGCTGGGATGTGATTCTGGATGGCCTCCTGAAGGCGTTCCTCCAGGGCTCCTGTTGGGACGATTAGTCTCGTGTCTTACATGTACATACATAGCATGTGTAGGCAGGTTCTAGGGAAAGGAACAAGCTCTAACAGCTCCCCAAACTACCACACCCAAAGCCGGAACGCGCAACGTTCTCAATAGCATGTTAGCCTACAGCTTCGCAATACAGGAGTCGGAATACTCACTCAGATTAATCTCTTATGTTCCTTATTATGTAACTTTGCTATAGTGGCCTATTCTGATGGTTCATGCCCACTTTAGTGTCAATTTCTTGCTTGTGATCTTGCTGGCTCTCAGGTCCTGGAAATGGCTCTCAGCAGTCGAAATTCGGGGTTTCGTATTCAGCCTTTAGGGTTTCCAGCTCAGTTTCAGCTCTGTGGGGCTCTAGTAGAGGCAGTTACCAAGATTGTACCTCAGGGCTCCGTGTTTAGAGTATGCTAACACGACCCAAAACCCTAGACGGAGTCGCGAGTCCAAAACCCTAGCCCAAAAGGGGCCCGCTCTGATTCAGTATAGGGGCCTAAGCAATTACCAATACTGTTTTGGGTTCCTTGCCATCTAACTATAGAACAACATACGCCAAAACGCTGTTCTAAGTCTTAAGGCGCCCATAATGAACCTGAGGGCCCAACAGACCCTGAGAGTTTTTGTGCAGAGGCCTCTGCCTGGAGACTTGGTAGCTTTCTTAATGCTATAACGTCCTTTGAAGCTACAGGCCGTAGAACACTACGCAGAGACCCTGAACCATCGAAGGCACCGTAGAAAAGGAGCTCAAAAAACTCTGAACCCCAAAGCCTGCCGATCCCCTCCCCCGAACAGCAAACCCTACCCTAAACCCTAAACCCCTAAACCCTAAACCCTAAACAAGGCCGTGATGATGGATGGCCAGTGGCCTCGGGAGCGCAATTCTTTTTTTTAGATTTGGGGCAGGTTGGGGCTGAGAGTCAGAGGCGTTCCGCAAAGGCCGTGTCCAGCTTTGCAGTCATAGAGCTTCAGGGCTTTGATGTGCAGTGTTCGTGTTAGTCTAGGAGTCTAGGATTTGCGGGTTCAGAGTTGCCAGTTTATCGTTGCTTTCATTTGCTTGTTTGGCTGGGGATTCAGACCACGTGAAATCCCAAACACTCAACGGCCCTGTGTCGAAAGTCCTTAAAGGCCGCGGGGCATCCAGAGTACGGCGTTGATGCTTCCTTTTGCGGAGTTGTGTTCGCTTTTGGAGCAGGATGTCGCCGCGCATGCCTTCGTGGGAGCAGATGCTGTGCACATTACGGGCGCCATACAAGAGCAGGTGATGCCCATCGTGGGCTACAAGGACCCTCGGCTCATATTTTTAGCCAGGCCCCTCTCAGTGAAAAAAATGTATATACTTCACGTGAGCTCGAATTTGGATCAATCCCGGCATTCTTGTAGATCCAGTCGCTAGAGCAATCTGTCAAACCTAAACAGGCTTGGTGATGAATTTCCTGAACCCTAAGCAAGAAAAACAAACTCTATACAGCAACACCCATGTCGCCCAAGGCCGGTCGAGCACAATACCAGCCCGCCACCCTCAAAGCCTTCGAGGACTCGTCTGTCGTCGTCTTTGCCGGTGGTGTCATTGGCACTAGGAGAGGGGCCTTAATAAGTACCTCTACTATTTGTTGAATTCCTTATTCTAGTTATAGTATAATCGGCCCCAAAACCCTACTCTAATTATTACGGCCCCTATATTAGATAGATAGGGCTGACTTCACTCAGTGTCTTCGCCATCTCTCAGAAACGAAGCTCGTTGAAGCACGCATTCTGCAATGTTCATTGAGAAGCTATGTAGCCAATTCGCAGCACTTTCAGCGTCCATTCAAGAAGGTTCCATCAAGACCCTGAGCAATCATTGCATTCTCCTCGACCCCAGACACGAGGGGTAAAGCAATGACAATAAAGACCGTGTGTTCAGGCTCCTACCCTAAATTGCAGACACCCTAAACCTTGACCAGAAGGGGGGTGCACCCGCTTGAAGGAGACGCTGTGGCGTTCTCGCGAGGAGGAGGCAGGGCTGCTAGACTTGCGAAGTCGGATGTCTTCAATATCAGGCCTGGGGCCTCTAGTCAGCTATGCAGGCTTAGGGCTCGTCAAGTTTCCATGGTGATGCTTACAAAGCTCCAACATCCAAAATTGTGAAGTCGTTTGCGTGCATTTGGGGTGGGTGATATTCCCTGATGTACTGGATTGCCGTTGTCTTGGAGCTTTCTCTGAGAGTACAGCTAGGCTGTGACATCATCCTCTCCAGCGCAAAGCTGATTGCCATATGCATGTACCCTAAACCCTAAACCTCGAAACCCTGAAAGGTGCATATGGGAGTTTCCGAAAATAGGGGACCCTAATATAGTACCAAGGACAATGCCCCCTCAGGAGGGCCCGACAACTGGCTACGCGACGCGCTCTACAAAGAGCCCGCTGGAGACGAGCGCCTCCACCTATCACAAGGTACTCCATGGCCATCTGGCGGTCGAGCGGGCAGGGGCAGGAGATCCGGAAGATGATGAGCCACAGGCCGAGTCTTCCACGGTGCAACCGCAGCTGCTTGCGCCCATGGCCCGGCTCTACATCAGCGCCTGAAAGAAGCCTCCACTAAAGCAACTTCCGGGTAGACCCTGAACCTTAAACTTTGAACCCTAAAGCCCTAAAGCCCTAAACCCTAAACCCCAAACCCTAACACCCGAAACCCCTAAACCCTAAATAGTAGGGTCCTTATTATAAAGACCCCGAAATAAGGTACCCCCATTTTCGGACACTCCCATATCACTGCACTCAGCCCCAAATTAGCCCAAAGCCCTGGCGGAAATTCGGTTGACCGCTCTGGACAGGGCCTGCAAGGCATCCGGTGGGAGCTGGGAGGTGCGAAGGAGTCGCTGGAAGATGCCAAGGCCTGGTCGGGACCATAGCTCGGAAATGATAGTATACTATAGGGGCCGTATATTATACTTTCCTATACTATTTTGGGGTTCCTTATTGTAATTATAGTATAATATATCACTAAAACCCTATTCTATTTATTAAGGCCCCTATACTACTTAGTATACGCATCACATAATGGGACGTTGTGTTGTAGTTATAGTGTGATATATTCTGTTGTATCATGTTGTATTATACCATTTGTATCATATGATGTTGTATCAAAACCTGACTGAGCGCAGAGTTGTAGGCCTTAGCCGTGGCTTTTGGTTCACGTTTCCCTTGCCTTGTACAGGGATGTCTTCAGAAGCCTGCTTTCTTTTAAGGTGCTGTTTGGGGCGTCGCTTCTGACTTGGCTTAGAAATTTGGGATTCTGGGCCTGGTGGTTAGTTCAGGGTTTCGTGACCCCTAAACCCTAAACCGAGGCTCGGAATCAGGGCTTCTCGTCCGGGGTGGAGGGCGTTTGGGCTTAAAGTTCTGAGAGTTGAGGCTTAAACGTGAGCCTGGGGCTATGATAGACAATAGAGTGCGGAGGGGTTCAGGGCGCAGACCTGGGGTTCAGCGCAAGGCAGGGCATGACGGACGGCTTGATTGAAGGTAGCCGGGCCTACTTTGCATTCGAAGCACTTGCTTGTTCTTTGCTGGTTTTGGATCTTTCTCTCGTTCCGTCTTAGATATTGCAAACCCTAACAACCCTAAACCCTAAACCCTAATGATAAGTTTTGGGGCTTAGGGATGGGACAAGGCTCTTCGAACTGAAATGCTCGGATGGGTTTCCGCCTTGCTTGCAGTCACTGCTTCTGCCAAGGACCGCTAGAAGGGACCCTCACAAAGATCTAGACCTAAAAGACTAGCCCGAACAGCCCTAAACCCCTAACTCTAAACCCCTAAACCCCAGAGTCTGAACCGTGCCTCAAGCGGCAAAAGAGGAAGCTCAGTTGGAAAATCTGGACGCCTTTCTCTCCGAGTGGCTCGGGTGCAAATGGGGGACTACGGTCAGGAAGTTGTTGTTGAAAAGGTGTTGTTGTTTGGTTTCTTAGCAGCTTCGTTGTCAAGTGTTTTCTCCTTTACTACCAACATCATACGGGCTCACCATCTGTTGTCTTTGCAGTCACTGTCATCATGGTCACCATTGTCAGCATCATCGTTATCATCGCCATCCTCATCGTCGTCATCGCCATCATGATCATGATCGCTTTCATCACCGCCATATTCTTCTCCTTCATCGTCGTCATCATCACCCTCACCATCACCATCACTTTCATCATCATCATCATCATCATCATCATCATCTTCTTCTTCATCATTGTCAGCACAATCGTCATTGTCATCACTGTCGTACTTTACACGACGTTACCTTGGACTCGTAATTAGTACTACGCACATTCAGAAGCCCCACCAACACCTCAAGCGTCAAACCCTATATGGTTCGGGATGCTACATTGCAAATTCTGGATAGACCTGGGCCTCAAAGGGCCCGAGCCGCATCGATTGCCTTGAGGATCAAGGCCGCTGGAACCGCCATAGCCTTTGCAACGAAGGAGTTGCTCAACAAGATGCATGTTAGGGTTTTGAGATTGGGCATGTAGGGTTGGTATGTTCCGGAAGGTTCAACCTTACGGGGATGTGGGCGGAATTGTGGAGAAGTCGCCAGGCAGAGAGGTGAAAGACATCTTCAAGCATGACCTTCCTCTGATGCCGCCAGCTCACGGCTGCTACACACCATGCCATTTAGGCTTTGGGTTTAGGGTTTCGATTCGATGACAATCCCGGTCAAGGATTCGACAGAAGCCTAGACACCAGCCTGAGTTGTGGGATTTCGGGATTTGTGATATTGCTTTGGTTCAGTATTACACCCAAAAGGCCTCTGGCTCTAAACCCTAGCCTAGAATCTTAGAAGCTTCAGAAAGATAATGGATACCTCAAAGCCGTTTACGCTCAGCCGCGCGACCCCTAACCCAAACACAAGAGCAACCTTGAGCCTCAAGACCGCCAAAAAAAGAAAGGGTTGTCCATCTTTCAGGTGAGAATACTGGAAGTTAGCAAAGAATAGATAGAACGTTCATGATACCTGCTTTAGGCGATTCTTGCTCAAGAACTGGAGTACAGGGCCTTGTCTAGTGTCTTAACAGGGACAGCCTGGGAACAAGTCTCTCAACCCACAGTTAAAGCAACCCCGCTAATCACTGTTTGTAAAAATCTTAAAGTCTTGCAGGACGCCCGGGGATCCTACGGCGACCTCCTGAGGAGCTCCGAGGCAGCCAGAGGTGGCGAGGAGGGGCGGCCCGAAAAGCGGAGAGTGCTTTGCCTCTCGAGAGTCGTGGGGGTTGTTTACATACAGACCCTGAGCCCTAAACCCTAAAGCTTAAACCCTAAAGCCCTAAACCCACTATACTCTGTTCAGAGGACTATTTGTGGAGACTTGATTTCGAGGCCAAACTTGAATAGCCTTGGTGTATAGGGCGGAGGAGATCCAGGTTGTGAGTTGGGCTCCTGCAGATTCGGGCGTCAAGGGGTTCGTTTTGGTTTGTTCTTATACGGGTCTTATTAGTAATAGGGTTATGAGAGGCTGAGAGAGTTCTTATCATGAAAGCCACAGGTTTCTTCTAGTTTGATTAGATCTCAATTGGGTTCTGCTTGTTTCCGTCCCGCTGCTGCTGCTGCTGCGGCGACAGCGATGACCACACTCACTACTTCTTGTCTCTTCTACTCGCAGATAGCGTTCAGAACAACAGCCCGAAAGCTTCGAACTCGCTACGAGGAGACCCTTTTCCTACTCCTTGGAGGGGCTCACGGCTTTGATGGCCTGGACGACTCTTGGTAGCTTTATGGCTCCGCGGAGATGTGATGAACATCTGAGTCAGGTTGTGAAATTTGATATTCGAGTGAGGATTGAATTTGCGAATGTGCGCAAGAAGACGGTGCGATGGCCCAAATAATGAACCGCCAGTGTGGCATCAGGGTGTACTTTGCAGAAGTGCCTTTGACTTCAATCTCGGCGGGTGCCAGGAGCAGAAGAGCAGAAGTAGGCATCATGAGCCACCTGGTCGATTCAGGGTCAAGGGTGTAGAAGGTGCGAAGGTCGATCGTTTACTAAGTTAAAGCAGACGTAAGCCTAAACGCAAAGCGCCAAATCCTGAACCCCAAAACCCATATCCGAAACCCAAGCAGCCGAGGATGTGGATGGCTCTCACCAAGAAGCTATCCTGCTACTCGCTGACGGAGAGCTTGGATTTTCCAAGGTTGGTGATTTACGGTCTAGTCCAACAATGGTGTTATACTAAGCAGACCCGAACCACTTGATTCGCGGCGCTCTAAACCGTTTTGCAGTGAGCATTCGGCGTTCGCGATGGTAAAGCCTGTATCCTTCATCCTAACTAAACCTCAGCCCTGATCTGGGAAAAATCCTTCAACGCGAAGCCCTGGGCTTTGATATTGGCGTATGCTTGTGAAGCTCTCAGGCGGGGCGCTTGCTCTGAGATGGTGCGGCATCTTTTGGGGTTGAGCGATTCGGGTTTCAGCACGACCGTTTGGTCGTGGTAGCCCTAAACCCCAAAGCGTAAACCGGTAGGAGCAAAGCGTAGTTCACAAATGCCGGCTTGTACGGGAAACCCGCAAGACGGGGTTCCTTTGAATTGATATACTATCAGTACGATTGTTTGAGCTACCCTTATTATCGCTGCCAGCTACCTAGTACTACTACTACTACTACTACTACTACTACTACTACTACTACTACTACTACTACTACTACTACTACTACTACTACTACTACTACTACTACTACTACTACTACTACTACTACTACTACTACTACTACTACTACTACTACTACTACTACTACTACTACTACTACTACTACTACTACTACTACTACTACTACTACTACTACTACTACTACTACTACTACTACTACTACTACTACTACTACTACTACTACTACTACTACTACTACTACTACTACTACTACTACTACTACTACTACTACTACTACTACTACTACTACTACTACTACTACTACTACTACTACTACTACTACTACTACTACTACTACTACTACTACTACTACTACTACTACTACTACTGTTAGTCTTGCTATCGGTAAGGGAATCTTGGAATCCTATTCCAGACGAATCTTGTTGAAGATTTGCTCACATTTTCGCCCAGGAATCGCTTCCGAGACTCCGGCAGCACTCGGAGGTTTCGGGTCTGGGATGTGGGTTTGCAGATTCGGGTCTGGGATGTTGAGGTTGGGATGCAGGGTTTGCAGACTCGCATTCCTGGTGCAAGTTTCAGGCTTGGATGCACCCTCTCAGCTCTTCCTAGTGCCACCACCCAAAACCCTGAGCCCATTGAGGTTTCAGTCCTAAGCTCAAGGCGCTTAAGCTCCCCGGTGCACAGCTTTCGTGGCCAGGGCCCCCAGCAACCGGGGGGAGCCAAGGAGATCACCTTGGCGACTCCGGTGTGTCCTGTTTGGTCTTGGGGTCCTCACTGGAGGCCCGCGTGCACCCGCAGCGAGAGGGGTCGGCTGTGGGGTTCAGAGTCTAATAGAAGACATGGCCTCGGGTTCAGTATCGTGCTGCAACTGGTCAATTTCTGGATGTAGCGGCTTACTGTACACTTACACATGATGGCAGGCCGTTGAATTGCCAGAAAGCATGTCTAGTCCACCTCAGTACCGCTGCACGCAAGAAGGAACGCAGTCTGAGACGAAACGTAGAATCCTTGAGCCTGAGTTTATTCGAGTTCGGGGCGTAGGGCTGAGGGTGAGAAAGCTGCCAACCCTTGAGCCCGAAAAGCTACGGCTTAAGCCCAAAAGCCCAAGATTCGGAACTCTTAAGCCTCAAGCTCTGCGGCCCTAAACCCTGAGCCCGAAAATCAACCCGGGCTTGCCATAGGCGCCTTAAGCCCTTTATAAGGTTACCGAGGTAGATAACCTCAGGTGAGCCATGGGACCCTTAAGCCCTGAAGGGCTTTTAAGAGGGGGACCTTCGCTCAGCCCGACAGGATCCTCCGAAGCTAAGCCTGGCGAACGTGGTGAGCTGCTTGGGTTTACGGGTTAGGGTTCAGGGCTTGCGGAAATTAGGGCTTAGGGCTTGGGGTTGAGGGTTTAGGGCTTCGGGTTTAGGGTTTAGGGTTTAGGGCCAGGGTTTAGGGCTTAGGGCTTCGGGTTTAGGATTTAGGGCCAGGGTTTAGGGCATAGGGCTTAGGGTTTCGGGGTCAGGGAGCGTGGACTTTCAGGTCGGGTCCTTGCAGCCCGGCCTAATGTCAAGTCGGGTGTGGGGTGTAGTAATAATAATAATGGTAATAATAGTAATAATAATAGTAATAGTAGTAATAGTAATAGTAGTAATAATAGCAATAATGTAGGCTTCGGGAGGTTTCGGTCACATCCTGAACCTTGCGCCCTCTACCCGAGATTTCGTTTTAGCCGCTAAACCCTCAACCCCTAAACTCTAAACCCAAACCCTAAACCCCTAAACCCTAAACCCCTAAGCCCCTAAACCCTAAACCCTGAAATTTTAGCCGTTCAGGCCATAAGCCCCAACCCCGAAGAGCCAGACAAAAGCCTCAGGCGCGGAAGAGCCTGGTTTCTAAGCACCTTTCCCCACAGCCCAAGACCCTAAGGGTCCAAGTAGTCCTTATGGGTTTTGATACCTAAAAGGCCCTAAAGCCCCACAATAGGGAGTACTTGGACCCTTAGGGAGAGGGCTCAGGCTCCTTCACGTCGAATCCCAGGTTAGTAAACCACCGGCTTCTTTGAGGGGCGAGGGATACTGAACAGAAATCCAGAGGAGCCCCCAAAACCGCTTTAGATTTTCCCCGACCGTCGGACACTCCTCGCGGCTTCAGGTTTCCTCCGGGTTGAAGACCTGCATCTTGTCGAGCTTTCGTGAGTGGGTTAGGGTATAGGCTTTGGCTTCGAGGTCGAGAGTTCGTTTGGGGTCTTGTTGGATGTTGGGGGTTCGAAGATGTTACCTTTGGGGTCTGGGATATTGCAGCATGTTGGGGACCCTACACCTACAGGTTTACCTTCGTTTCGGTGCCACCCCACTCAGGGTGCTTGGCCGCCAATGTCCGCTTGAGATGCATCACTCGGTTCTGGTTCTCGCAGGGCCTCGGAGGTAGTCTTTTACACTCGGCTTCTTGAGGGTTTGTGAAGAGGCGAACTCCCGGTAGGAGTTCGATTGGGGCACACGGTCGGTGAGCTGAGGCAAGGCCACCTGAGACTGGTCGCTAACATGGCGAAGAGCAATTAGCGCTGTGGTACACACCCAGATGCAGGCTCGCAGCACATGTCCTGTTACTGCTGCAAAGGATTAGGACTAGGACCAGGAGTTATTTGATGGAGGGTAGGAAGGTGGAGGCTTCGTCGTCGTCGTCGTCGTCATGATCAGCATCACCATCACCATCACCATCATCGTCAGCATCAGCAAAGTTGCAAGTACTGATATTGTTTTCAGTGTTGTTATTATCAAAACTATTTCTATTACTACCAATACTATTACTCCTACCATGGCTATAACTATTATTACTTTTCGTCCGTCGCTTGGTCAGTCAGCATCGCCGACCTCCTCCTGACCGTGTTCAGCGGTATCACAACCAGATTGCTCATTATGATTATCAGCAAGTATCAGAGCCAGTCAGCATCATCATCATCATCATCATCATCACCATTGCGCTGCTTCTAGTAGATGCGAGCACCTCGCCTGTCTGCACTGTATTACAAACAGGGAGTAGGACAATTTTTCAGGGACGCATCAAGGCCTAACCTGAATTGTAAAGCGCTAAAGCTACCCACAAGCCCACATTAACCGCCGGCATCGATGACGACCCTCATAATCATTAGTCATGAATGTTAAGGAGCAATCCAACAAAAGCCTACAACCTCGATCGCCACACGGTTTAGGGTTTAGGCTTTAGGGAAGCTTAAACCCCTAAACCCTAAACCCTGGGCATTCAACCAACCTAACTCAGGCAGGGGGAAAAGAGGGTTCAAAAAAAAAAACCCTAAACCCTGCTTGACCGGAGGCCAAGGGAGCCACTGTGCAAGGGCTCCGTGCTACGCGGTCGTGGCCATGGTCCAGGGGAAGGCCTCGTCCCAACCCCGAGTCGTAAGCCACTACTTGTAGCATACTCAAGTGAGTAGAAGTTCGGTTGTTCGTAACTGTCGTATCTTAGGTAGTATGGAGCCCTGACTATGTATACTGCTAGGGTTGTGTGCGAGGGCTCACCCCTTGGAAGGAAAATTATGATATGCACTAGCCATCCTCTCTGAGGCTCCAGAGATGCACGCCCTGAGCCCAAAACCCTGGCTGGAGGCTTATGGTTCCCACCCGCCCCCCCCCCGAAGGATCCTTGACAATCCCTTTTTCAGTGGCCCACAGACCCCAGCCCGCCACTACCAAATCACGGAGCTTTGGAGAACATGACAACTCACAAAGCGCAACATCTCAGAAGGAATAAATCACGAAAGTTGCAGGTGCCGTGGACAAGGACGAGCCCTGAATCGCCTGCGGCCTTGCTTCACTGTCGAAAGAGGGGACTCGTGCTGGAAGGTGCTCGAAGCCAGTGCGGAAGCTCGTTGCAAAGCAGCAGGGGTCGTGGAGCTGTTCAAGTGGATTCGCGGCGTGGAAAGACACCCTTCGCGGCACCTTCTTCAACGTCGACAAAGGACAACTTCCTTGGTATCATGCTGGCAATGTGGAAGCATGGGTCTACCGTGATGGAGCTCGACGCAGCCGTGGCGAGCCGGATTCGCTTCCGGCTGCTCTTTGGGAGATGGGAGCGCGAGCGCGCCGCTGCCGCATCCATCCTGCGTGTGGGGCCCAGGATCGGCTCAGGATGTCATGACTGTGAAGATGAAGATGGAGATGATGATGAACCGCTCTCATTGGTCATGGTGATGGCAGTGATTCGGACCATGAACATGAGGAACAAGGTGCAAAGGAAGAAAGATAAATGAAAGAGAGGAACATGATATTGATGCTGCCGCTGCTGATGACGGCGATGATGGATAGCAGCGCATCACAACCATTCAAACCATGATGATGATGATGATGATGATGATGCTGATGCTGATGATGATGATGCTGATGATGGTGGTGCTGATGCTGATGGCAGTCGCCGTAGACGTAGCCCTGGCAGCAGTAGGAGCAGCCCCTCCCCAAAAGCTGCGGTCTCCCGTTCTGTAGCGCGGGGCGCCTCCTGCCCCCAAGTCGGAGTCGGGGCTCAAGAAAGAATGAGTAACTTCAGGCGCATTTGTTTTGTTTGTTGAAGCATGAATAGGTCAAATGTCACTGGCGCAATTTGTACCTTCACCTTCGAGACTGACGGTGAAACACTACGTCCTATGGCGACTACGATTAGGGAGTGTCCGAAAATTAGGGCTACCATATTTTGGGGTCCTTATAATAAGGATCCTACTAATCAGGGTATATACTATATTAGGGTCCCCTGTTCTCGGAAAACTACGACTTAAATCCTGTCAAACTATCTGTCCGAAAGTACCCATCGACTTGACCCAGCCGGGGGTGTCGGTAGTTGCCGTCAGCGGTCTGAAAATCAGGTGTTCCTTTGTTTCTGGTTCCTGTTGCAGGGATCTTGTTCTTTATAGGGCCAGATCTGCGCGCCCCAAGCCCTCAACCTTGTTCAGGATATCCAAATACCCCACAGATTCCTAAAGTTTCCTCGTCTTGCCAAGAAGCCCTAAATCACAAGCCGAACCGTCAAACGCAAAGTTCTGAGCCGGCAAAGAGCCGAAGATCTCAGTTTGAGGTTCTCGGTTTCAGGCGCCCCCACATGGGTTTTAGCAGGGAAGCCAATTGCCCTTCTTCTTGGAGGATCATGGGACTTAGTAAGTAGGGTTATCAGTACCCTTAATTGGGGTAATAAGTAGTTATACGTATAGTTACCCTAGTTATAACGCTAGTTACTAAGTTTCATGACCCTTTGAGTTCGAATCCCAGAACTCAGGCTTCGAGCTGCGACAATCTGCGCGGCTGCTCCGAAACTTCGGACACCTCGGTTCCCTCCAAAGACCCTGGGTTGGAGTACCATACTTGAATACGTCTTTAGGTACCTGTTCCTTAAAGAAACCATTATGAAATAAAAGTCTATATTGTTTTTGTCCCTGGTTACTTCAGAGTCTAAGACCCTGGTGCAGAGAGGGAAAAGACGCCATGGATTGCTGACGCGGTTTAGGGTTTTGTGTGGCGGGTAAGGCTTGGAGTCTTCGAGTGGGAGCCTTGGTGGCGCTGTACCGGTCTCACAGAGCCCCTAAGCCCTAAACCCTAAACCCTAAACTCGACGGCTCAGCGAGTAGTAATGATGATAAAAAGGGCACAGGCAGCAAGCGCCCCGTGTCCTCCGGCCTTCTACCACTCCCCAGAGACTCCAATGTCCCTTAATTAAGGAATACACCTGCAATTTTACCAGGATCCCTATAAAATATGATTTAAGGAATATACCTTAAATCATATTAGGGATCCTATTGTAATTTAAGGTATATCATTCCTTAAATCATATTAGGGATCCGATTCTAATTTTAGTTATATTCCTTAATTTAGGGATGGTGAAGTCTCTGGATCAGATAGCAAAGACTTGGAATAAGGGCTTAGGGTGCAGGACATTGTGCATTCGTACAGGGGCTGTGCGGTGTACTGACCTGACCCATCGAGCTCCAAATCTTTAAGCCTTTACTATAGGGGCCTTGATAATTACCATACTATTCTGGGGGGTGCCTCATTATAAGCAAAGTAGAATGGGCCCCAGAACCCTACTCTAATTATTAAGGGCCCCATACTAGACTGTTGAACAGTGAACTCCACAGTGAATGAAACCCGACTCGCTGCGTGCCAGAATCCGAAATTCGTCGGCAGCCCGGTGCGCAGTCCCAACTTTGGGACCAGCCCGTACGCTGCCTCCTCAGCCAGTTCAGGGTTTGGGATGTAGGTGTAGATTTAGGGTTTAGGGTGTACGGCCTATGCAGTGTGGGAGAATGAATCCACAGACGCTGTTCAGGCCCCTGCATCAGGCGGGGATGTTAGTCAATATTGCACCGCAATGCGCTACACTCGCTGCAACAAAATATTTTCTCGCGCAGGCTTTCGGTCCAAACGTTTATGCAGCCATCATGTGAAAGCGGTATAACGTTTGGTCCGGGGTTCAGGCAGCAATCTGTGGATGTTTCGATATACAACCCTGCATGAGGAATGCATAGTCCTTCATAGAGCCGACGGAGATTGTTTGGAGTCCAAGCTTGTCTGAATTCCATCCCGAGATGCTTGAAACTTGAAAGTTTTTTTCCAGAAAGGCCTTCAGTTTCGACGAGGGACCTTGCATTAACAGATCAGGCGCTTTGCCATGTGCGGTATCGACCTTTCAAGCCGAGAATGAGGCCCACCCAGGCGTTTCAGACCTTCTACCTTAAACGCAAACTTGAAATCCCGAAATGCAAGCCCGTCCAAACCCGTAAACCCTAAACCCTTAGACCCTAAACCCCAAACAGCTTCGAGGCAGGCTACGGCGGCAGCCCCAGTTCGAACCCTACCAGCGCCGGACTCAGCGTACGACAGCACCAACATTCCGGGGTTTAGGGATACCTCTATCAGAACTGTGCCATAGAGGTGGTTGTCAAAATTATGGCCCCCCTTTTGGGTCCCCATTATAATACGGCACCTATTATTCAGGGTACCCACAAAGGGACCTTAATCTTGACAACCTAATATGATGGTGTCAGACTTCGGCGCAGTAGCTATACTCGTAAAATACTTACTACCACAGTAGAAAAGCACAGTAACTAGGAGAAGAGTAGAGCAGTAGTAGGACCGCAGCAGTATTTTGTTACATGTTCGGGCTGACGGCGAATTATGAACTGGAGAAGAAGCCTAAACTCTAGACTCTAAACCCTAAACCGTGTGTTGAGTCACAATCAGGCTGCAAGTGCAGCACTGGAGTGGGAGACGGCACACCCAACTTTATCAAGAAGCGCCAGATCCATAGTGATTGTATGGTTATCATGTATAATACTTCTTATACGGTGTTAAACCCAAGGCCCTGCACCCTAAACTCATGGATTCTGAATGGGCTTCGGATGGGGCTTCGCCGCTTGAGGCTTGGGGCTTTGGGTTTGTTGCGCATCTGCTTGAGAGCCTGGGCCTTTGTGTTTCTCTCCCTCGTCCACTAGACTCTAAACTCGAAACTTGGACAGAAAATCTCAACTAGTAGAGGTCTCGGGTGCTAGCCAGTCCTTCGAGCT